ATAGATCCTAAACCAAGCCTGGATACAACATCCTAAACACACCCTAAACCAACCCCAAATAGATGCTCACCCAAGCCTAAATAAACCGTAAACAAACCCTAAATATATTTCAAACCAGGCCTAAATAGATCCTAAACCAACCCTCAACAAACCTTAAACCACCCCCAAATAGGTCCCACACCAACCATAAATAGATCTTAAACCAAGCCTAAATAAGACCTAAAACAGACCCTAGAAAGATCCTAAACTAATTTTGAAAAGGACCTAAATAAACCCTAACTCTAAACCCAACCCTTAAAAAACTTGAAACCAAACAAAACCCTGAACTAACCCTAAAACCAACCCTAAATGAACCCTAGTTGCAAACTATCATGTTACATGAACAGTTCAAACTCAAAAATGCTGCAAATACCGTTGAAACAGCAGCTTCCAGCTCCAAAGTTACAAATTCCGCCAAAATGTTGCGAATTCTATGGAAAATGAGAGGTTCCAACTCCAAAAATGTAGGAAAGACAGTTGAAATGGCAGCTTCCAGCTCCAAAATGCTGCAAATAGCAAGGAAAACGGGCAGAAAAAACGGATCCAAAAAAACACCCAAAACGGAAAAAACATAAATCCCAAAGCAATTCTGGACCCTCAGCTATTTATTGGTCGGCATACTGCCTCGTGATGCTCATGGACGATTTATTGTTGATTTGCGCATTTTGTTGACTGACCTTGCTGTTCTTTTGGCTGGTCGCCTAGTGTGTTTGATCCTTGCTTGCTAGGGGGTTCTGCGATTTCCCAGGTCAGTTCGAGCTATGCTGCCAAAGGAGAAACAAGAGTGGACCCTGGAACGCCTGCATTTGTGCCAAGAGCCACCGTGTTTGGCCACTGGGCTGGTTACATTTTCACATTTTTTGGATGTTCCACTTCTGCCAAAAAGTGCCGGGTAGGTGGGGATAGAACGAATTCGGAATGAATTGTAGCCGGATTTTTTTGGTGCCTCAAGATGGTATTGTGATCCCAGTTCTTCAGTCACTTTTTTTCGGGTGTCTAAACTTTCCAGGTTCTTTGTTTATTTTCTCCAATCCTTCCAGAGATGATAAACACGTCTGAACACCAGATTGCCTGGTATTGTAAGATCCGCATGTCTGAGGCGTGCGATTACCTATTATAAGTGCATCAATTTTTTGATCATGTTAGTTTTCCACATCCCCACATTGGCGTGTTGGGATGTTAAAGTCGGAGTATGTCGGACTGTCAAGGGATTTGACCCATTAACATCAACCATTTTTTTGGGTTGTATCCCATCATGTCCCCATTAAGATTGGTTCATGAGTCATATCCCGATAAAGTATCATCTACCAGGATGAATAACAGTTCAAGAGAAGTTGCAACACCATTGGAGTGTTACATGACCCTGCCTAGGTGCATTGCAACCCTATTTATTGCCAAATATTGGCTGGTTGCATGCACCAATTGACACCCATCCAATAACATATTAATAGCCAATATCTGGAAAGGGCTATAGTTGTTCCTTCATTGCTGGTTAATTCTTAACCATGTTTTTCGGCTTGAAAACCGTCCAAATATGATTTTGATGGGTACAACGGGTAAGAGCCACTTTTTGCCTGGTTCCAACATGTTCCAACCCCATTTTGATGGGTAGTGGCCACATCGAGGCAGCCATAAGTTTTGCCTTCGCCAGTGATGCCATCACCATCAATGCACATCATGAGCTGGAAAGGATTGCAGGGATTCTCGTGAAGCATCCGGGCCTGAGGTGCCTCGATGCCTCGGTATCGCACTGTGGAAAGATGTGGAAAGTGTTTCTCTGGTGCCCTTGACTAATACGCGATTGACTACAGTAGTAGTGATTCGACGTGCTTCAAGCAAAATGCTTGGGATCTGACTGATGGGACTTGTGCTTGAACCAACCAAGAACGGGTTTCAATCAACAAGGAAGTTGAAGACAAGGTGACAGGGTGGCATAGTTACACCATGTTATACCTCTAGTATGAGTATACGCTAACCAAGAACTACGTACAGGTATATCACCCAACATGAGGTTGAGATTTGAACCAACAAAACTGTTGAACACAACCTCGCTGGGCGATCATATTACCACAACCATCCCACAATTGGACATGTATTTCAACACATAGTACAGTAAACATGTGTTTTTTTCCTAGACATGAACATCTTTTGTTCGTTTCCAGACTAGTCCCATCTTAAACATCATGTTTTAGGCTCCAATGTCGACCCGTCGAACTTATTTGCCGAGGCTGAGCATCGTCGGCACGGCCCGCCCTGACGCGCCGCCGGAGCTGGGCCTGGCGCTGTCGCAGGCGCGCGCGGTGCGGGTGCGGTCGCACCTGCTGGGTCTGCTGTCGGAGCTGTCGGAGCTGAGCAGCTGCCAGTGGCAGGAGGAGGAGGCCATGGACTGCGGCGTGCGTGCCTTGGTGGATCTTGGTGGATCTTGGTGGATCTTGGTTACATGGGGATGTGTTGATGGAGGAATCTATGGGAATTCCATGGGGAAATGGGGATATAATGGGGATGAATAGAATCCAGTTTTGGACTGGAGCATTGCTCTTTAATCTCAAATGATGACAGATACAGATCACACCTTGTACTGGTATTTCTGTTGCTTTTTGGACAATTGGATTGCCTTTTCAGCATGTGCTGCACCTAATTTATGCAATTTCATAACTGTTTTTCGAATGGGATGTAGTCACTGTTCTCTAAGTCCCTGTTTGTCAAACGTGCCCTTGGATTGGCAAGGGCACTTGGGTGTAACGGCGAAAACTTCACCATGTAAAGCAAGAACGGGATAGTCCAAGACCACCAAAAGCAGCCCAATTCTGCAGATCTCATTGCCATGCCTGGGTTTGGTTGGTCAGTTTCAAGCACTGCTCGCCCTTTCTTGCTCTGGACCAACCAAACCCTGAAGTGCAGCTGGGTAAGGTGCAGGTGGCTATGACGAGGGTGAAGAGATCGAGGATGGCGGTTTCAAGCTTTTCGTTCCATCCCTGAAACTAGGATGATGCACACATATTCACAGTGACAATATGTTTACACCTATTTACTAACATCGACGCGTTAACTTGTTGGTTCCTCACCCATATGTTTTGGTTGTCATTTCTACGAATTCACTCCGCATATCTTACTGGGGGGGTGCAACCACCAGAGGATGCCTTAGCCTTCTATAGCTGCCAGCGTTGGGTGGGGGACCGCATTCGGGCCATTGGGCGTTGGGAGCGTCACCGCATGCGGGCGCACCTGCTGTGCTACAGCACTGGGCAGTGCGCCACGATTGACGTTGCGGGCTTTGACTGAGCTGTCGAAGCCTAGGAAAATCGTTGGGGTCCCCATAAATCCCGAGAACTGAGCAACCACACTATGATCTCACCTGAATTGATGATGTTTTTGGGAAGGAATCCCAATAGAAAGTCATATCTCGGGTAAGATTTATTAGGCATTATCCAGTGATCCAGATCCAAGGATGATTTTACTTTCATTTTCATTCACATGAGTATTCACATGTGGGTATATCAAGAAGCCTCACAGGGCCCATTGGAATCCAGGCCAGAGAACAATGAGAGACCCATTCACAACACAAAACAGCGTCTTCCTAATGGCATCAGATGTTGCCAGTGATTAATGTAGGTCGGTATTGCCACAATTCAGCCAAAGATGCTGGCAGGACCATGTACAGCTGTACATATTTGAGTGTGCAACTTTCAGGCTTGGAGAAAAATACCATATATTTCATTAAACAATATGATATATGGTATTTCATTAAACATATGATATATATTGATATATGATATATTTCATTACCATCATCTATAAATAAACACTTTGATGATGGTTTGCTTGAGTCGTTGCAGGGGGAGCCTTTATAGAAAAACGTCCCCGATACTTGGACACCCTGCACTTCGCGATGCCTGCAGCTCCTGCTGAGCCATTGCATCGTCAAAGGTCTTTGGTTTCGCCAAAAGTAGACCTTGGTGTTCCCCACTCTCAGTGGGTATGGGTCAAATAGGGTATCCATGGGTATCCAGCAAAACAATCAAAAACACACTAGATATACTAGATGTTTGAGAGATAGTTGATGTTTGGAACTACATCGAATTTGGGGCCTCGGTGGTACCCCTTTAGCCCAAACCAATTCTGAGTTGCTTGGTCCGTCGAAGCCAAGTTGTAACCTTTGCATGGCAGTTTGAAATAGTAGCCGTAGCCAGGCCAGGCCGTTGTTGGCTCCAGGGCCGATCAGATTAGGCTTGGGGTTCTGCTGGTTTCGTGAGCATTGCAATTCATTATATCTTTGCGTTCACCCCAGTTGGTTGATTGGCATACGTGGTGGTTAGCAGATCTCATGGTAGGTCTCCTTCTCTAATCCAAGCAGCAGAACCAATTTCTCAATCGGTTTCTAGTGCAGGTGCTGCAGACAGAAAATAAAACCGGAACACTGCGGGTAATGGGTATGCTGGTATCCCTGAGTACTAATGCTCTGAGAGTAATTATCGGTAATGTAGTAGTAGGGGAAAAAAGCATCAGTGGTATTCAGTGGTTTTGTATAGTCTATTTTAAGTACTGCAATCCCCACATTGAAAACACTATAAGATTGGTGGGTAATGGTGGGTATATTTACGTACTTTATTTGCTGGTACTTGCATGCCATACCACGAACAATTGAGATGGACAAAAGGACTGGAAGGAGAGCAACCAGTTTCCCTATGCCATTTGTATTTTTCTTTGTTTGTTTTTGGTGGGCGATACACCCGCTCAGAATCCCCAATTTTCAATGGCCGACCAAGTAGCACAATCGGGTATGGTTGAGAATTAGGTTTAATTACTACATTAGATATTAGTTGGTTTGCGAAATCACCACATTAGTTGGTTGAAACCATTAAAAACAACAAGTCCCGTTACCGTAGAAACCACGTCACTTAAGTCACAAATCCTGGCATCATTGCATTGGTCATGTCAAGCACGTTGAATCCCCCGGTCCCTGGCATATTGGTGTTTGGTTGCTATTGGAAATATATCACCTGTCAGACATGATACACTTTGAAACCAAGCGAAAAAGCACTGGAGGAATGTACATTCCCCATACCTGCGGAAGCAGACTGGCGAATGGAAAAGTAAACATTGGCCATTTTGATAGATGACTATATCTGCTTTTCCACCAGAGAATGACCTTGTAGTGCTGGATTGTCTTAAGACAAATTCCATTAGATAAACAAGATTTAACTATATTTTTGATTATTATATATATATATACTATGTATTATATAGATGGAGGAAGATGACATCTTCTGATATCCTACTGACAGGATCCCTGGGTTCCATGTAAGTTCGCCGGCCAGGTGGCTTCAACGAAGTCGTTAGCTCCTTTTCAGAAACTCGACCGAGAAGATATTTTGTGGTTGTGAGAACCCAATAGCTAGTCTTAAAAGCCCATAACCATCAATAACCACGGTTAAATGATGTTAAATGTTAATCCTATCATGATATTGGTTCTTATTAAGCAGAACTAGAATTATTTATGAGATATGACATGTGGTAAAAACCATCAATAGCACTTACTTTGTAGTAATATGTTGTAGCACCATGTTAATATGGTAGAGCCAATGGATGGGATTCCAACCATCCCGACGACTTGGATGTTTATGGCATTGGTTGATTCGGATATTTATCATCTTCTATCGGAACTGAGGTATATATATATTATATAATTATATATATATATATATAATATATACAATATATATATATAATATATATATATCAAATGTTCCCAGCTATATACATATTTACAGGAATCATAATCATAGATGTCTTTTTCCTGTTGGTCGATTCATAAAGGATGAACCCCCATTGAAGAAACCCAAAGTTTGTTTGTCCTAAAACAACAGGACATCATCATGATGATTTGTTGCACCTAGCAAACAAAAGCACATGGCAAAAACCCTTCTGCAGTAACTAATGTTTGTGAAACCAATCACTTCAGCTCTGTGAATTTTGCTAGATTTATTCAGATATAGCACATTGTTAGATAGCGTTTGCTAGTTTAACCATATTATATATATAACTATGAAATAATGCAGGTTTGTCAAACCTATAATGTTCACCATCTGGGTAGAATTTGGGGATGTATTCCTTATTTGACGGTGATGTCGTGGGGATTCAACTTAAATCCACCCCATTTCGGTGACCCTCATATTACATGGTTAAGAATCACCCTTATCAGTGGTTGTTGGTGGTTAAGAAACCCTATCCATAAACTCACGCATTATGGCATTATCCCGGGAATATCGTGGAATTATCCACATTTTGCTAGTTGGATACCAGTTTTAGAGGGTAAAACTACCATTTCCGATGCTTATACCCACCATCTATTGGGGTTTTGGGGGGTGTTATCCCAGTATATACCCGTACATCGACCAAAATGGGTTGGTTTGTGCTGCTGAAATTATTCATTTGCGGCATAATAAATTCCAATGTTATTCCAATGATATCCCCATTAAATCCCACTATTATGTCCCTATCATGTCCAGCCTCCATGAAGATCTACCCACTTTATCCACATGAGATTCTCGGGCTGAATCCCCATGATCCCTCTTTGAATGAAACCTGTTGGTTGATAGTTATAGAGAATTATACTGACCAATATATTGGGGATTTTTTATTGGGGATTATATGGGGATTATATGGGGATTATATGGGGATTATAGAGAATTATATGAGAATATAGAGAATTATACTGACCAATATATTGGGGATTTTTTATTGGGGAATCCATGGTAATCCAACTTGTTGGAATCCATGGGAATCCCGAAACTCACCAACCGTTGAACCGCTCCATCAACCCCCCCAATGAACCCCCGATTTTCGACGGGCGTTGATCTCAGGAAGGTCTTCTTGGAGGCACCAGAGGATTTGAGCGCCGAGGATGTGCAAAGCCACCTGGATGCATTGGGTCTTTTTTTTGGGGGAAACAAAACACAAGGTACATATGTTTTGAAGATATTTGAAGATTTGAAATATGGGTTATATTACAACTATATGTGAAGGGATTTACACACTAGATATGTTTGGAATATGATTTGATATTTGTTTGCTGTTTGGAAAGAGACCTGTACAACTATCTATGCATACTGTATGTATATACGTGTTCATTCGCCCTTTTTTCTTTTTGTTCGAGTAGAACAGAATTGGCAACCCCATTGGATTTTGTGGACTTGGATACCTAAACCAGGAATACAGGCACAAGACCTGCACAAACGATCATGTGCATTTCAATTGCAAATAGATGAGGATATTACTACTTGAAATGTGGATTTATTTTACCAACGAAACACCTGGAGAAATATCTATACAGTCTATACCTATATTGAGACTGTGTCTATCTATATCAATAACCAGTAACATTAGAAATATCTATACTAGTATCATTCTACATGTAGAATAGTGGCAACGGGTTTTTGGCCAGGCGTCGCAGCGTAGAGGGGTATCATCCGTATTACGCAACAATTTTGATCAATTTTGCATGTGGAGTTTGCTTTTTAAGGGTGGTTTTGAAGGTTTCAGGTTCAGAATTTTCGGGTTTGAGAGCTTTTTTTAATCCGGGTAAGTGAGAAAGTCTAGCCTGCGTTGGAATTTGACCTTTCTACAGGACAAGACTTTGGACCTCCCGGCAAAATCCAAGAATTAGTCTGGATTCTACAATAGTTTTCTCGTTTATTTAGTTTCTTGACGCAAATATATGTATATGTACATAACATATATGTATATATAACATATATATATATACTACCACTATATATTATATAAGATATTTCGTGTTTACCAAACATCTCGGTTACCTCAACAGCCAGGACTGAAGAGGTCCCCGGTCCCTGGGCGCTGGTGAGGCATGGAGGAGAGCCGGGAGGCGCAGGAGATCAGCGTGGAGATGCCGGAGCAGGTGCTGGATGCGTTGCTCGGTGGTTTGGACTCTCTCTCCATAGATAGGTATATCTATTTTGTATACATATATAGAGATAGAAAGGCTCATAGATGTACATCTATGTTTATACTGTATATATCTATGTGTTGATGTACAGGCGTATAGGTATAGTATATATATATATACACATTATGTGCATTATGATATATTATGACATCCCCATGTTTTTTTCCCATTCATTGATGAGTTGTTTTCTTGTTGCGGGTCAAATCACGACCAAAAGATCCTGATCTGACCAACAAGTATGGCTGTCTGGTTTGATTAGAAAGACCGGGAGCAACTTAAATTTGAAAATGCTGGGGGAAATCAATGACGAACCATTGATGAAGACCCCCCAAAAAGGAATCTGGTCAAAGATTGATCGACGAGTCGAGCAGCTAAGATTACCGAATACCCTTTCCTTCAACACAGCCAGGTAGATCTCTTGAGACCGATGTTTCCTTTTAGTTGTATTAGTTCAATAGATTTCTTTAACAGATAGATGGATCGATAGATAGATAGATAGATAGATAGGTAGATAGATAGATAAGTAGGCAGATAGTGGAAATCTATGTGTCCACGTCATGGGGTGTTTCGGGTGTTTCCCAGGCATTGCTATTCTCCACTGCTTCCACTGCTCCGAGGTTTCCGCCCATCTCCTCCTTTGAGGACCTGCAAGGCCTGAAGGGTAGTGAAGGGTGGTAAAGGAAACCCTGTTTTATATATATATATATGTATTTATTTTAATTTTATTAATATTATTTATATATACACACTATATACTAGATATACACAGGTTGAAACAAATCTCTCAGGATGTGAGATAGATGGATACTTCATTTTCACCATGCAGGTGTTCAACTTCTCCATTTCTTCATGGTTTCTATAAATGGTGGATGGTGGAGGTTGGCAAAGAGGGCTAGTGATTAACCCCCCAAAAAAGCTATGAATTTGACCTTACTGCATAGGATGGTGGTTTCTGGGTAAGCCTCGGCCTGGATAGAGTAAATTCCAGATCAGAAACTATCGAGTCGAATCAGCATCACAGAGCAGTGTCCGGAATCAACATCCAAAGGTTCGGATCAGCGTCGCAGAATCAGCGTCAAAGACGACCCTGGATCAACATCGTGAATAAATGGTCGGGATGGTCGGGATGAGGGTTTCTTTAGGCTTTCTTTAGAGGTTTCTTTTAGTGTTTCTTTAGGGCCGGTCGGGATGGTCGGGGTAGCCCGCAAGGTCGCGATCTATACCGTCCCGATCCAGCCAATGTAGATTGGCTTTTTAAGGTGATGATCTTTGTGGAGTTATTGACTTTTGCAATGTTTCCCCATTTCATCCCATTTAGTTGTCCAGTAGAATTATTCCTGATGTTACTTGTTCATCAGCTGCATGCATCGATACCACCGCCTACAGCGCAACCGTTTTACCACAAGTTTGAAGCGTGGGGGCTTTGTCATTAGGTTGAACAACCACTGGATCTTGGAAAATCTTGTTACTCTCCGCCCTTGGCCTCGATGAGCGCATGGCTTGCTCTGGGGGTTGTATTTTTACACTGGCCTAAGTTTGCCCATGACAAGATCATCCTGCTTTGAGTTTGAACTTGCGAGTCTTGTATACTCTCTTTGAAGACATATTTCTATCTTTAATGATTATAATCACGGTGATCTCCATATGGTTGTCGATTGATCCATGTATTGTTGCTTTGGACACATCAAGTTGCGGAGGAAAGACTAAAAAACACCTTCCACGTGGATTAAAACAGCATTAGGTTGGTTCAACACCCTCATACATATATATATAAATACATACATACATACATACATACATACATACATACATACATACATACATACATACATACATACATACATACATACATACATACATTTATATATATAGTTTGACATTTTAATATTTATACGTGTATATATATATATATATATGCACACATATATATACATACTTATATATATATACATACTTATATATATACATATGTATACATATATATATATAGATATATTAAAATATATATATATACATATGTATATATACATTTCTAACATATACATAGCACCCGTATCTGTATATATATATATATATGTACATTGTCAAAAATACACATCCTCATTGTTTGCTGAAAACTTTCAGACCTGAGGCATCCTTCCAGACTATGCCTACGAGGGCCTCAATGCTATGGGCATTGAGGTGCCTATGCCCATCCAGGCCAGCTGGCCGCTGTGGCTTCCCTACATTGTTTGCAGTAGCCAGTTGAATGGTGGGGGAACGCAGCATTTAAATATGTGTATATATAAATATATTTTAATATATGTACACTTGAAATCCCCTACTAATGGGCATATTAAGAAACAAGTTCACCCAAAATGTGAGATTCTTCAGCTAGCCATGTTTGATTATCATGGGTACCATATAATTCATTCTATAAACCAACCCCAACTGGAGGTAATTTAACAAATCGTTTATAATTCTCAATTGGGGCAAACCATATGAGTACTATTTATGTGAATTATTACAACATATCTCACCGTAATGAGTACCCATCAATATTGTATTGCTATTTAAGGCTATATATATATATATCATACGTCTTATATAGTTACGTGGGTTATCACGAACTATTAATACTGTATAATTAATGATTATGGGTTTCCCATGGTTACTGTGCTACCTATAGTCATACTGGTATTATGACGTGCAACCCATACAAATACCATACGATAATAATTATTGGGTTATCACAAATGATCAGTAATATACCACATGGTTATTTTACTATTACCATCATTAACTTAAAACATGGATAACCATACAAGTAACATATAATACGTATAACCATGCTTCTTAAAATTCCCACATCTCCCCTTTGTCCGTACCATGTTTGAATGAATGTTTTCCTGGGCAATCCCTGCTCTTGCATTGGCAGAGAAACACCATCCGACTTCCACGCGATGTTTTGGCAAGCAATGTGCAAAAGGAAAACCCATCAGTCTCGAAATTGAGACCTTCACAGTTCTCTGTTATGGATGAACAAAACAGAAACAAATGCAGATGATGATTACTGTAACATTGCTGTCCTCATCATTCCAAGAAGGGTGTGCGGTTTGAAGGCTAATTTCCTCATCCTTCTGTAAACAAATGTTAACATGTTTTTCCTCGTTGTTGTTGCTGCTACCGCTGGTGTCTTTGTTTGAGTCTTTCCTGATGGTCTTAAAAGATGCCAGGCCCAAGCTATTCCGCCGCTCAGCTGGGGTTGATCGTTGGAGTTGCAGGATTTATACTAATTTGTTCCATTCACAATACCCCTATTGATTGCAGCCAATCATAGGGTTGTTACGGCCAACAAGGGAAAGAACCAACCACTAAAATGCGATGGGATGGGGGTTTATTGCTTGACCACGGGGGAACAATAGACCCACACATTTGCGTCTTAGCCTGGCCAAGTAGCTGATTGGGGAACCATCCCAATTTTCAGGCGTTTGTCCAAAAATGGTGGATACGTACCCCAATCTATGCCAATTTTCAGGAGAAAATGATGATAATCCATGAGATTTTGGGGCGATTGTGACATTTTGAAACCCAAACAGAACCTTTGTGGAAACAAATTGGTGGTTAGGACGGTGGTAGTATAGGGAACACCAACATGGAATTGCCGATGCAACCGCCAATAAACGTGTTCAATGCATGACTTTCATTCCATGTTTCGATTGCACTTTTGTACCCACGTTCTCACTGTGAAAACCTTAATTTGTTTTGGCTACGATTTGTGATGCAATCATCCCATAATATTCCTATAGTTGCTGCTGGTGACATTGTCGTTTTGGTGGATTGCTATACTTTCAGCATCAATTGAAAGGGACAGTTTGCAAAAAGTGCCCAAATACTTGCATTATTTGATTTGAAGTGTAAGAGCGAGATGGGGTTAAATTCATTCAACCCCATATTACTCGTGAAGACCTTGATGGTTTAAGAACGAACATTTTTTTTTTGGAATCAAACTCAATAATCATGCTTATGCTGACACTAGAAAAATGAGCGTGACAAGAAATAGTAACGATAATCAACCAAATGCAATAATGATAGTGATGATGTTTTTTGAATGACACAAAATAATCATAGTTAATGAACATTAATAAACAAAATATGGATCGGATAGTTATTGTTGGAACAGTAGTTATAAGTTATAACACTAGTCATATTCAGCCCCAGGCTCAGGATGGCTATTATCACTGGTAATATGGGGATGGGTCAAAACCTCGTATTGCTATGGGTGTACCGTTTCGGTACCAGGGTTATGACCCAGGATGGCCCTGGCGGGCCTGGACGTGGTCGGCATCGCCAAGACCGGCAGTGGCAAAACTTTGGTGCCTTGCTGTTGTTCAACTGAAGCTGGGGGGTTTACCCTCTGGCAATTTAACATAACTATGGAAAATCACCATTTATAGTGAGTTTTCCCATGAAAAATGGTGATTTTCCATAGTTATGTTAGTTTAGCAGAGGGTAATGTTTCATGTTTAGGGGAGTTTTGAGGTGAGTCAATGTTTTCTTTTTCCGTTTTCATGGGACTTCATTGTGATTCCATGGGAATTTTAATATGTTTTAGCGGGATTGGTGATGAGATTCTAATGAGCTTCGTATGGTGATGAATCGGGATTGAACGAACAGACATGGAGAGATTAATGGGGAATACCCTCTGGTAGTTTAGCATTTGCCACGGTACAGATAGCTTATTTAGCTGGATAGTTTACCTATTAAAGATTGCGATTTTCTATAGCAAACTATTATATAAATATAAATTACCGGAGGGTAGTGGAATCAACTTCCAATTTGTGGGGGATTTACTACGGGGATAGAGGATAGATATGGTAAAATGGGAATTGCATGATTTATCCCAATGTTTAGGAACAGATTCATATTTAGTGGCTAGTTCTGGGAATTGAAGCATGAGCATTCGAGGGATTTCACAAATGCTGTAAGTATGATTGGGGTAATATTATATAACTTATAACTTTTATAACTAGAAACGAAGTGGTTTTGTAGGATACAGAGGGGATACAACGGTGATGGGGATCGGACATGGACATGATGTGACATGAAAGAGATACTGTACTTGTTGCCCCCACTGGGTCCGGCACAAGATCAACTTGGAGTTCGCGAAAGGACAGTTTTACTTCACGAAGAATTGCATTTTCCGGGTGAAACAATGTTGATCGATTTGGCATGATGTGTTATGATTTGGCCACTTGAAATGATGGTTGAACGGATAACACACGAGGAAATTGTGATTTGACAAATTGAACCAGCGAAGATTTTTGTGAAAGCAGCAATTGTGGTTTGTCCATTCCACATGTGGATTCAACCAACAGAAAATGGTGCTTGGGTAGATGGCTAGCAAAAACAATTATTTATCCACCACAAGAGCAGCATAACCAGCAAACATGAAGATATCTGATGATTTACCAAGAAAATATGGATCGATAGTCCGCAAAGACATGCACATTTTCTATTTTACTCACCCACCGAACCCATTGGGACATAAGGTTGATACAACCAGCAAACATGGTGGTAATTCAAAAATAGACTACGTTATTATCTAATTTGTGATATGACCCTTATCCTGATGATGACTATCCATGGAACTGACTCTTAGCTTCTGGTCATTTACCCTCTGGGAATTCACCATAGCCATGAAAAAGTTGCCCAGTTGTAGATATTAGATTAAATATGGTGGGTTCTCCATATCTATGTTACATGATATACCGATGATGTTGATTCCCAGGACATAATGATCATGATGACGTATTGTTATTCTCTGCTTTCCCCAAGTGATTTTATATGATATGACGATAATGATCATAATCATCATCATGATAATGATCATAATCATGATAATGATCACACTGATTCCCCATTTACATACTATGAATTACCATGATGTCAGAATATGGGCGTATTCCCTGGTGATTCCAACAGTGACCCGCGAAGTCGTCCCCAAGGCCTACGTGCTGCCGGCCTTGGCGCACCTCGAGGCGCAAGCGCCCAAGCCCAAAGGTCAAGGGACGCCCTTGGTCCGGCACCTCAGGAAAACCATGGAAAACCCATGGGTTAAACATATTGGGATTTCCATGGATTTTCCCATAAAACCCATGGCAATTGGGATTTTTCATCCTCTTACGAGTTTCCCTCAGAAAACCAGGTAGGTTAACCCCCCTGTAAGGACATCTGTTTCTAGAGAAAAAATACGCAGGGGAACATAGAGGCTTTATGTAACAACCCCCGTTGATTCTAGAGAGCATTTTTTTAAATAACTTGTAACCTATCATACTCGTATGGCCATACTTTTCTAGAGGCCAAAAAAACGGATAAAATTTCACATAACTTAGAGAGGTAAGAGTGAACTTTTCTAGTGGCCCAGGTTTTCTAGAGCTGTTCAACATTGTTCAATACTGCAACACTAAGGAGTCATATTGCGATTTTCTTGTGGATCCTGGTTTTTTAGAGGTAGACAATAGTGCAACAGGCAAGCTCCAGTATATGTCTGGAATTTTCTAAATATCATCTATGAGGGACCAAATATATGAAATTTCCATTGGACATGATTTTCTAGAAGTGTCTTTCTAAGCCCAAAGCACATGTTCACAATCTTCTAGCAGGGTCCAGCCTTGTTTTGCTTGTTGGTTTTTATAGAGGGGGTGCAAAATTTGATGAAGTTTGTAATGCTGTTTGACATTCGAAACACAATGCCCTCTAGAAAACCTGGACTAGAAACTCGGCAGTGGGTTTCTATGTCCGCAATTTCCGCAGTTAGGATCCTACCTCAGATGTCCGCGCATGATATTCTAAGGAATTCTGCGCATAGCATAGTGGAAAAATGCATTTTGGTATGCATATGGTTTTCTAAATGTTGCTCTGTTATTTTGTGGTCAGAGTTTGCTTTTCTATTTCCCTTAACTCAGGACCCTTCATTTTCTAATAGAAAAACAGGGGTGCCTACCTACCCTGGTAAACTCGTACCGGGATGATTTTTCCATATTGTAAAATCCATGGAACATCTATGGAAAACATAGAGAAACGCTAAGAATTATAGTGGTTTTACAGTGGGTTTAACAAATGCCATAAATCGGCATTTGTTGAAGTGGTTGATGATTCTACAATTCATGCCCTGGGGTTACGACAACGACTAGTTTCCCAAGGAATATGACCTACATGTCTGGGTGGGTTTTCTATCTCTATTCCAATTACCACAAGGGGAAGTACAAAAAATGTGGGGAAGGCTATTGGCATATATCAAACCAATGAACTGGATATTGATGGTGGTTTGCGCCATTCCCAGTGATTTGAGGGTATATACGGTATACCGTATACCCCATTTCTGGACAAAACCTGTGAGTCAAAATGATCGAAGCCTTACAGTCCAAAATGGTTGTTTTGATGCTACAACTGGCCAACTTTGTGGATTGACCGATACCCACACGGCCGAAAACTTGGTGATGGTGGGTTGATTTTCAGCTAAAATGGAGTTTTCGTCAATTATAAACATGAACGTGGGCCAATCGACAAGCCATGAATGTCCAAAGACTTTAGCAGCCAATCCTGGAATGTAACCAATCACAAATCGTGCCTTGACCAGCCCAGGTGGGGAGTTCAGCAAAAGTCAAAGAAAAATCTGTGACAAAGGGGATATAGCCACCAATAAGCTACTCAAGCAAACGCATTTTAGCGGCGATTGGCTGCTAAACGTTGCAGTCAAAATTGTGGTTTGGCACATAAGTTATAGGTCATCAATTACAGTTTCACTTGCCCCTTCTGGGTCGTCCCAGCAGTTTTCTTGCGTACCCCATGTCATTCGTAAAATCCATGAAAATCCAATTCTCCCAATTTTCAATTTTCTTCCAGGTGCAGACACACTTCAAGCCTGGCCGAGAGTTGCAACCGTGCAGCAAACACGACAAGAAAGAACAACAGTTCCTTCAACAAGCAGCAAAGGCAGGGAAAAGTGATGACTTGCTATCTATGCAAAATTCACCAACCGAGTACTTTCACTTGCTGGAGAAGTTCTGCGAGAGAAATGTGAGAGGGAGGCCTTCAGAAGCCCGCTTGGATTGGAGCCTTGTGGAAGCTCAGAAGACCTAGAGAAGGACAGGATTTCATTGTATGACCAAAGCTCCTCTGCTTCAAGCCACCAGATTTTCAGGATTCCTTCGCCACTGTGGCAGATCCATTCCAATATATCTTGAATCATGTTGTCTTGTTCATGCTTGATTTTCCAAATCTGAAAGATTGGGATTATATTTAAGACTTCTTTTCACCAACAACTTGGATCAATGTTGCTGTATATTTACAGCAAAGCCCCAAAAAAAGAGAGAACAGGTGAACTTCACCACTATTTTATTATTGGATCTGGTTTTTAGTTCTATGTTGTCATTATTTTGGATTGAGATTTATTACTCACATCTAAAATAGTGACAGCATATCACCAAAAACAAGATCCAATTCTATTGTGAATGAATATGTCATTGTCATTATATAGCAACACTATTAATTTAGGTTAATATCTATATCATGTAATATTATGTAGCTGGGAAATGATATACCAAATTAATAGCTATATAGCTATATCATATTACACTATAATATGTAATTGTTTGTTGCTATATCATTTCCCAGCACCCGAAACCTCCTGATTTCATGAGGCCTTGGTCCTGGCGCCCACGCGGGAGCTGGCGGTGCAGATCGCCGACATGGCCAAAGCGGTGCACAGCTGACAGCCAGATGGTGGGTAGTTGATGATAGAATCCTTACAAACATTATAAGACATTTATGGGCGTTGATGGTGGATAGTTATGATAGTTGATGGTTGATGATAGTTGATAAAATGTATCATCAGCCATTACAAACAGGTAAATTTATCGTCAATCATCAGATGACATTTTTTTGTTTAAACTAAAAGCACATAGAGAAAATCATGAGTATTATCAAGCATGGGTTACAGATGTTGAATTGTCGGACAGTTGGCTGATGATGACACATGTTCAACATTTTTCAACTAGTCGACCGTCAAATATAGTAAAAACACAATGCAATAGAAACACGTAGAAACACCATGCAAATGTAATCACCAACCATCATCAGACAACCACCCAACAAACCAACATCAGCCGACATGAAAATTGGGTACCAAGAAGATCAAAAATAGACTTGAATGAATATGGCCGTGTATCAACATGGAAGACAAGTCCAGAGGGTGCTCGATCTAACCCAATCTTAATTTGGGGTTATATCCCCGCTTGAGTAAAATTATGAACATCGCCCCTAGAAACCTCCATGGAGTGTACTGGATTTGTTAATTGTCACATGGAGAGGTGGTTTATGATTGTGAGGAGATGAAACTTTTTCCTGCTCACTTAGACCCATCGGCTCAGACATGCCCACGCCCCAGAAAAGGTAAGCCTCCAGCTGGTCCAGCTCCCACCTTCAAAAAGAGCGCACCTGTATTGTGTCAAACCTGATGGTTTTGTTCTCAACAGATGGACATTTCGGCAATATCCTCCAGTGTCAAACAAGGCTTGCTGGAAAATGCACCATTTATCCATTTAGTTCGATGTGTAGTAGATGTTCCCATATTTTCCTATGTTTTTCCATGCTTTTCCCGTGAAAACCATCCAATTTTCCCATCAAAATCGGCCCGCCACGTGGCAGCGTTGTAGGTGACCCAATTCTCCGGCAGTGGCAGCAATCATCCAGGCATGGCACGGCGAAAAGTGCTGCCACTATGATGGATGATGGATGTACAACTCAAACTAGGACTCTTTGGATAGTCGGTTGATGTTAGTTGATGGTAGTTTCTCGTTTTGAATGGCCGCAGATTTTTGAATGGGATCCATTAACTCAGTTGAAACATCAAAACTATTGATGAATGGTACCCTCTGGTAATTTAACATAGCTATGGAAAATCACAATGTTTACTGGGAAATCCACTATAAATTGCCATGTTCAATAGCTATGTTAAATTACCAGAGGGTAATCTCCACCATCTCAGGGTGATATTCAAAATCCCCGGGTGATGTGACTTTTTGAAACGCTCCTGTAGTTATATAAGATTATAAGGATCTGGCGACATTGCTGACAGATTGGAACCCATAAACAATGCTTAGTAGAGGAAAATGCACCAAAATGCCTTCATTGAGCTGTTTGTATGTGTGTGTGTGTGTCAGTGACATATCGTGACGCATTGTTTTTCTGCCCAGATGAATACTGGTTAGTGCATTTTCTGTTTAGTGCAATTACACCACCTGGAGTCTTCTCAAGGTTTGTCCTTGTGGGAGAAAAAAATGACCTATAGATAGAAATTCTATGGCTCACGAAAGAAGCCAGCAGCACATGCTACCAGTTGCTGGGGTTGCACCGGAAAGTGACAACTCACCATTGGACATGGTATCTCCCCTACAAATTAACCGGGGGTCGATAGATTCCTGGATTAAGATTTTGTTCGGAATCTGTAGTTAGATTCCTGACTAGTTCTTGGTTGTGGCCAGGAACAATTTTTAGGTTTTTTCTTTTGCGACAGAATACCATAACATACATCGAGGGAAATCCACATAACCTGGATACATCAGTTATATATATATATATGTGGATATGTATATATGTAATATATGTAATATATTCCATATATGTATATATGGATGGTATATATATTCCTTCTTCCATATGAAATACATACCATCCTCGATCCTCAGTACTTGAAATGTACTTGACACCCACCTGACAAGTGTCAAACGCAACATTTGAAGATCCAAACGGGACCCTAAAGGTTGGTGGAATGGAGATTCCCAGTTCATGGTTTGTAATATTCAAAAATATAAAGGGTTGTATACCGTATCTAACCATCAGTTTGGTGGTTAAAACCCACATCTAAACATGAAATCCCCTATCAAGTAACTTATGAGCCAGTTTTTTCCATTTTTGATTGTATATTCCATTATATATTCCCATGATATCTTCATGTGATATGATATCCCACAAAATCCACCACAGCAGGCGGTCTGTCCTCGGCAGTTCTTTATGGTGGTGGCCAGGGAAGCAAAGCCTGGCAGGCCGTTGACAAAGGGCAAGGGCATTGACAATCCCAGCGATTGGAAGGGATTCAGCGGGATTTAATGGGATTTCATGGGATTTCATGGTGATATAATGGTAATACAATATGATAATATATGATAATAAAAGATAGCACTTGGAAATCCCCAAACTCAGCTGGGAGATTTGCTGGGAGAATCATGGAACTAAATTGTTAGTTTTGTCCATTGCCAGGTTTGATTACCGGAGGGTAATGAGGCATTATGGATTAGAGATTTAATGTCAAGGGGGTTGGGCTTAAATATGGTGATTAGACAGCAAATGTAATTAATCCCATTCCCTTAATATTGAATACCGCCTCGGAAGCCCAGGGTTTAAGTATTGGATCTAACTCCTTCGGGGGACCATGTGGGGGAAGGGATAATAGTAATTTGGCAAATATCGAAGAGTATGTTGGAAATTTTCCATGTATGGAGGACTTGATGTTTGGGTGTGTCTGAAAATTGGTATACTCCCAATGTTTTTTTTTTTTCTCGAACATGATTATGGATCAGTGGATTATTGGTTAGTTTTCAGATAGACCAATTTCAAATACGGGTCATGGGGGGCAACTAAGCAATCCCGAATATGCTTACTTATTTTAGGTTGTGAAATACAGATCATATTGCCCCTCTTCCACGAAAACATGTTGAAAACAACAGTATGGGAAGTGTATGGCAAACTTCCATGAGAACAGGGCCCCATCATTTGGGAAGTTCCATGGACTGCGTTTGCTCACTGGGCGAAGCTAATTTCTCTAAGTATACAGAAGGAGTTGATTGCAGTTTGAAACCCATGAAAGTTTTTCATGTACCAAAAGAATCAACAAACAACTGAAATGGGCCGTTCATTCCTGGAATTGTTCAAGGGGTTATTCAGGGTGGCCAGCAAAATGCTTTCAAAAAGTGATGCAAAAGCAGCACCTAAAATGGGGATCACCAGCAGCAAAACTGTTGGATTCACCACAGCGGGCAGTGAGACACCCCGCAGCGCAGGTGGCGGATGTCCGAAACGCAGGGCATCTGGTGGCGGCAACACCGGGGCGCTTGTTGGATGTCATGGATAGCAGCACCTTGCTGACACCAACTTTGTCACTGTCGCGTTAAAGACATCTTTTTTTCAGTCCTGGTTCCAATGTTGAAGTTGAAATCCACTATAATTCATTTAACCAGGTTGGCTGGTTATTTCTAGGGCCATGAATCCAATTGCTGGTACAATATGTAAACCGCTGCCCATTTCGAAGCAAGAGGGGATAACATTTGGGAAGCATGTTTGACATCATGGTATATAGTACACCAGGGTGGAGGATCCCTGAAATCATGCTGTATTATCCTATAATCTACCGGCAAACTGGCTGAGCACACCACGTACTGCGGAGAGTCCTGGTCAAATCGTGCCACCGAGAGTCCCACCCTGGCGTAGGAACAAATTCCCAATATGGGTCTTCAAGAGTTACTTGGGATCCGAGTAGCGCCCTGTAATTGCATCATTCTATCATTATATCATTGAAGGTTGACAATACTGGATTTCTGGGAGTGCGGAGGGCGATCTACGAGTTACCCAAAAAGTCACCCAAATCCCAGAGATTGTTTCAGGGACCCCCGGCCCATATTGGATCACAAACCATTTCACATTGAAATCTCCCGACAAAGAATCCCTTGATCTTATGACATAGGTAAGTCCATTAAATCCACCGGCAGCATCTATGGTAAATCCTCCATGTTTCCATCGATTTTCCACCATGTTTCGTTATCTTTCCAGCCAAGTTTGACCTATTCTCCAGCCATTTTCCCAGCATTTCCCAGCCATTCATATCATAAAAATCACCCATTTCGCCATTTTCCCAGCCATTTTCCCCATGGTTTCACCAGCCATGGGACCCCATGGGATCACCGATGCTCAGCGTCCCAAGGCGAGGTGACCTTGGAGCGGGTGACCTTGCTGGTGCTGGACGAGGCGGATCGGATGTTGGAGTGCGGCTTCGAGGAGCAGGTGGGGCGCATTGGAAAGATCCTTGGTGCTGGCGATGGGACCCATTGGACGATGGGATGGGATGGATTTGCCAATGATAACATGATATAAAATGATGTTACTATCAGAATGGGATGATGGGATGGGATAATCATTTAAAATGATGATGATTAAAAAATGATGGGAAGATGATATAACATGATGATAGTACTTGATTTATGATGCAGAATGGATGATCGATCCAGTATTTGATTCTATTTTATTCTCCGGCAGATGGGATGAGACAATGATGGGAAGATGATGGAAGATGATAAAATGATGGGATGATGTTACTATTGTGATGATGAGATGGGATGAGTTGCTATTGATTATTCATTATGATGTTGCTATGAGGGATGTCACTATGATAGTTGATGATGAGGATCTATTACTATAGTCTATAGTCATATATATATTACTATAGTTGATAATGACTATTACTAGTTAAATTATTATGTTGTCTTGTAATTATGATGTTGTTACTATGTTATTATTCTGTTATTACTAGTTGGGTGATGGTTATTGGTTAAATGATGTTTTGTCGATGGATATTATTAGTTAATGATGATGATTCTAATGATTATCAGATATCATTATGATTGTCAACACACTATTTCACAATGTTATTTATTAGTGATGTTATTAGTACATGGTTATCATCAGAGGATGGATGATGAGAGGATGGATGAACTATGGATGAACTATGGATGAACTATGGATGATGAGGAACCAGTCGGAATGATTCTCGTTTAGGCAACTACTAGTAGTAGTTGATGGATGGAATGGGATGCGGATGAGTGGATGGGGAATAATCTTGTTGTAATATATATATATACAATATACATATATATATATATATATGTTGTAGGGACCATGTGGATGATGTAAGTTCGTGGGCAGGAGCTGGACGAATTCTAGATTGGCAAAGTGCCAGAAACATGGTGGTTTTGGCGGGTGACAAGTTTCAGGGAATTCCTATTTAAGTAAGTTGGGATGCATATGAATGAATCGACATAAACATGTATACTGTAGATACATAGATGGATGGATAGATAGACAATTAGACAGACAGACAGATACATTGATAGATTGATAGATTGATACATAGATAGAGAGATAGAGAGATAGATAGGATCAGACTAGATTGGATTAGATTTGAAAGACATCTAGATGTGGTTCTCGTTGCCATAGCCCGAGGACTGTCCGAAGTGACCGACAGACGCTGTTCTTTTCGGCGACATGGCCCACTCAAGTGCAGCACATGGCTCAACTAATGTTCGTTCCTCAGGGGCATCAGATCATCCAGGGACTTTAAGTAGAAATTCGGGAAGTATCTCAGTAAATCAAATGGATTATAAACTTTCTTATGAACCTGTAACCAGTTTCTGGCTGTAGTCACTGTAGTCATCCTCTAGCTTTGTTTCCTGCAATTGTTTGCATGGTCCAGTTTCAGACTTACCAAATTTGGTTGCCTCCATGCTTTGTTTTTACTGGTAAAAATCAGTTTTGTTTTGGTATAAAACTCATGTTCTTGTGTTTGACTGGTAAATCCCTAGGAATGTCCCCAATACTGTTATTGTTTGCCAAACCATTATTGTTGGTCCATTGCCATGTTTTCTGCAGTGTATATATATATATTATATACATGTAGTAGTTGTATAGCTGTTATATCCTTTTGATAGAAGAGCTATCATGACCTATTACCACCCCCTAACCAACGTAGACCCTGAGAATTGCCAATGTTTAGAGCAAAGTAGTCTTCTAACGTCCACAATTGGCAGAGTCCATGTTAGTTGGAGAGTATATCTTATTGCTTTATATAAAAAACACAAAAAAACACACAAACAAAACCATGAATTTCACCTCTTTCTTGGCCAAACAAGAATGTTTGCATATCTAAGTTCCCATAGTTTTTCCATGAACACTAAGTTTCCCATCGTTTTTCCATCGTTTTTTCCATCGGTTTTTTCCATATCTTTGGCATTGGCATGGCATCTGCAGGTGCAGCAGCGATCTGCCACCGGTGCGCATCCTGGCGGGCCAGCGGACGGATGGAGAAGGACCCACTTCGCGAGAGGATATCCTGCAGGAGGCGACCCTCTGGATGTGGAAAATTGTGCTTTGGACGTGGGACAAAGTATAGTATAATATATAAATTAATGATTATATGATTATGTGTGATTATATGATTTTATATGTAGTATGATTACAGAAATGTTACAGCATATGTGTGTATATATATATTTAATATTATATATGTGTGGGTCATATAGAACAAATTTGTACATGTCATTTGCAAAGCAAATAGTATAGCCATATGTACAGTTAATTACACGTAGTTGCACTTTCAAATTGGATGGGCTGGGGGTGGGGGCCCTGGTGTGTTGCTAGGGTGGTAGTAACTATAGTCATGTCAATGTGATAAACGTACCATTGTATCCAGTTTGCAGGGCATGTTTTGTAATAACCGGCAAATGGCAGAATTGGGGGTAAAAAAGCTATGGTTGATTATTACTTCCGAATATCTTCCACTTTTAAGACAAGTCGATAAACATCATTCTTGGATGATGACCCTGCGGATTACACTGACCGGTTTCCAGGGGATTTTGATTGGTAGGAACCCCTACAATCCAAGGTGGAAGAGAATGATGATGGTGATCGATAGATGACCGCTACTGGAATGGTACCATGTATTGTAATATGGAATGAGTATAATGATTGTGCATACATATATACATATATGTACATATCATATACATGTAATATCCATATTGGATGGTCATACCTTCATTTATTTTTGGGTCCTTATACTGCATATACCCATCAATTTTAGGGGTTCCCGGTGTCCCAATTTCATGGTGGGATAGAACCTGATTGGGCCGGGCTCGGCAGGTGGTGGTCTTTGAGCAGCCCCTTGGAATCGAAGCGGGTTGGGAAATGTTGGGAACAGAGATGGCTGGTAGGAATCCCGTTCAAACTCCCCCCAGAAACCATGGTGGATGTAGGAGATGAAATCAGATATTTGGGACCATAGAATCAGATGTCGAGTATTCAGGGGATCGAAGTAATGATAGTTGGTTGGTAAGGGATGGTAAGCGGAATGACATATCCATTTTTTTGAATTTTCAGTTTGGGAATTACGTACTGAAACTTGCACAGATCAGTGAATGAAAACACTGCACAACAAAACACGGCAACACGATGATGAGACGGCAAACATGAGGAAACTTGCTGAGCTTTTGAGCTGAAAAGAAAGGCTATGCTAGAAGAACAATGTAACGCTGGAAGATTTCAGTTTCAAAGCTGGATCGGATCAAGGTAAATAAAGATGTAACCAAAACACACTTGGAATGTAAGAATGTAAGTAAGGCTAGTAAATTTGGTAAAGATGTTAATGAAACAAAGGCATCTGAGAACTTGCTAGCCTCAGCAGCTATTTAATCAATTGGTATGGCTTAAATGGACTACCAATTGTCAAACGCCAACATACCAACAAACTTCATAAACGGGGTATAGTAAACAATTGAGACCGTTTGTACCATCATTTTCTTGTTGTCAAACACTCACGAAAATTATAAAGATTGGTACAAGTGGTTCTATCACCTTCCGGCCAACCTGTGGCCAATGATGCACATCAATTGTTTATGATCCAAGACAGATGATGGTACTTGATCTGGGTCATTTTCTGAGGATTTTTTAAAGCCTACCAGTCTTTTTTTGGTTGTCAGTGGCCACTCAAGATCCATGGTTTTGCGGCTCTCAATCTGTGACGGATACCTCCTAGTCCCAACCCCCCATTTTCAAATTGTTGTATATCCCCATTTGCTCTCCCTCATCTTTTGTTTCAGACAGAGAGCTAGATAGACTATATTAACAATACTTGATAACTACTTGACATATACCCCGGCACAGAGGGCTTAAGTGGGCTTAAGTAATCGGTTAAGTATATTATATATAATATATAGATAGATGTATCTGGTATGTACCGCAGTACATATTTTCGCTTTTACTCTGGATCCACAGCCCACGGACCTGAGGCCCACATGGGAGGAACGAGACAATGCGAAGCAGGCACGCCCCTGGCTCGAGGTTTTTCAATAACGTGGCAATTGTGATATATAGTATAGATATGTGCAAAGATGAAACCATAGAATTTGATCGCCCAACTCAAAAGCATTTTGAATAATTTTGGAATTGGTAAGAAATTATCCAGACAGATCACTTGGCGTAGATAAGAAGGACAACATTGGCCCTTTTGGCGATTCTTATGGTTGATCTCAGAGTTTTATTTTGGATGTTGATGAAATGTCACATATCATGTGCCAGGAGGGTCATACCACTCCCCGCAACAAAATCTGTAAGACGGTCTATTTCAGTGCATGGTTTGCACATGTTCGCATCGGAAGACAAAATATCCCATCCGAAAAAAGGTGGTCTTACTGCCCATAAGGAACCCCCCAAAAATTGGGCTTCTGCAGATGATTTCCCCCGAAGCTGACTGTGGTAGACTGGCTGTGCTGTGTTGTTAGGAACGTGGCTCAAAACTAAGGAGAGATCCGACGCCAGGAACCCCGCTTTTAATAATTTACCAGTGATCTATAGTGATCCATGCCCAAGTGATCCATGCCCAAGTGATCCACCGTCTATTCACCAACATTTATCCATATTAAGTTGCCCCAAATGGACCCAGTCATTCGAGTAAATATACCCCGTGAGATACGGCTATGAGTCAACACTCTGGTGCCTTTGTTTTCACAAAAAAGATGACTGGGCTATTTCCAGCTCCTCATCCAGCATTATCCAGCCATTCATGAGGTATTGAGGACTATTGAGGACTATTGAGGACTATTGAGGACTATTGAGGACTATTGAGGACTATTGAGGACTATTGAGGACTATTGAGGACTATTGAGGACTATTGAGGTATGATACTTCCACAATCCATAGACTATTGATCCATAGTTTGATCCATATATCCATACCTCAATACCTCAATACTTCAATAGTTCCTATAGTTTTGATCCATCCCCGGACTTCCGTCTCCAGGAACTTCTGTACGCGCACTTAAGAGAGGTTTTAGCACCTTGCCGAAGCACTGGGATTGGGGATTGATGAGGTGTAAACCATGGGAAAGCCACCAGTAAACATGGTGATTTAATGGTGATATAATCGTGATTTAATGGTGGTTGATGGTTCATGAGGTAAAAAAAAACCTATCAAACCATTCACTTTCTTTAATATGATGATCACAAAACAGTATACATTGGGTATTTTAGGTTTTCAATGGCCAGTTATTATGGTGTTCCCCGTTTATTTCCTCATATCCCAAGTTGGAGATTACTATATTTCATCATATTTCATATTTATGGGGTTAACCATTTTACCAAATGATAGGTAATGGGAACTGCAATGAGGTATTTTCTTGGCGAGTTATGAACGGAACCAGGTCTCATATGTCACAACAAAAAATGGTACATGATCAAAATATGGGTATATACCCCATCATCGACAACGATGGATGTGATAATGGTGAAAGGAACTGGATTTCCCTTTGTCGCTTTTTTCATGGCAGATACTCCTCCGGGCACAAAAAAAGGGATTTGGTTTTATGAGAGAGTAGACAGATTGATTAGACAGATACATACCGTACATATTACATACATTTACATACATAATATACATAGCCAGATACATATACTATGTAAACTATTTGCTCTGTATACAGATTCTATAATATACATGTATACTTATTTATATACATAATATACTTATGACGGTCGCCCATTCCCTCAATTCCCTCAATTGCCTCCCAGTCGGACGAGTCGCACAAGACCTTGGTATTTGTGAGCCGCAAAAGCAGCTGGGACCGTGGAGATTTCCCAAGCTGCTGGGAGGTGTTTCACCAACGATAAGATGGGGAAACCAAGCGATGGATATTGGAATTATATGGAATTATACCTGAATGGTGTCATCAAACATGGCTAGCTGGCAAATCCTCGAACTGAATGGAGGCTTTAATGGACAAATCATGTATAAATGGGAGATTTTCCCTTGCCACGTTTGATTACCAAAGGGTAGACAGGTTGATAGATATAGATAGAGGGATATCACCAATTCATGGTATGTGGCTTTGTCCCAAAATGCGGGAATTGACACCAAACGTTGAAGATATTACCGGACATGGCTTCCCGGCTGTATCCGGAATGTTCAGAATTGGCGACACGTCCCGATATTTCTTCATTAAACAGATTTAGTTTGGCTGAAGAATGTGAGCTTGCATGTTGCCCGACAAATCCTGATTGAGATCCGCTATAAGATCCAAGGATGGTGGTTATGTAACCTTCCTATGTGGACAATTGTCAGAGGTCTCTGAGGCTAACATGAAGACCACCCTAGGCTCACCGAAAGGAATCTCCTAGTGGGATTTGGTAGCCCCAGCCAGTTTGAAAGATTTATATAACATGGACTCAGCGAGACTGTGTTTTCACAGTTTTCACAGATATATCAATATACGTAATATATATATATATATATGTATATGTCAACCAATATGTCAACCATTAGTAACTATATATTTTTACCTGGGAATCTTGACCCCACTTGACTTTGGGATTTCCCTTGAAGGGGTTGATTCCCCTTGACCATCTGAGATTTGGCGGACACACTGGCGAACCGTTTGAAAAGCGAAGGCTTCCGTGCCAATGTCATGCAACTTCTCCGCATTTGGCGGTTGTCTTGTGGGATTTGTTCATCCAATGTTCCGTAAAGGGATCACACCCAATAAATTCATTGTCTCACCATTTAAAAGCTTCCGTCCCAACCGTTCGGTGGTCTTGTGCCCTTCAGAATATTGATCAGTGGTGGCATTGCAAACTGTTGGTGGGTCAGTCATGGAGAGGGACATGCAGCCCACGCCATGGTGGTGAATAGTGAAGACACCACGCAACGAATTGTGGCTGACCATGGAAATGCTGGAATTAGAGTTTTCATTTGTCCAGATCCTATGAGGGATGTTTTTAAATCATGCACTCCACAGGACTTAGACATACTTAGACTTACTTCTTGCTGGATAGCATTGAACATTTCAGATTTGTTGATCCATTTTCAACTACCACCTGTGGATGAAACGCCCAGTTCCTGGATGGGGTTCCAGTGTGGGTTGCAGGGTTTCCATCACCTGGTTGTCTCCTCTGCCAACCTCCGACCAAAGCCATCAACTAACGCAGGAAAACTGACTGGTTGGATTGAAATGTACCATCCTCCTGCATCCAAACTTAAACTAAAACATCAGCCTGCTTCTTTGGGTTCCACTATCCCCCTTAATGGGTTCCTATTGCTTTGTTCCGTGACCCGCTTATTTACAATGATTGGAACAACGGGGTAATAAGTGGTGGCCCAAGCACTAAGGTAAACCTACAAGGGTTGTCATAAGACCCTTGGGGTAAACCACTTTACCATTGTTCCTACTAACCTCGACGAATCACCCACTTTTGGAGTAAAGTAATCTTTCATCTCTTATAATTGGCAGACTCTATGTTAGTTGCAGGATGCATTTCTTCATGAAATCCACATCCATCCCCATGTTTCCATGGCTTTTCCCACGGGATTCCACTTGGATGATGTTTACAGCGCCGTTGCAGGCATGGGGGCAAGAGCCAAGATTCGCGACTGAATACCTTGGAGGCGAAATCATGGGCATGGTATAAATTCTAATTAGATCTAATTTAGTTGGTAAATGTTGGTAATAAATATAAATATAATACATAATATATATATATATATTATAAGGACAAATATAATCACCCCTGGGGAATTGAGGTTACATTTGTGACATTTTCCGGATAATATATTTATATATATGTAGGTAGTATAGTCATCATATGTCAGAATAAATAGTAAGTGGGAAGTAAGCCAGTCATTAAAATTACCGGATAATCTTTGTTTATGCAGACCTAATCATGATATAATCATGATTAAGCATGTGAATGTGGCAAACCCAAATAATAAACTATCTCCAGTTTGTAGAAGTGTGTAGGATTTCAACCATCCGCACTTGGAGGTTTGAGTCATTGGATAATAAATTCATTATAACCGTGATAGCTGAGGCGTTACCTGGTTACCTGGTTCAACTGGTGGCATGACCTGTTTCTTGACTTGACAGATTTGGGCACATGAACTGAAAAGAAGATCTAGAAACATTCACAGAAACCTGGATAGAAGGATGACTGGGGTCAAGGTTACAAAGCCATCAACATGGATGACATGACATATGGTGACATGTTTGGAATTTTCCGGGAAAAACAGCAGAGCAGCAATTCACATCTCGCATTTAGATCCAATCATTGCCCCAGAGGGAAACTCCGCATCCAAATTGAGGTTTGCTTGGAAGAATGGCACGTGGTATACACTGCATACATTTATCTTTCAAGTGCAGTGAATACCAAGGAAATCTTTAAATTTCCCAATATATTTCCCTTAGATTGTCCATATTTAGCCAAATCGGTTGATTTTATCCCATTAATCCCATTAATAATTCCACTAATAATCCCGTTAATATATTAATATTCATTATATATGATGCAATGATATATATATATATATTATACTGGTTGGTTGTTTCAAACATTTTTTAATTTTCCACAATATATGGGATAATCCTTCCCATTGACTATATTTTTCAAGATGGTTGAAACCTCCAACCAGTATATCATTGAATATCAGTGATTTTCCCAACTTCAACCAGTGATTCACCATGGATATCCATGGAACTGTGCCACGCTTCGCTGCACCGCTGGCACTGCAGGGCTTCCGGAATGGCGAGATCCAACTGCTGGTGACCACCGACGTCATGGGCCGCGGATTGGACATCCCCGGCATCTCTCACGTGCCGTGGCGCAGAAAAGATGGGGATTTTACCAGAAAGCAACCCACTTTACCATTAAAGGTGGGGAAATCTGGTTTAATGGGCTGGTTTCCCATGCCAAGGATGAGTAAAATAATTTGTGGAGAAAAACACTTTGGCAGGTCAGTTGATTGCCCCAACTTTCCGAATGTAATTTGCCGTCAAGTTGGGAGTGGGGTAATTGGGATCATGAACACGATTGACATTATGGTGGAAAGGCAAAGGTATGTATGAAATAAAGTTATGAGATTTTATGATGTAGGAAGATTTATGAATAAATAAATGATCGATTTCAGATTCAGGGATTAATTTTTCAGGATGGTGAATGGCCACGTATTTACCAACCCTATAAGGCTTACCCTAAGGCGATGACATTTTCTCTGGGTGTTCATTTTTGATGCTGGTCTTACCATAGAAACTTTATGACATCATATGACATCATATGAAAATGTGTGAGCTGAAATTTGAAATATCTCCAACCATGTTACCATGTTTATGGTGCGCAAGGTGGTGATCTATGACATGGGGGATATTGAGGTGCAGCAAGGGTGATGCGCGGGTGGAAGGATTTGGATGGTCATATTTCTTGGTCAACGATCAACCCACTCTCCGATGAACCGCTCAGTTTTTATCACATTTATCAATCAATGATGACTTTGATCCAACCATATCCAACCGAAACTATGATGTTATGGTGATTGGTTCGGCATAAATCAATCTGCCATTTTCTGTCATTTTGTTTGCCATCAATGGGGGAGCATGATACTCAGCAGTTTATGTTGCAGGGTATCTAGGACCGGCCACGATTAGTTAGTCGGTTTAAGATTGTTTAAGTGGATTCAGTGGATCTGAAAACCAAAGTCAGGGGGATATGCCAATTTTGTTTTGCAAACGGGTATTTACCACCACAATGCTAGTCGGTAGCTTCAATTTTTTTTTCAGGTTCAACTATATTCCAGATGATGATATCAAAATTTACGTTTTTTTTGGCGATGGGTTGCAAAACAAAACACCAATCAGATTCATTGACGCAGCTGGATCGTTGCCCCTCACAATCATCGTGAGGTCTCCAACTTCCCATCCCAGAGACTCACCGGGGCCCAAAATGGTCCATATCCAACAGCTTTAATGGTCCACATCCCAGGCTATTTCGTATTGAATACCATGATATCCCATTGCTAAGAAAATGGTTGGCAAGCTATAAGCTTATGTACGTATTCATTGTATTTCATCATTATATCCTAAGTATATGACCATTATGACCCTTGTATCCTCATTGACACCTAATGGATCGGTGCAGGACTATGTGCATCGCATCGGGCGCACAGCCCGTGGTCCCTATGGTCAAGGGCATGCCTGGAGCACCCAGCCAGATGTTGACACCAAAGATGAAGGTTAGGCATCCAAAAGGTGGTGATTGGTGGTGTAATCATAAAATATTTAGGTTTAACATGGTTTAAATCTGTTTAACCAACAAATGTGGACAATATTGGATGGTAACCCATGAACATAAGGGTACGTAAGGTATATAACTTAAGCCGCAATGATGCAATAATTGAGTAAGCCAACTGGTGGAGGGTAGATGAAAATTGGTAAGTTTGCAGCCATAAATCGTAAGTGGAGAACTATCGACATTCACGACTTGCTACCGATGTGGGTGAGTAGGAAAGCTAGGCTGAATAGACTTTATGGTCCAACAAATCAGGTTTGCACTTTGATATGAACTATCGAGATCCAGACAGAATCAGTGTTCTGAAAGACATGTCCAATTGATTTAAACTGCATGCTATATTTGCTGCCTTTTTCTCACCAGTTTCGAGAAATTTTAGAACTGCTGAAAACTAGAATGGAGAAAATGAAGTCTCCTGCTAGTGGTGTGGGCAGACCATTGGAGTGATGGACAGCATGTATATAGCCTGCGCTACTGAAACGGAAAATGAGCACACCCAGTGTACCAGGTGTGGGAAAGCCCCTCGCATGCCTAATTGGCAAAAGTTACGGAGATAGAATGATACCATTTGACTGGATGCAAGGCCATTCACCACGGTGACATAGCCATAGCGTCGAAGTTGATAGGGAGCAGCAATCTGATTGAGAAGGGAGGATCAAGGTTGACTGTGGAACCTATCCAATCTGCTGTGAATGGATTCCCGAAGACACACAAGTCTCAGCGGCGGTACGTCTGATTCTTCGACTTCGAGATGGTATGTTTCATTATTTTTTGGGGCGAAGCTTCAATACATGAGTGCTGATGATTGACTTGCACAGGCAGTCTGTCCCATTTTGCTTAGCCCTGGCCCCTTCCCATGTTTGGAACGATTCGGGAGGTCGTTGCTTGCTGATACTGGAAGACGTAGATTTATCAAGAATGGTTACATGCCTACAGATGGTCAAGATGGGAACATCGACTTCATAGTTGGTCAAGCTGAGTTTAGTTACGACATGTTAAGACACTTCAATCCACTGTTTTTTGCGGCATCAGTCGCATGAATCATTTGTTTACTTCCAGGCAAAGATCAGCTATGGTCTACTACTGCTGGATATTCGCCTATTGATTGTATACCAACTTTCGTTGATTGTAGCGCACTGCCAGTACTAGCAGTATACACCACGATTGTTGGGAACAAACATTTGACAAAAGCCCGGACGAGTTTGTATGTTGTGTGATATGACATTGTTTGGGTGTTTCGAATCATGTGGCAAGTTCTCGTAAGCCGACCGTGATGATATTGACTCAATCCATGTTCACGTGTAACCACCATTGTCAAAGTCAAAAACACTTGTTTGAGATTGATGCTGATTTTTGCGCGGAAAATTCCTTGAAAATTGTCTTTATTGAATTGATTATGAGATTGGGGGATCCAAAATCAGATGACCATATAATTATATAAAATAGAACAATGGCCAACATTTGTGGTCTGGGCCTTTGATTTTGGCCCGACCTATGTTGGTTGGTTTAATTCTCCAGATTTTCTGTGCAAACACAAGAGATTCTACGGGTGCTTCCTCCGAATGTGCTAGTGAGACGTATTCTTTTGTGACTTTTTACTTGTCGTAGCCCCAGTTATCTACATGGGTATGGCTGAAAACTAGTTACCAGTTACCCACTAAAACATGATTCATTGGTACCCCAAGTCAGGCGTCGCCATGCGTAACTTAAGTTCCTCCTGTTCTCGCAGCTGAGGCGCTGACCTTCTACGAGTATGACAAGAAGTGGCCGAAGCTGCCAAGGTGCATGGGAAAATGGGGATAAATGATTGGATAAATTAATTAATGGGGAACTATCAGCAATCGGATAACTGATAATGTATCCAACAATAATAATAATAGCTCACCCACTATCATAGGGTAACTTGGGATGAATTGGGAACTATTGCGAGGATAGCTCGGATATATGACACTGTAAGTATTTTGGCATATGTCAAATCACGTGAAAAAAACCAACTGTCGTGGTGAAACGACAAGACCTGCCTCCTTACGGCATCTGCATCAAAAAACAATATCATGAGCATTAAAAAACTATTATTGGAGTGGAAAGGAAGGAACGAAGGAACGAAGGAAGGAAGGGGAACGAAGGAAGGAAGGGGAAGGAAGGAAGGAAGGAAGGAAGGAAGGAAGGAAGGAGGGAAGGAAGTATTTCGGATTTTTTTTTCATTTTTTTTTGTCCTGGCTCCTGGTGGCTTCCTGGCTTCTGTGGCTTCTACGGTCCTGGCTCCTGGTGGCTCCTGATGAGTCTGATGGCTCCGGTGGCTCCTGGTGGCTTCTGGCTTCTGTGGCTTCTATTGCTTCTATGGTTCCTATGGCTCATCTATCATCTATCGATCAATCAATCGATTTAATATATATGCAGGGTTTGGTTTAGGGTTTCTTCTAGATTTGTTTAGGGTCTATGTGGGGATGGTTTGAGGTTTCTTTAGGGCTGGTTTAGGGTCTGATCACGATTTGTTTAGGGTTGGATTGGGGGCAACATGTACATACAAATAACTATTATTATGTGGATGCATATCCATGCACATGATTATTTATAGTTTATTTTGGGATGAAAGCTGCGCATGTATCTATAAGTATAAATGCTTGTGTATTTATATATATATATATACACATACGTATGAGTGTATATATATATATATTATATTGAAATATAAAGTATATATATATATAGTCGAATCAAACTAGCATAATTGAAAAGTGTGCAAATTTGAATATAAATAAAAAAAAATGCGGGAGGGGGGATTTTGGGGGAGGGCACAGCGCCTCCCCCCAAAGCAGATTGGAAACGCTTATTTTCACATGCAAGGTGCTGGGTTGAATGTGGTACTCAAGGTGTATATCCTCACGATATGCACCCTGGAAACATGTGGAATGTAGGTTAAGGCCCAACGATGCACAATGGTTTCATTGGGTGTTATCATTGTGTTGGTTTAAGATCTCTTTATATAAGGCTGTTGTATTGTATATTCTGGCTTGGTTCAGGGTTGGCTTGGGCTTTGACCATCATCTCGGTGATAGATAGATGGATGGATGGATGGATGGATAGATAGATAAGATAGATTAGATAGATTAGATAGATTAGATAGATTCGATAGATTCGATAGACTAGAAAGATTAGATAGATTCGATAGATTAGATAGATTATATAGATAGATTAGATAGATTAGATAGAAAGATTAGATAGATTAGATAGATTAGATAGATTAGATAGATTAGATAGATTAGATAGATTAGATAGATAGATAGATAGATAGATAGATAGATAGATAGATGGATAGATGGATAGATGGATAGATGATGATAGATGGATAGATGGATAGATGGATAGATGGATAGATGGATAGATAGATAGATGATAGATGATAGATCGAGATAGATGATAGAGGGGATAGATGGATAGATGGATAGATGGATAGAGGGATAGATGGATAGATGGATAGATGGATAGATGGATAGATGGATAGATGGATAGATGGATAGATGGATAGATAGATAGATAGATAGATAGGTAGATAGATAGATAGGTAGATAGATAGATAGATAAGATGGATGGATGGATGGATGGATAGATCGATAGATCGATCCTTGGAAGATAAATGAAAAAGGACAGGGACATAGAAAAAAGAGAGAGAGAGAGAGAGCAAGAGCGCGAGCAAGAGCGAGAGAGATAAAGAGATCGAGATAGATCGTCGGCAAAATGGATAAACGATAGGCAGGCAGACAGATCGATGAAAAGAAAAAAACTAGAGAGAGACACAGAGACACAGAAACATAGAGATATAGAAAGAGAGAGACTCAGAACCTCAACCACGTTTCCGTCTCGTCCATCAGTGGCTTCGATCTGCCATCCATGCATCACAACAATACCTGTTCTGTAGGTGTCCCATCTTTCAATCTTCCGCCGCCGCCTTGCGCGGCACTACTGGTAATTTACGAGAGAGAGAGAGAGAGTATCACCCAATGCCACCTGAAACAAATCCTATCCACAGTTCGGTTTCAGGAAACTAGTGGACGTCTTGGAGCAATCTGGTCAAGAGGCCCGACTTTGGACAATTTTGGATGAAAGTCCTCGACAAGGGGCCTGCAAACGATGGGTAGGTTGGGTCACAACTAGGCTAATTGTTGGGGTTGGAATGGCTATTTGTACAGTTGGGTTCGTCAACTAATTTTTATTGGGAAAAAAACTGGTTTGTCAGGAAGCATTTGAGGGACCTAAATGGGAGGTACCATATGCAAGATCTATGTAGAGGCTGTGTAAGGGAATATCCTCTCAAAATATGGCCCTATATATCTATAAACATTATAAACGCAGTACCCTCATTGTAGGTACCTGCATCGGACATTGACCTATCAGGAATAGGGATTTTCCATTGCGATGCCAATCTGAAGATTGCCAGAATGCATCACAGTGCATTCCCCAATTGGCCGACGTTTCTCCACCTGTTTGATTGGATCTGAAACTGTTGCTGCTTAAAAAAAAACATTTTTGTCCGTGGATTTCCAATCTTTGGTTACACCCCCCAAATTTACGATGGACCCCCAAAAACAGTTAACAAATGGGTTTAGAGGATGATTTTTTCCCATTGAATGTGGCCATCTAACACCAGCGACCCTTGATAAAGAATCAAACAGGAAGAAATTGACGTGACGAGATGCATCGTTTCTCACAGCATGTATTGTTTTTTTCGGAACATGTGTTGCACAGCATGGCTTCCATGTGATTTTTTGCCGTAAAAACCAAAAACGACGGGCCATTCCTTGGCTTCCACAAGCGGCGCTGCACAAATCGCCGCGGAGGTCCCGCCAGAACTGGTGGCCCTGGCAGAGGGATGCGGCCAGGATGGCCCTGTTGGCAATATACGCAAACCGCAGGCGGAGAAGGGTGGCTGGAGCGAAGATAGTATGAACCATTTTAAGATCACCAGATTTTTCTTGGGGGTGGTTAGTCTTCTTTTGGGGATGTGATACCATTTCGCCATACTAAATTTTAAATTCCCAACAGGTATCCAACAGCGTATTTGGTCTGTGCTCTAGGTTGGATTAACAATTGAGGGTTTTACCCAATGAAAAGTAAGTTGGAACCGTAACTTGGAACCCTCTTCAAAATTGTTTTTGGATAATTAATTTCTTCTTGTAGAAAGCGATGTTACAGTGAACCCACGTTGCATCTCGACAGGAGTTTAATTTGGTTGGGACGTGTAGAAAGTTTAGAGGTGACACAATCGACAGACAGAAGGCTTTGAACAACAAAACAGGTCATACAGACAGAACAGATCAGAAGTAGTGGATTAATGGATTTACATAGCATCCTCTGACCATATTTGTTCAGTCAAGGGTTCGCAGAAGAGCGAGCAAAGTTCACTGCTTCAGAAATGAGGAAACACATATCGCTATATATACTCCCGTTGGTGAAAGCTTGGCGGAACAATTTTAGGAAGTCGTTGCGATTCAGGTGTGTAGGTGGTGATTTGTGAATTCTAAAATTGGTAATATGTTTAGATGATTTGTTATCTAGATGTGTTTTGCTATCTCGGGTCTACGCTGGCGTAATTACTTTTTCTGTAACTTCCGCAGCCCACCTTGAGGGGGAATGCCGGTTAAGAAGTTTATCGGGAAATTGCATATTGCAGGGTTTGCCTCGCAGTTCCTGAGGGCCACGGGAAAGTAAGGCGGAAGTCTTTTTGAATGTGGCGTTTACATGGGGTACAAGGGACCTGGCGCGCGTTTACATGGTGATCTAGTTTTCCCAGCATACATGGCAAGGACTTTTGCCGTTTTGCCTTTGAGTGTATTTATATATTAATACGCATACTTTGGCCAGATATTGCTGACCTGTCAAAATGATACTTCTTTGCAGTTTTTCACTTCAACGGCCATCACTTCTGGGTAGCTCGAGAGAATCAGATAGCATCCAAAGTTTCGCTTTATCCTTCAAAATTGGTAGGTTTATCACCCCTTGATGGTTCGGTAGTTCAAGATGCTAGCAGGATATCCACCAGTAAGTAGATGACATTACATGACTGAGAAGATTCCCAACAAAGAAGTGAACATGTCGGAACCCCCTTTGTGCACTCCGCCAAGTTTCTTGTACTGCAAAGGAATTCAGAACTTATACGCCCTTTGGTACACCAATTGAGTCGACCCCTTACCCCAGTGTGCTGTCGCGCCAGGGTTGGAAGAGTTGGATGTGACAGTTCGGAGGATTTGCAGCCAACTTAGGTGAGGGTCTCTTCGCACTGGAGGGGCTGCGGAAGAAAAGAGATGCAGCGTGGGGGGGTTGATGGGTTCGTGAGGGAAGGGCTTGAGGAGGAACTCAGTCAAGTAACTCTTAAGAAAACCGCTGATTGTAAGTCCCTTAACTTGATGCATTCATCGCTGCATTACAAAAGTTATCATGGCTATAAACTAGTTGCCAACCACTTCCGTCCATTTATATCCACATTTCAGTTGGTGAAACCAGTTGGCTCGGAGGTCAAATGTTTGACCATACATGAACAAAAGGGACGAACTTCCTAGCAAATTCATTGAGCTCATTTATGGTAGAAGGAAAACCATGGTATAGCAATACTGTTGCTATCCAAAAGTGGTGGTTTCCTGCTATTGTTCCCATGAACCACTTCGTCGTCATTATGAGTTACTCCCATGCTTCGTTAGTTCGCATCCCCAATGGTGTTGGTCAATGACCTGGCCGGGTGTGATTATTATGTACAGCACCTACTGGAATTAATGCTATGCAGCGACTGGAATCATAGTACTCTTTGAGAGGAGCAACCAACTTCCTTCCTTCGGGGGTTAAGCATCAGTTTTGTGGTTGGTGCTTTGGAACATCTTTCGATGTTCCCCCCAAATAGTCTTAAATCAAAGTGATGATTCATTATGATTCATTATGATCTAAAATGACGATTCAAAATGACGAAGCCACCCGTGTCAGTTTCGGCACCTTGGGCCAGCGTCCCCGTCAGGTGAAGAGTCTTCAAGAGAAGTTGGATGAGAAGGTGAGACTGGAGCACCAGTTGAAGGAGACAGGGCCATGGCGGCCATGGCGGCCATGGCGGCCATGGGAGTCGGGCAAACATGGCCTCAGCGTAAAGGGCAATCCATGAAAATTGACGACACGTGATGGACACGTAGATGTTGGTCGTTTTAATATTAACCTTATTAACCATCCATTTTGGTTGGTGGTGCCAATTTTCACCCATAGCAATATCACTGTCAGAATTCCCATTTTGGATGGTGTTTCATGTTTATATCTCTTTGAAGTCCTGGCAATTTGCTGTTTTAATCTCCATTCATTCCACTTCTTTTGCGAAGAATATCTTGCGACCAAACTATTCGCAATAACCTAGATGCAGAAGCATTGGGAACCCAAATGACATCGATTTAGGATGGTGAACGTACCAGAACTTAAATATGGGTAAAAAAAACCTCCAACCTCACGTTCATTTGAGTTGATGTATTGTCTTTATATGAATGCAATGCATTATACGTACTGCATGCTCAACTCACAAGAATCCATCCGGCCATAAATAACATGGTTTGTCTATGTTTATCTGGCAGTTGTAAGAACACGTATAATTAATCGCAAACAAAATACAGAGAAACCGGATGGGCGCACAACATTATATTCATGAAGTGTAATACAGGAATACATCGTTGCTTATTATATGTATTATTTCCTGGCGCGCTCCCGAGCGCCGTCGGCTGCCGCACTAACAAAGCCAAAGCCGCGGGAGGAAAAGGTCTGCATTCTGGAGTCGCAGGTGTGGGTCCCGATTTCTTTGGCGTTGCCCTCGTTTCAAATCCCATTTGGGTTGGTTAGTTGATCATCCCAGCCATCATTGGGTTATAGCATGTTCTAACCTTATAAGCAGCGTACATGCGCTTAGTCCAGTGGTATCTGGGGTTACACCCACTTATGATGAGCGGCCAAATAGTTTCTCCAATGTTTAGAGGAAACATATAGCCCCATTCGGTCGGCTAAGTGCACCTTGTCAACATGACAGTGCCCAAAGGGTACCCCATGGTACCCCAGTTTTGAGACATTCCTAGCTGATATGATCATTGAGCATGGCCATGTTCCCAAAAGAATCAGCATGATGTGGTGAGCTCAAGGGTTAGCCAGACCTAGTTGTGCCTATCTCCTTTAAGAGGCAGATCAGCCTAATGATTGTGCTATTTATAATCCGCTCACCACAAATAATTGTGGAAGATTTGGACATGACAAATATCTATTTGTACAACATTCTTTAACAATGGATTCAATATTATTGTTTCTCTCAATGTTTACATTTCTGTTTAGAGAGGTGTTGGGGTCCTCAGAATCTCTCGGCGCAGGTGCAGCAGCATCTGGCCGAGGCATCGCGACTGCGGCAGGACGGTGACTTGGGGTCCTGAAAAAAAATATGGGGTTTTAGTATTGAAACCCATGGTGACTTGGCGTGCCACCATTTCAGGAAACCAAATGGGACGTCATGGACAATCGTAGGTGTTTGAAGAACAAAGACTAATTAGATTCAGGTAGATATAATTCAGTAGTAGCATACACTGGCCATGTGGTTTGAATATATTTGAACGCTAGTTGTGGATTTTCCTTAAAATAAGCATATGTATTCATTGGGTCTAAAAACCTGATACATTGTAGTTGTGTTTGGAGTGATCTAAGATTATCCCTCTTTACAAGTGTTTATCAGAGCCAGTTTCCTTCACCAACATTAAACATTGGATGGTCATGTTGAAAGTTTTTTGTTGTTGTGAAAGCACTACCCATCGCTCTGAGTCGCCTTGGAACCGTGGTTTTTGAAGCCGCCATGGGTCACACATCCAGAGGACGTGCTGAGACTGCAGACGCTGGCGGATGAGCGCGGACTGACGGTGGAGAAGGTGCAGAAGCGCGAAGACAACTCCTCTGAGAAGGTGCGTTGGGGAAGGAGGGCACTTGGTGCTGAAGCAAGGCACTGGGAAATTTGCATATATTTTACACATATCAGTATGCGTATACTAGTGTATATATATATATTATGTTATACCTATATTTAGTATGATATATTATATTACATATTGTATATTATACATATTATTGCATATATATATATATTGCATATATATATTGCATATATATATATATATTATTATTATTATTATAATATATATATATATATATTGGATGTATATATATATATATATATTGGATGTATATATATATATATTGGATGTATATATATATATTATTTTATACATATATACATTATATATATAGTGTATATATATATATTATTGTATATATATATATATTTATATTTATATATTATTGTAGATATATATTTATATTATTATATATATATTGTTTATGTATATATATACAATATATATATATATATATAATATAATATATTTAATATATATATATAATATAATAATATATATATATACAATATATATATATATACAATATATATATATACAATATATATATATACAATATATATATATATATACAATATATATGGCGATCGATCTAAAGGTCCTTGTAAGGAGTTTTTTAATTGCGAAAGCCGTGCATGTTATGTTGGAAACCCTCGCGAAGGTTGTTTTCCGAGTTCGCGAAAGTAACATTTTTTTTCGCGAAAGTTTCGCGAAAGTTGGATATTATAATCATTATGTAAAGGGCTGCCACCCACTGCCGCCCGGGGTCCGGCAGGAGAAGGGCACTAGAGAATTTCGGTTTGTTTCTGGTTCAGTTCCCTGTGTGGTGGTGCTTGTGGACAATCACATCCTTCATAGGTAGCAGCCGAGCTTCCAAAGGCGAGGCTTCGCGACAGCCAAGTGCCATGGTCATGAAGCACATCCTTGCACCTGCCGTGATGATGCTTTTTGAAGCCTCAAGAAACAAGATCCACATGCAGCAGCCAAGTTTCCAAAAGTGAGGCTTTGCGAGAGCCAAACACCAAGGCCCCTGGTGTTCGCTTTTCCTTCAATGCACCCGCTGCTGATGGCCGGGGTCTGTGAATAGGGATATTTTCGCGAAAGTTCCGCGAAAGTTATGCGAAAGAGCGGGCGAAAGTCAAAGTGCATGTTGAAGGGGGTGGGCCAGTAAACCTTGCCAAAAAAACCTAGTCAGCAACAATCTGCCCTGAGAAGGGATTCCGTGATGCTAGCTGCATGTTTAAAAGGCTATATCAAGAAGTGATCCGTGATTCTCTGGGGTGAACGAATCTTCATAAGAGGTGTTGTTGGCCAACATGGGCCCCGCGACAGATGAACATGGAGTTCGCGAAAGTTTCGCGGAAGTAACATTTTTATTCGCGAAGAATGGCCGTTCCCGGATAAAGAAATTTTGATCAAAACCCATATATATATATATTGATATTGTATATATATATATATATACAATATATATATATATTGACACAATATATTTATATACTATATATATATATTTTAAATATATATAAATATATTGTATATAAATATATTGTGTATATATATATATATATGTTGTATATATATATATAAATATATATTGTATATAAATATATTGTATAGAACATATATATATATGTATTGTGTATATATATATATATGTATTGTGTATATATATATATTTATTGTATATATATATATATTATGTATATATAGTATGCAATTTTGCACAACAATAATGGGCGTAAGACCTGTGCCATTCCTTAAACAAATAGGTTATGTGGAGTGTAGCTGTAGCTGATCGAAAGCTCGCCAGGGATCCAAATGGCAAAGATGATGGTATATAACTTAGCAGACAATCAGCGGGGGAATGAATACATCGGTCAAAACGTAAGACCCAACTGCATGAGTTGGTCATGTTTCAATCTTGGCCTTGCATCTTTGCAGGTTACCTAAGTTTGAGCAATGAAATACATAGATGATCCCCACAGCCCATTGCAATGTGAGCCCAATTCCATATACCCAAACATGAGAATCTGAAAAACCCAAGCTGAGAGTACAATTAGCCAAAAATAAACACAACGACCTGACGCAGTAACCATTGTTTCAGCCAGTTTCCAGCCTACTTGCAATCTGATGACCCGATGCTGGAATTTACAAGCGCGATGATTAGCCATCCATTTGCAAGACTGTTCAAGAAATGCTGGACGACCGTCCGCAAAATCATACCAACACCAATTATGTCACAGAGTCATGCTGTTCTTTCGGCTTGGTTTTAGCCTTCTGGTTTATGAGACTGATTGGTGGATTGCGCGATTTTGTGAAACCATTAGTATGTAATGAGTCTAGTGGCCGTTTTGAACATGGTAGAACTTCCCTAGAACCACTGATTTGGTTTTTTGCCCACTGCAGTGCATTAAAGACTTGCAAGCATTGCCCCATTCGAAATTAGTCACCGCCCTGGCCTCCGACTGCGGGCCAGGCCTCTGAAATGCAGAAGCGTTTGCAGGAGACACAGAGCGCCCTGCTGACGGAGCCTTTGCTGCACTCCAGAGATGCTGCGAATGGGTGCTTGGGACCCCTAAAGGATGATGCACCCCTTGGGTCACAATAAATTCATAGAAATTCTACATGGTTGGACTGTTTTAATTGGTAAAAGGCTCTTTTTGAGTTGTCCAAATCCATCTAGACCTCCATTTCAGTTCCTTCCCTCACACCTATTTTTGGTGGGGTTGAAACCACCAGCTTGTTAATTGTCAGCGTCCTCAATTTTGGTTCATGACCACCCCGTGCAAAAATCCGTATTATATTGCGATTCCCTCCCTCTCTTTATGTCTCTTCGTCTATAATATTTATAGATATAGATATATATATATATATTTCTTTTACAACATAATAATAACAATAAAAATAGTAATAATACGGCCAAACACCTTGATTTGCCCGCGCTTTTCGGCGGCCATCTTCCGACGTGCCGTAATAATAGTAGTAATAATCATACACAATACATATATATATATATATATCTCCCCACTAGATATCCCCACAAAACCCACACAGAAACCAGGACTTCAGATCCTCAGCTCAGGAACGTGGGAAGCTCCAAGAGACGGAAGTGGAGCTCTACCGCGCCCGGGAGTCCCTGTCCTCCGTCCGGGCAGCCTGGCGGTTGGTTCATGGGGGATATAGGGAGATGCTGCGGAACTGGTACTAACTATAGATGGTTTATAAACATTAGATGGTTATATTAAATGGTTTATTAGATGCTTTATAAACCCCAACTATAGATGTTCCCACATGTTCCCACTATATCACACCATATGCCAGAGACAGCCTAGTTATAAACCAACTTAGATAACCACGGGGCATCGCCGGGCATCGCCGGGCATCAGCCTTGCCGGCCTTGCGGAGCGAAATGACGTTGTAACCATACCCAGCTACTGCATTCCCAAAAAGGTGGTTCCCTGATTTCATTTATTAAGTCAATCCACAAATCTGCAAGAAGTCAATCATAGGCATAGGTTTCTAGTTTCAAACGATGAACGGTTTGACATTGATACCTTTTAGATACCGCTATACTTCAAAATAGATTCAATAGTAGGTTTTCAATTTGAACATGACCAACATCAGTCTATACCCGCGGTGGTCATCCCAGCTCCCTTGTTCTGCTGCACCCAGGCGCGGAAAGAAGCGGACGAAGTGAAGCGAACGGAAGAGGTGGTCCATTTGGAGTCTCAGAGGGAACCCAAAATGGGAACCCAAAATGGGAATTTGATGGATACTACGATGATATTACTACCTTCTGGTACTCAAACGCGGCTATTTGGAAGATGTAGGAAGTGCAGTTCCAGTTGCAAGTGGATATATCACCATAGTTATAGGGGTTACATCCCAACTTATGGGGCTTACAATGCTATGGTTATACCGTACACATTTGTAACCTCGACTGCACCCCCAAAGAGCAGGCCCGAACCAAATGGGGGTTCCCATTGCCACGTTTGATTACTGGATGGTATTGGATGGTAAACGAACATAAACCAGCAAATGATGGGGACTTAATATGACTTAATGGGGATATCTTACTTTGTTGGTTACTCTGGCTTTGAGACATCTTACTTTGTTGGTGTGGTATATGTCCAAAAAGTTTTAGGTGAAACAACCTGCATGCCTGAATCAATCCATGAATATCAATATATAAATCCATTTTGTTGGGGGTGAATCGCCCGACTTTGTTGGTTACTCTCCAGTCAATTAAACAGATGGACAATCCGCCATTTGTAGATCAATGTAGATCAATTTTCCTGTGGAAAAACCATTTTGTTCTGCAAATTTATTGGAGGGAAACCCATTCATCAATCTCGGCTATATATATATATAATTATATTATTATCATTATCATCATTCTTCTTCTTAATATATATATATATTATATTAAGAAGAAGAATGATGATAATGATAATAATATAATTATATATATATATGTATACCATGTAGACTTATTAACTGCCATTCATACCCCCATTAATCATATTAAATTCATCTTAATCTGCCACGCGGCAGGCGGCGCGGCGTGAGGCCATCCGGCGCAGCGACGAGAAGCTGGCGCAGGTCGGAAAAAATCGGAGGATGAAATGGTTACAGCAAATCTCAAAAGGACCATTGTGGTGAGATATATATGATATATATGGTATATATATATATGTATATATGGGATACATGATGGGAATATATATATATATATATGGGAATATATGGAATAATCTACATGGAATATATGATGTGATAACATATGTATATACAGATATGGGAATGATGATTAATCCCTTCTTCCTATTACTAACCCCCCCTAAACAATAAAGACTACCCTAGATTATTTTTTGGGGAAATTTCAGATTGGTCAATTTGACTTTTAATTGATTCCCTTTAGAAAACAAGTTATTTAAAAATCAAGGTCCATTTGAAGGTTCTACCCCCTTAGGGTCTGTTTGTTAAAATCAAACAAATCAGATTTTTTATCAAGGTTTTAGCTTCGAAATCCAAATTTTGACACTATTTTAATTGGATTATAAAAGGGAGTTCAATTGATTTTGAAATCGACCATTTTAGTTTTTTTTAAATAAGGTTTTAAATTATTTTTTTAGGGGAAAACTTATCCCCCGATTATTAAATACCCCCTAATAATAAAAACTACCCCTAGGTTTTATTATTTGGGAGGGGGGACGTTTAATATTGGGGTGAAGGGAGTATATGAGTCACGAGACGATTATAGTCAATTGTGATTGGGATTATGGTCACAGCAGTGGCTGCAAAACCCCTGTTACTGTTGGCTGATTATTATATGAATTATATGGGATATTATGGGCTTACACTACCCAATATATCTGTGATTGTCATAATCAGTTACGTGAGTTTCAAATCTCAGCACTCTCAGCACTCTCAGAATACAGCAGACTATGATGCATGAGTACTCCCAGAAGTGAAACCAAAACATGCATTGAGAAAACCAGGAAATCATGCCACAACTTGCAGGAATTTATGGCCATAAAATATTGCGGAAATGGATTCTCCGATTCTCCATCCCCTAGCAGTGGGGGGACAGGAACTGAGCCACACCCAGCAGTTGTTGGCCAATCGGGTGTCGCGGGCAGAGGAGCAGGTGCTGAATAGGATGACTGGGGTGGAGCTGTTGGAAGAAAGGTGGCATACCAATTTTGGATTTCGGCCTCAAAAGTAGAGGTCAGTCCAAAATTATGATGATACCAATTTGGATTCTTTGGACTGTAAGGCTTTATTGGGATGCTGGCATGATATTGTCTTCAAAAAGAGTGTGCATTGAAGATGGTTAGCATTATTTTCACCCACAAATTACAGTACTGGATGACCATCTTGACGCAGACGGCTGAGGTTAGGGCCACACCACCGTATATTTGAAGGAGATCAAACACCTCCATCTTGAACGACTTTCTTGGTTTCTGGTGCTCATGATTGGTAAATTTATATATATATATATATTTGGGTAACACAATCCAGCCAGGGAAGATGAGATCCAGTTTTTGAATTGCGTAGGACGGCATAGGGCATCTCACAGGTCAAAATGTTTAGCAATGTCCTAAGCGAAAATTGGATGGTTGAGTTTCAACAAAGCTGACCAGCATGTGGGTCAATATTGGTACCCCATGTTCGAGCCCCAAGGCAGCTATCTTAGGATCTGTCAATGGGAAATAATCTATCATGATCAATGGTTTCCCCCTTCACAATCCCAGCGATAATGGTACTGGATTGTAATGGTGAATACTTCTAGTATCCTTTTATGGTCGATATCATGTTCGTGAGTAATAAGAATTCATCATATCTATGGAAAGTATCATTATGATTTATATACATGTATTGTTATATGTATTATTATATGTATTATTATATGTATTATTATATGTATTATTATATGTATTATTATATGTATTATTATATTATCATGTCCTCAATATAATAACCGTTCCCTTTGATAGTCAGGCCGGGATGTCCCAGCCCATGGCACCATCCCAGGTGGCGGAACGCGACGCCGAGATCCTGCGTTTGGATCGAGAGCTGACGTGTCTTGGCGGGGTATGATCAGGTATGCAACTATACGGCTTTTACATGTTTTTACACTATATAATAGCTACATATAATAGATTTTAATAGTAAAACAATGAGTATAACTGTAGTGCAACTATAGGGTATGTAACTATAGGGTATGTAACTGTAGGGTATGTTGCACTATAATAGATATAATAGTTACAATGTTACAAATAATAATGTGTATAACTGTAGTGTAAATATATGTGTATACTATTATACTATGATAGTGAATGTTTATTTTTGGATGTGCATAGTATAATACAAATAGAATAGATTGACATGAGACAAATGATGCTGGTTGAGTTTGGGGAGACTAATTCTGGCAGATTAGGGACCGCCATATGACTTGCTTGCAACTGTGTCACGGTCACCATGTAGCGATCGTGTCTTGACCTTGGAGTTTATTGGATTTATGTGGCCATTTTCCCAATGGCCAGTTTGAGTTTCAAGTTCTCATATTCATCCCATTCATCCCATTCACATGAGCCATTTCTCTGAGCCATTCCCAGCACTTTCCGTTTTAGAAATCTTTTGCAGAAAAAAAACACATCAACTTGACACAACTTGAGCCCCATCAAAAATCATCAAAGGCAATGCCGGGGATATCTGGCGCAGCGCGAGCGAGAAGCCTCCCAGCTCGGGAGCCCCAGTGGTTACCATAGGGTGGAGCCCCAATTCCCATATAGCAAACAATATATTGGAATATTAACAATCATCATTGATGATAATTATATCTGAATATATCTGTAGATATATCTGATATGTATGGGTTTTTCCAAAAATGGAAGGATCAGCCATCAACTGTTGGGGTACCATATGTTAAAACAAAACCATAAGTTGGTTATGACCCAGCTTATGTGCAATGTGTACGTAACAATTGAGATAGAAGTTGTAACCCCGGTCATGTTTGGATAGTTGTCCTTGTTGAATTCATCAGCCAAAATGTCAACAATAATGATGGAGAGATGAAACGGCAATGAATCACTGTTGATCCTGCTTCTGCATTTACTGCCGGAAGTCGAACAGTTTTGTTCTTTTCAAATCTTTTCAATAGGAATCAGTTCTGGTATGATTCAATATGATTCAATGTAGGAATGTTGCAGGACCCATCCAGACTACGCTGTGCAAAAATGTTTGCTGGGTTATTCTGCGTACACATCTAACAAAGGTGGTCTTGGGTGGAAATCCGGACAACCGCTACACTATTTATCATGGCGCATATTTTTCCACACTGAAAATTGGCAGATTCTGTTGATTCCACATTAGATTTCAGAGTAAATCAAACGGGATATGTATAGCCAGCTTCAGCTTGGTAAAGCATTCTGTGAAGGGCACCCAAACATATGCCATTTGATGGTGGATTGCAGACTTAACAGCTGGGGCCTACTCCAAGCCACGTAATTTTACAATATTTCTTAGTGGGTGGGTGCAACCGTGCAACCCAGACAAGCAAACTGTTGGAAACTGTTGGGATCATCCCAGTCGCCTTTTTGAGGTTCACAAAGGGCTGTGCGATTGAACAAACAGCGCATTCTCAAGGCAAAGCCTCAGCATTTTTGGTTCATCCAGTGTCGGACCAAGATTGTCCTTTGTCTACCCGAGTCTACCCGAGTCTACAGAAGCATGTCCGACGAGATTGCAGCAGCTTCCCTGTGGGGAAGGGTGAAAGCCAAATTCCAAAATCTCCCAGGTGAACATCCCACCCAGTCAATTAAACCCAGACTACCAGACTACTGTTTTGGTTTTCAGGATTTGAGGACGTTCACCAAGGTACCAGGGTTTTGACACAGCCATATCACAAGCCTTGGTTTTCCTTGTTTCATCAGGCAACAGCCAGCTACTGTATCCTTTACCAAGGACACTTGAAACTCCAAAGCTGATTTGATCCTATGAACACCCCAGGCATGACTTCGAGAACGAATCGCGGGAACCTCCAGATTAGATTGCATTCCCACATGTGTCCATAACAATCTAATATGATATTAGATGACATCTCATGATATTGCGCAGCTTCTTGACACAACGAGTTTGTCCTATTTGGTACAGCCCAGTTTCACGATACCCGCTGCTGGTCAAGTCATGCGATGTTTTGAGTGGGATGCCTCCCGGGATTTTACGGTCTTGAAGGGCAGTTCCGCTTTATTTATGATATGTACTTCTATACCTGCAAGCTTTGATGATCTAACCAGCTATGTATCAGGTATACACCAGCTATCTATCATATATATGGTCTCGTGTTCCGTGTTCCTACCCCCCCCATGGTATGGGTCCCCAGGTACCACAACAATACCAACCATACATTCCATACATACCATACCTGCCATACATACCGAACATACCATACATTCCAAACATACCATGTATACATACCATACCAACCATACATGCCAAACATACCATACATATCAAACATACCGTACATGAGATAATTGCATACCATACTCACCATACCCACCATGCCATATATATTGTCCTACATACACTACCCCGCCCCCGCACCACACACCCCCACCACACCACCGGGGGGGGAGGGGGACAGTACTATGGCTGACCCATGACCATGGCTGGGAAAAATTGGAACGCTGGACCATACGTATATATACACGCTTGATCCATGTTTCCAAAATCTTCAGGTGTTTAGTGGATACCTGAGAGGAAGAGAGAGTAACAAAAACAATCATGGCTTTTGGGTGAATATGGACCCAGTACATCTATAATGATATCTAATATCTAAGATCTAATGTCTACTATCCAATATCTATATTTATAGTATCTATAAAGATATATGATATATGCACTGCTATACATAGCTGTTTCCAAGGCATGGTGGGACTCATCCAAGGCACTGGTGGTGGACAACGGCAGCGGCATGTGCAAGGCCGGCTTCGCCGGGGACGATGCGCCACGCACGGTCTTCCCCTCCATCGTGGGACGACCCAAGTGACTGGAGCTGATGGGCAGGAGAGGATAACTAAAAAGATAGGAAGAAATATCGTGCACATTTTTATATGATATATATATATATATATCTGTATGTATTATCTATGTATATATTATATATGTATATAATCATCATGTTATACATGTACTGCATTGGATATCTAGTTTTGTATGAATATGCATGTATTGGTGCTCAACTTGGATGTATTTAACAAATGAGATAAAACAATTGGTAATTTGGTGAGCAGGAGGTTCCTTGGGAATTTTAGTAGCTAAATGGTACAATGTTGAGGTCTACAGTAACAATTGGAATGCATCCAGAAGTTTAGGGAAATCGGAATGCAGGTTGATTTGGGCCTTATGGGTACTGCCCCCAGGTGCATTGGGATGGAACCCATGCTAAGTAAGGTTCTACATGCCAAATTGGGAAGGTAGACATTAGACACTAACACATCCCATAATGATGGGATTCCCACCTCCATATCAAGCTTAAGAATACCCTCCAGTTTCTTACCTGGGAATAGAGAACCTCACATTCATAATGTTTTTTCTCTTCCAACTGTGGATTTTTCAGCCAACCATGTTGGGTTACCAACGAATTTGCCAGTTTGATGCACATGGCCCCAAGGATGCGCACAGTGATCATCGGCATGGATACGAAGGACACCTACATTGGAGACGATGCTCAGGGTCGACGTGGAGTGTTGACTCTGAAGTATCCCATTGAGCATGGCATCGTCACCAACTGGGATGATGCTCGGGCAAGAAAAACATGGTCACACGTGCCAGGTCCTGCATGAGATGATGCGTAGAATGATAGATAAAGAAAAACATCTTCAATCTCATGAATAAATAACTGGTATTTGTACTCATGAGATCTCATGAGTATGTACAAAATGGCATAACCAAAGGCACATTCCGATGCCAGGACGGCACTGGGTGTGTGTATTTCTTAACTTGGCGGGTTCACAACTGACAACACAATTCAAATTTCAGATTTCAGTTCAGTTTTCTTGTGGGTTCATGTTTGGACGATTCATTGGATGATTTTGGATATCTCTGAAACCCACATGAGTTCACATCATGTTTGTAGGTCAACAAGCATTGAGAAGTTAGAGATTTCACCACCTTGGAAGCTTGAACACATGAGCTTGCAACCAGATTTCTTTCTTTGCCGTGAACTGGATAATTCATTGGTCGCTTCATGACTTTTCCCATCGATGCCAGGACATGGAAAAGATTTGGTCGCATTGCTTCTACAATGAGCTGCGGGTTTCGCCAGAGGAACACCCTGTGCTGTTGACCGAGGCACCTCTAAACCCCAAGGCCAACCGTGAACGCATGACCCAAATCATGTTTGAGACATTCAATGTGCCTGCCATGTACGTTTCCATCCAAGCGGTTCTCTCGCTATATTCCTCCGGGCGAACCACTGGTATCGTTCTGGACAGTGGTGATGGAGTTTCTCACACAGTTCCCATCTATGAAGCTGGTTGGTGAATTTCACATTTTCTTATGTTTTGTTTATTTTCATGCCTGAATGCGATGTCTTTCTCACATGGAGCCGCATATTTCTTTATAGGTATAATTCGCGATAGGGAAACCATTAATGTTCTTGGCCACTGCAAGTCTGCATCTACTCAGCCTTTACGTTGCGCATACCACACCCTCTACACCCACTTCCTGATCTTCCTGGACGGTCCCAATAGACCTGCATAATTTTAGGACGAACTCAACCACCAGGAAGGATATTCATTGCCTCATGCGGTTCAACGACTGGACTTGGCTGGTCGTGATCTCACTGAGTATTTGATGCTGATCATGATGGAAAGTGGATATGCCTTCACCACAAGCGCAGAGCGAGAAATTGTGCGTGATGTGAAGGACGATTTCCGATGGATTTGCAGGGTTGTTTCATGTTGTTTCTTTTCTCTCATCATTTCTGTGACATGTTGTATTTTGATGTTGAGTGCCAGCAACTCATCAAAGTGGTGGTGTAATTTGTTTCTAATTATAGATATGCTAGGTATTTTTCCAGAAAAGTGAAGGAAGTGATTCAGAACAGAACAGAAGGAGAAGCTGTGCTATGTGGCCATCGACTTCGACAGTGAGTTGAAAACTGCAATGACCAGCAGCGCCCTGGTGTTTTCCGATGTTCTCCTGGTTCATTTGATGGGTAATCCATCAGTTTTATGTGTTTTAATTAATCCATTTAGAAGGGAATCTGATGCATAATTTTATGCTAGAGTTTTTGAATTAATCATCACAATATTGGTTCATCCATTCTATAAAATCTCTGATATATATATATATACACAAATAATCCATTGTGAGAGTCCTTCACCCGAAACTGCTCGAAAGATCTTTGGATCGACATCAGTCAACACCCCACTTTTGGTAGCTGGTGTTACGATCCTTGGGTCTGACATCAGTCAACACCCCACACAGGTGATGGTGCTAAGACCTACGAACTCCCAGATGGAAACATCATCTCGTTGCACACCGAACGCTTCCGTTGTCCTGAAGTCCTCTTCCAACCCAGCTTGCTGGGAAAGGAGGCGATGGGGATCCACGACACCACATACCAGTCTATCATGAAGCCTAGTTTTGCCTTGAGAGATGTGTTTTATTATGTTTTATTGCTTATGCAAGGGAAAAAAAACCTTCTGCTGGTGAATCTATAGATATCTTGGAGATTCGTAAATTATGTGGTTTCTTAGTGGTTCTCTTTATTCCAAATATTGTCAAATACATAAATACTCGTTCGACATCTTTCGACTATGGATCCCTTAAGGATCCTCAACACATTACTGTATTCCAGTCTTATTATATTACATATGAATTGTTCAATTGACATATATGTAATGTAGGTTACAGATTAGTGTGGGGAGGCCCCCCCCCCCAAACAAATTTTGGATACAGAATAGTGTAAAATAACCAAAGTAGAGGGTACAGAATACAGTAAAATAAGAAAAAATGATAGATTTAAATTGATTTCAATTTACTTTCAATTGATTTGAATTTATTTTGAATTGATTTCAATTTACTTTCAATTGATTTGAATTTATTTTGAATTGATTTCAATTTACTTTCAATTGATTTCAATTTACTTTCAATTGATTTGAATTTATTTTGAATTGATTTCAATTTACTTTCAATTGATTTCAATTTACTTTCAATTGATTTCAATTTACTTTCAATTGATTTCAATTTATTTTGAGTTGATTTGAAGTTATTTTGAATTGATTTCAATTTACTTTCAATTGATTTCAATTTACTTTCAATTGATTTCAATTTATTTTGAATTGATTTGAAGTTATTTTGAATTGATTTCAATTTACTTTCAATTGATTTCAATTTACTTTCAATTGATTTGAAGTTACTTTGAATTGATTTGAAGTTACTTTGAATTGATTTCAATTTACTTTCAATTGATTTCAATTTACTTTCAATTGATTTCAATTTATTTTGAATTGATTTGAAGTTACTTTGAGTTGATTTCAATTTACTTTCAATTGATTTCAATTTATTTTCAATTGATTTGAAGTTACTTTGAATTGATTTCAATTTATTTTGAAATGAGTTCCATTTACTTTCAATTGATTTCAATTTACTTTCAATTGATTTCAATTTACTTTGAATTGATTTCAATTTACTTTGAATTGATTGCAATTTACTTTCAATTGATTTCAATTGATTTCAATTTTATTTCAATTGATTTCAATTTACTTTGAATTGATTTCAGTTTACTTTGAATTGATTTCAATTTGATTTCAATTGATTTCAATTTACTGTCAATTTACTTTCAATCGACATCCCATAGAAATCCAATAGTAGTCCCAAAGAAATATCATAGAAATACCATGCAAATCCCATAGGAATCCCACAGAAATCCCATAGAAAGATCATAGAAATAACATGGAATAGCATAGGAGCCACAAAGAAATCCCATGAGAATTCCAATAATAATCCCATAGAAATATCATAGAAACATCATGGAAATACCTTGGAAATCCCACAGGAATCCAATAGAAATTCCATAGGAATCCAATAGAAATACCATAGAAATCCCATAGGAATCCAATGGAAATCCCATAAGAATACCATAAAACTCCCATAGCATCCCTTCAGAAATCCCATAGAAATCCTCCAGAAATATCATAGAAACATCATGGAAATCCCATAGGAATTCCATAGAAATCCAATAGCAATACCATAAAAATACCATAAAGAAAAAAGTTTTAGCAAAGGAAAAGGTAAAGGAAATGATTGCAAAAAAAAATCACCACAGGAAGCAGCAGGACACAATAGTGTACCCCCAAACAAACCACACTATTGTGTATCAGGGTTGCTCATGGACTACCCCCTTGAAAAATTGTTTGAGTGATGTTTTTTAATTGGGTTTTAATAAGGTGTCATATATTTTGGGAAATTGGGCATTTCTGAGAATTTCAAATGAAAGAAACTAAGAAAGTAATTAAGTAATTAAAAGAAAAAACTTTAACAAAGGAAAAGGTAAAGGAAATGATTGAAAAAATCAAAAAATCATGACCTCAGGAAGCAGCAGGACACAATAGTGTACCCTCAAACAAACCACACTATTGTGTATCAGGTTTGCTCATGGACTACCCCCTTGAAAAATTGTTTGAGTGATGTTTTTTAATTGGGTTTTAATAAGGTGTCATATATTTTGGGAAACTGGGCATTTCTGAGAATTTCAAATGAAAGAAACTAAGAAAGTAATTAAGTAATTAAAAGAAAAAACTTTAGCAAAGGAACAGGTAAAGGAAATGATTGAAAAAATCAAAAAATCATGACCTCAGGAAGCAGCAGGACACAATAGTGTACCCTCAAACAAACCACACTATTGTGTATCAGGGTTGCTCATGGACTACCCCCTTGAAAAATTGTTTGAGTGATGTTTTTAAATTGGGTTTTAATAAGGTGTCATATATTTTGGGAAACTGGGCATTTCTGAGAACTTCAAATGAAAGAAACTAAGAAAGTAATTAAGTAATTAAAAGAAAAAACTTTAGCAAAGGAAAAGGTAAAGGAAATGATTGCAAAAAAACAAAATCACCTCAGGAAGCAGCAGGACACAATAGTGTACCCTCAAACAAACCACACTATTGTGTATCAGGGTTGCTCATGGACTACCCCCTTGAAAAATTGTTTGAGTGATGTTTTTTAATTGGGTTTTAATAAGGCATCATATATTTTGGGAAATTGGGCATTTCTGAGAATTTCAAATGAAAGAAACTAAGAAAGTAATTAAGTAATTAAAAGAAAAAACTTTAGCAAAGGAAAAGGTAAAGGAAATGATTGAAAAAATCAAAAAATCATGACCTCAGGAAGCAGCAGGACACAATAGTGTACCCTCAAACAAACCACACTATTGTGTATCAGGGTTGCTCATGGACTACCCCCTTGAAAAATTGTTTGAGTGATGTTTTTTAATTGGGTTTTAATAAGGTGTAATATATTTTGGGAAACTGGGCATTTCTGTGAATTTCAAATGAAAGAAACTAAGAAAATAATTAAGTAATTAAAAGAAAAAACTTTAGCAAAGGAAAAGGTAAAGGAAATGATTGCAAAAAAAAACAAAAACACCTCAGGAAGCAGCAGGACACAATAGTGTACCCTCCAAACAAACCACACTATTGTGTACCTGGATGTAATTTTCTGTGGAAGGCATCTGGAAAATTTCAATGATGGAAAATAACAAGTAAAAGAAAAAAGCTTTAAAAAATGAAAAAAATGAAAAATGTTTGAACAACAAAAAAAGACCAAGACACAATTGTGTATCCTGACACAATGACACAATTGTGTATCCTGACACAATTTTAAAAAAATAATAAAAACAAATATAATTAAAAATAAAAAATAATTAAATTAAAAATAATTATAATTAAAAATAAAAATAAAAAAAAAATTAAAATAAAATAAAAAATAATTAAATTAAAAAATATTATAATTAAAAATAAACATAAAAAATAATTTAAAATAAAATAAAAAATAATTAAATTAAAAATTATTATATTTGAAAATAAAAATAAAAAATATTTTAAAATAAAATAAAAAACAATTAAAACTAAAAAACAAAAAAATGAAAAAAAAACTTACACCAAAATCCTGTGGACACAAAACTGTACCCCTCGATCATTTCCAAAGTTACAAAATAATTTTGAGGTCTGTGGACACAATTCTGTATCCCCACACTAATCTGTATCCCACATTATATATGAATTGACTTATTTGAAACAACATACAAAAACATACAATGTGTTGATTTTTCCTCGGAATTTCACAGCAAAAACAAATCTCAGGAAGTGCGACGTGGACATTCGCCGTGATCTCTTCTGCAACGTGGTGCTCTCGGGTGGCTCCACCATGCTCCCGGGCATCGGTGAGCGCATGACCAAGGAACTCAGCGCGCTGGCACCATCCACGGTGAGGATCAAGGTGGGGTTCAGGGCGGCTTATGATATGTTTTTAAAAAAGGTAATACAGTAATATGTCAATGTAGTATGTAATTATGATCATATGGGTCAGTTCTGATACCCAACCTAATGTGAATCGTCCAAGTAAAAGCAGAAGTAAAATCAGGTTTCATCCATCAACTTTTACATTGCTACACTGGATTACTGGAAGGTATATCCCCATGTTTGTTAGCTTTGCACTTGCCTCTTGCTGATTGACGCATGTTGAATCATGCTGATACCTGAAACAATGGCGTCCTTTCCTTATTGTTTCTGGATGATCTCCCTCAGAATATTGCTGCTTCCCCACTGATAGTCCAACATGACACTGAGCGGTATGCCTGTCGCTAAACCATCTATGAATGACTTGAAATTGGGGATTTCAAAGATTTCCCATTGGAAGGTTGGATTATCATCACTTGGGTAAATCCGAATGGCTAGGAATGCTAGGAATGCTTCATACATCTTCATACGGTTGACCCCCTTTCATATCTTTCATTAAATGGACTCCAAATGGACTCCGTTGGGAGGTGATCACTCCACCGGAGCGGAAGTACAGCGTCTGGATCGGTGGCTCCATCCTGGGATCCCTCAGCACCTTTCAGCAGATGTGGATCTCCAAGGCGGAATACGATGAGGCAGGCCCCACCATTGTGCACCGCAAGTGCATGTGAGGCCTGACTGGCTGCCACTGGACCACTGGATGGGCCAAATTTAGGCATTTTGAGACCTGGATCTGTTGCAGATCATATTTTTGTGCTGAGCATTTCAAACACCTTGAGGCTTCCATGTTGCAGAGGGGCATGTGAAATTGTGCAAAGCTCTCAAGATCATGGAGCCTCTCATGGTGGGTTCAGCATTGTACAGTTGAGCGGAAACGCCCAGAGATGGCACTTGCCTGGAAAGATTTTGGATAGGTGTGGGTTTAGAGACGTGAATCATCAAAAGCAAGTTCACAAATCTTTGTGTTCGGAGTGAGAAACTTATGAGCTTCTATAATTAATTATACAATATTATATATGATTATATAGATATAATTAGGCGTTTTGAGTCATGTGACGCCTGAAGCCTGAGGCAGTATAGGTCAGAACTTCCCCAGGGCTGCCACGTGACGCCTGAGGCTTGCCATGGAGTTGAAAGGGGCCAGCTTGGACTCCAGCGCTGTGGGAAGGGCGACATTTCATGGTCGATCACCATTGTTTAATGTAATGGCCTCAATGTTGGGCAAATCCCCCGTGTCAAAAGAAATTATGTAACCATCTACAATAATATCCATCATTGTATAAATGATAGTTTAGACAGTGGTTTGGTCTACCTTCCAGTTTATTAACAAAAATATGGTAAATTTATAACTGTTTCTCGGGGAAACCATAGGTTTTTGATATCTATATTAGTTTTCCTTAAGTTAAGCTCTGGTAATCAAACACGGCAATGGAATATCCCACGTTTATAGGTGAACAGTCCGGTGGGGGTGCAACTCATTTATTTGTTGGTAAGGAAAGTCCCCATGGTCACGGTTGACACCATTCTCTACTACATCAGTCAGTATATCAAAAATACATGGTTCTTTTACCTTGAGCCTTCCTCGATGGACCTTCGCTGGTCCGACTCTACGGGCGACACATTTGCACTTCGCAATCATCAACTCCTCCTTGATCTACCTCAGTTATGTCCAATTCCTAATTACAATCTACAACATACCTTGACGTTACTGTGAAGAAAACTATCGCACCCCCAATCTTATTGATGCATGATACTTGCTGGGTTTTGTGGGAGTGAGGATTGCGACTGACATATCTATATAGTTACCATCACTTGTAAATCCAATTAACCCCAGTCAACAGAATGTAATCATAACCACAAGAACTGCTTATCAAAACTCAAAACCAAAGTCACTATTGATTGACAGACTTTCGTTATGGTGAGAAAACATTAGTCGCGATTATTTTTTATCACAGCCATAGCCACTATCAATTTATCAAAACATAGACATTAGCCATTAATAGCCATTGTTATTGTGTCCATGGTCATCCCCAGATGTTTATTCCCTTTCCATGGGATTGTCCACGCATCCCCCAGTGTTTGGTCCTTTCTGTCAGGTTCACGCGAGGGCGCCCTGGAGCATGAGCTGGAGCAGGTCGGAGGTTTTGAGGGTGAGCTGCAGCTGAGCAGCCGGGCAAAACCAACTGGTGAAAAACAAGTTCATACTATACAATAAGAAAGTGTTATTGATTGAATTTATTTTTGTTCTTATTGTTATCAGATTACTTGTTGTTGTAAGCTAATTATTGTAAATCTAACAACAATAACAAAATAATGCAACATATAATATTAAGAGCCTTCCCAGCAATCAACCATTTAGAGGTCATGTTGCATCATCCCAAATACTGTAGGGGTTTGCCAAGTAGTAAACCCGAATCAGGGATGGTTGATTATTGGGTTTGCCTCATGAACTACTATTTTCTGATAATGTGTCCCTCCAAATCTCACAAAAAATATTGAGCTGTCACAAATTCACATCTTGGCTTGGTAAAAAGGGTGATTGACGCAACCAACATTGTGATACATCCGTAGTCGAAATACAAAATATGGCCTTGATCGTCTAGAACTGCGGAAAAACATGTAAACAAACTTTTTTCAAATGGGATGCTAACCCGCCAACCCATCTAAGAATTCACCCTTTTTCGCTGGGTATCCTGGCTCAAGTGGGATTGCCATGTTGAAACCTTGAAAGTTTCAAAACTTCGATTCTGCCCAACTTTGGATACCCAGAGCAGTACCTATATGTTTTAACCTGGAGGACAGGCAAAGCATGTTTTGTTTTTGCCAAGGTATACCCAGATAAATCCCAGATAAAACTGAGGTCCTCATCTACTCATCTTCAAGATAAGAGGTGACTTCTGTCGCGGTTTACTCAGTTTACTCCCCCAAAAACATCCAGAAAGCATCAGATTTCCGCCAGGTCTCCAAGCGAGTGAAGGTGCGATGGGCATGTTTGGCAAGCCTGCCGAATTAAGGGAACAATTAGGGAAGAATGGGGAACAATAAGGTAACTCCTAAACCATTGAGGGATTGAAAGATGTTGAAATGGATGGTTTAAGATGGTTTAAGGGCTTGAACTTGACCAGCATTGACCACCAAGGATGGTTCAGAAGCGGGTCCACTTTTGACCCAGACCAATTTGGGGGTCATGTTTTTGAAGGCTGAGAAGGTTGTGAGTCCCTGGGTATACAGCCCCGTCCTGTTGCGGTGAGGTTTGGGGCATCGGGGAAGCCTGAACGGTCTTGGAATGGAGAAGGTCTGAACTGAGCCAATCGCACTATTCATAAGCGTCTGCAGATTGAAGCTAGCTGACATTGACTGGCATTTGTTCTCCTCCATGCTAGTTTAAAGACGTCACATGGCAATGCACCGCATCATGCATGCAGTCCATTCACTTTGGTGTGAATGACAGAACTTGGCCATATGAAAGTAAACTCAGGCCACCCCTCTACAAGTGGCAGTAGATCACATAAATTCCATTAAATTTTTGTATCCTCCAAAAATGGTTCACTTGAAATATGCAGGGACAGTCCGGTAGCATTCATGTGATGTAATTATAGACACCATCATGAAAGGCTGACAAATCCTCGGTGCTTAGGGGCGAAGTTGTCACTGTGTCAACTTCCCACTGGCTGGTTGATGAGAAAAGTGTTTCACGATGTTTCACGCATTTATCACAACCATTTTGTGCAGGAAAACGATGGGTAATGGCATATCAAACAGATCGCATGATACGTTCTCTTGTAAACACTTTACTGAACAAAACAGATATCATCGATGCTTAGACCCCGCAGCGCCAGGCTACTGAAGCGTCATGGCACCAGGAGGGGTGGGATGCAGCCGCTGACGGGTTTCCAACGACACTTCAGTCGGATGGAGGGAAGCTAGATTCGCCTGTGCTAACTTGTCCAAAACCCATGTGATTCTGGCGGAGAAGAAGTGGTTCTATCTGTTTTTTTGGCTGCTTGGTGTGCTGATAAAAGAAACAGAAATCATGTTCCATGCTTGGTTGCGAAGGTGGATCTAAGGAACAAACACATGTGGACGAGTGGACACTACCAGTCAGTCTGGGATTCCGACTTTGTCATACATGAGTCCATTGCCGCAGGGATGACTCGTATGAGCTGACCAAGTTTCAAGTACAGTAGGGATGCCATTGGATGTGGCCAAGGGGTAACAACACTAGGAACTGACACATAATCCAACGTAAATGAGGATGTAACCGATAGAATAGGTAACCAGAAGAGGGTCCAACATGGATCATTTCCCCTGGCAGAATTCCAGGCATAAGTTGCGAAGTGTCATTGTTGTGACAGACATACCCCTTCATGACCTTCACTCTTTGCTACTTGGTGGGAACTAACTTGTCACTGACCACCAAGACTATCACTCCAGAAGGGCTCCAATTGGCAATTCTACCGTCTTTACTCGGAAATCAATTTCACTGCAGTTTGGCGTCAGTAGCAGAGGGTATTCCATAACTCCATATTTGGGAACGATAACTCCCTATTTGTCACTCTTAATTCCCTACATTATTCTACATCTAACCCAGAAAGTCCTAATGAAATGACTCATTCTCCCCTTGGTTAGCTGTGGATTATCCCTACTATTCTGATTAAGATGAGTCATTTGACTTTCAAATTAGAGCTTAAATCCCCCTTCACAGGCTCGACGACAGCTTCAAGGGATGTCTCCTGACAGGGCCTCTCGCCTGGCAAATTGTACCGTGGGGCCGTTGCCTGGCGACCTGAAGACCAAAAAATGGGAGGATTAAAAAAACATGTTCATGATATATATATATATAATATTATATATTATATTATATATATATTATATATATATATTATAGATATTGTAGTTGTGGTAGATTTAAAGCCAATATTTTTCACTGCAGGGTTATGGGGGCATCATTTTGTAAATTTACAGATCAGCACCCACATGTTCCATGTGCGGTATGTTTACTTTTTTGTTACTTTGTATTTACCCCAAAATTGTTCAAATGCGGGCCTGCATCATTAAGCATGGTTGATTTGAGATTTTCAATACAGGAAGTGTTTTTGAAATCACATAGGTAGGAGGTTGAGGAATATCATATGATATATCCAGTCTTCTCCAGTGAATGGGTAGTAACCAACGATTGTGGGGACATGCTCTCCACGAATCGAACGTGGCAAAGGAACAAACACCTCCCCAATTTCAATCGTAAGAACAGAAAAACATCAACCTAGCTTTGGAAGTGTTTCTCCTGTGTAGTTTGTTCCAACCGAAGTCAGGACGAAACCTTGAGACTACACTGGTAGATCTGATGATCACCAACAGTCACCGGATTTTGAATGTGGGTTTGGGCCATTTCCTCAAATAGATTCTTCGATGGAAGATCACATTATATAAATTGCTTTGGAAGAATGGACGGAATATGGATGGAATATGGTCAGTACTGGAACACTAAAGCAATTGATAAACACCCTACGGCCCCTTACGGCCTACGGTCCACAGACCTCCACCGAGGGCTCGCGAGCCTACCGCGGACCCAGAGGCTGGGAGAGTGGATTTAAGAAACATGGTGGTTTATCAATGAAAAATGGGATGGTGGCAGGGATATATCTTGACAACAACAGGGTGTGAAATGATATGATTTCCTGAACTTACTCGCAACAAGGGAAATCATCTTGAACAAATCTGGGGTAAATAGCCAATGTTGGGAACAAGCGCCTGCAAAAACATAGGGATACCATTTGGGAATGTAAGCAGCACTACAAAAGGTATGTACACAGTGAACTATACTACGCTACAATTTGAATCTCATCAGTCTGGAGAATTGAAGTCTCTATGAACCAACTATTAGAAGGAACCAGCCATTGGAAGGGATCAGTGTGGCAAGGGGATTTGCCTCTACCAAATGTGCCTTTGGTAAGCCTGGTTCGCAATTACAGTGGAATAAGGCTGACATAGTATTACTCTCTTCCAGCATTGTGCGCGGAAATGATCGACACGTTGACAGCAGACAAAGGCTAAACCTTGAAACAGGCAGGACGGCAGGGCTGTCCCAATCTTGTGGCCTTCGATTCGATCACCATATCTACTGTACGCATTTGCAATGGTAAACTCTCCGAAGTGATCCAAGGAAATTAAACCATTAGTTGGCCAAACCCCCACTTGGATCACTTGATCATTTAGTACCCCCATTAATGATCCAAGGAAACAATTTAATGGTTTAGTTGGGTTTGGCCAATATGTGTTAAATTGTTAAACCATTAAAAACACAACTAGTTCGTGTGGATATCTAAGGCGAAATCTAAGGTGGAAATGCCCTGGAAGCCAACTTCTGCTCCGCCCTCTGTGGTATAGGTTGGTCCATCCTGCTTTGATGAGTTGGTTGTAGGTCAATTCAATCTACTCATTGAGTATCACACATGCATTTTTCAGGTGTATTTCTGTATGTCCCATTGTTTTAGGTAATATTACCCAGGATTAGCCGACATCCAGTGGCTTCCCTCAGGCGAAGATTGGGGCGCCCTCACAGGTGCCAAGGGTGATACCCATTTCGGACATATGTTGACCCACATGTGTCATGGTCAGAAGCGGCTCTAATTAGTAATTCTTGCATCCATTGATAGTACCGTCTCCATTGACTGTTTCGTAATGCCCGCCAACAGTGCTTGGGGTTACGGAGCGTGGACTTGAGAGATCCGCGTGGCTGCTGTCAGAAGATGGATTATACCCTGGGTATTTTTCACATAGCCGTGAAAAGCGGGCCACTTTCAATAGCTACGTGAAATTACCGGAGGGCAATATGATTGCATCCTTGCTGAATAATGGGATACTATCTACAGTGAGATAAACTCGGATGAAGCTAAACCAATATTTTTGTGGATGGTCATAAATCCATTCGTATCGGGATTTCATATCAGTTGTCTTGGGATTCTCTTTATGAGACTGAGATACCATGTTTTGGCCAGGGCACATATAGATATATAGGACAATTAATATGGGTTCGTATGGGTTCGTCTTAAAATGGAGTATACCCATTAATGGCACTCTAATCTGGAAATCATGAGAATTTGATTGTTGGGTACCTATGTTCAGACAAACGCATATGGGCATGGGTCAAAATTTAGGATCATGTCTTAGGTTATTCATATATGTATTCATGATCCACCTATTGGGGTACCTGATTTTGACTCATATCGATGCCCGTAAATGGGCATTGGTCAGTGGCAAAAAAAAACGAACATATTGATGCTGATCATACCAACCAAGACAAGCTTTGTTCATTTCGTCGATGGTCACAAGGCACCATACTTTTGATGCATATTACCCAAATGTACGTATACAATTGTTATGCCACTTCAAATGACTAGGTAAGCATGGCAGAAGAGCCAAGTCTGTTCATGTTCTGTCTGTCTTTGTATCAAATTTGCTTACCTTCTAATTCGCTCCTGCAACTGGCGTTTTGTGGGTCTGAACTTATACCTGACCGGTTCCATCCGTTGGGGATATGTGTTTGATACCCAGTACCTTGTGTTGTTGGTTATGTTTGCCCACAAGTTGCGGATCTCCACGATTGCTGGTTGCTGGGTTATATTTACATTCGCAGGTTTATCCCCAATCTTCATCGCGTGCATTGCTATCATGACTTGTTTGGAGTATGCATCATTGCTTTGAAACATGACATCCGCTAACCGCAGCTGGTGGCAACCCCCTTTAGGCGTAACTCTCTGAGAGTTGACCAACTTCTCGTAATATAGTTCATTTGGATTACCGCACGCAGTGAGGAATTTCTTGGTGGATAGGAAATCCCCTAGTTAGGACAGTCCTGTTTGATAGTAGGCTTAATGCGGGATGGTGACGGATGGTGACCCAAAGTCAGCCCCGTTGAGCCTGCACAGAACCTCCAAACCGGCTACGCTTGGGTCGTCAGGCCGGTTGAATGAAGCTGCTCCCCGATCAAGTGGGCACTGAGATTTACCATCCTTATAATCACCACACCTGTACGAGACCTCTGAGACCAAAGAATTTGTTTCGATGTTGTTTTATTCAACCACATTTTCAGCACCTATTCCCTGTATAGTTTTAACGACCCTCATTTGCAGTCGGGTTGGGAAGATGTTGGTGTTTTTTTGAAGGCTTGAAACCTTTACCCCTTGGAGTCTTCCGTTCAATGGTCTTTGGCTCTTGGATTTCTGGCTTTTCCAGAAATCGAAGAATGTCAATTCTGAGGGGAGACCATGCCGCCATGCCCCAGAAAATTCCATCCTGGTTGGTGGTTGCACAAGTGTTTACTTTTCCATCCCACCTTGGATTGTCCTACTACTAAGAGATGATCAGCTCATTGTTTGGTTTCCTCGCTCCAAAATTCTGTGCAACCGATACCCACATAGTTTTGATATTGCCAAATCACCAACATTCCTCTTTTGGTAAGACAGGCCCAAGCCTCCATTGTAGCGTTGTTTTGGTCTCACTTTAACAATATTTACAGCTGTGAATAAACATGTGTATTTAATATAAGTGTAGAAAGCCATCTAAATATGCAATTTGATGGCATTGTTGCTACTCATATTCCCCTACCACCGTGAACAACCCATCATCGCGATTCCAGGCACCCATTGACAGTCTGGGACTGAGCGAAACTGCCTGGGTCTGGATGAGCTATCAAAGATTGGTCAGTGAAAGAAATTTTGCCTCACAGTCGAATCAAATACTGAACCCAAAACTAGGTGTGAAAGAGGATTTGCTGATTTGGCCATTCGATATGGCGATTTTGGGGTACAGTTTTCATTCGTGCATGCAGCATCAGAAGCACAAACAGCATGGCTAGTAGAAAGCAGTATCTAAATCTATCTCACTGTGCACACTTCCCATTCACCGGACCATCTCAACCATACCTCAAAACACTTGACCATTCTTGTCACTCGTGGCTAAAAGGTGGCTCATTCATAACGGATTGAGCAGAGGATTTTCTATTTCCTCTTGAAAGAGACATTTTTGTTGGGTCTCCATAGTTTCTAGTGGGAAAACAACCACATCAAGTTTGTCACTATGCAGAGATCTACAATGGTAATCAATGGTGAACTCGGAAATCATCCTAAAACTGGGTTGATCCTCATTTCCCCGTCAAAAAAGCATACGATTTGGGTGTATCCCCCGTGTTGGACAAACCCAGAGAGGAGTATCCCTGCAACTGCTGGTGTCCCAGGCCCAGGCGACCCGTCCCGGGTGGCGCCGCGCTTGCCACGCTTCGACAAGCGCACTGAGCCTCGGAGTTGGGGATGCCCAGGATTTTGGTCCAAGGAGGTGATTTTTGCAAGAGGATTTGAGCAACCATGATATTAGGGAGAAGTGATGTGTATATCAAGTGGTTTGGACAATTTATTTTATTGAGAATGATGCTTGTTCTTGCACCCTATCCTGGGTAAATTATAACGACCTCACTACGACCTCACTACGACCTCGCTGGAATCATGGTTAGTAAGGGGAATCATCCCCAAATAGCATTATTTCAGGTTAGTGAATTCTTATAACTTTTTCGTGTATATATATATAATGTATTGGCATTACTAGTTACTATTACAGGTTGTTGTTATTTTTGTTATTACCAGTAGTACCGCACAAGGAGGTGGCGGAATTTTCAAAGATAGGACACTATAAGAGTGTTTGGTTGTCGCGAATCACGGATGGCAGAGCGAATCCACTCATGAACCGAAAGGTGGTTGGAGCTGTATTTTTCGGAGTGGCTGCAATGGTTGCAATGGTCACCTCACCAACAACTGCTGGATGTAGTGTGGTGTAGTGCAGCTGTAGTTGTAGTTGTAGTGTAGCAGAGTTGTAGTTGTAGTGTAGTAGTGTAATTAGTGTAGTTGTAGTTGTGGTGTGGTGTAATGAGTGTAGTGTAAGGTAATGTAGTGTAGTGTAGTGTAGTGTGCTGTAGTGTTGTGTGCTGTGTGTAGTGTAGTGTAGTGTAGCGTAAAGTAGCGTAGTTGTAGCTGTAGTTGTAGTTGTAGTTAGTGTAGAGTAGCGTAGTGCAGCGTAGTGTAGTGAAGTGTAGTGTAGTGTAGTGTAACGTGTAGTGTAGTTGCAGCTGCAGTTGTAGTTGTGGCTGTACTGTAATTAGTGCAGAGCAATTGTAGTTGTAGTTGTTGTTGTGGTCTAGTGTAGTGTACTGTAGTGTAGTGTAGTGTAGCGTAGTGTAGCGTAGTAGTGTCGTGTAATTAGTGTACTGTAGCATAGTATATTTGAAGCTGTAGTTGTAGTGGTAGTGTCGTGTAGTTGTAGTTGCAGTTGTGTAATCGATCTATCGATCTATCTATCTACCTATCTATCTATCTACCTATCTATCTATCTACCTATCTATCTATCTATCTAACTATCTATCTATCTATCTAACTATCTATCTGTCTATCTATCTATCTATCTATGTATCTATCTATCTATCTATCTATCTATCTATCTATCTATGTATCTATCTATCTATCTATCTATCTATCTATCTATCTATCTATCTATCTATCTATCTATCTATCTATCTATCTATCTATCTATCTATCTATCTATCTATCTATCTATCTATCTGTCTCTCTATCCGCAAGCTTGAAAACGAAGCTATTCTGCGAGACTTCTTCAATTTTTGAACGTTTTGTACGTTTTTACTTTGAAATTGATTCGCGCCACAACGGCGTGCACTTTTTCAACATCAAGTGCTCCGAAACTGGGGGGTGTTTTGTACATTTTGACTTGGAAACGCGCTTCGCGCCACAATTGGCGTGCAATTTTTCATCTCTCATCTGACCAGATGGCTCCGCACCCGCCGCTTTAGCGAGCCTACTTTTCGACCCTCCGGAGCCACAAGTCATTGGAAAAACACAGGAATAGTGACTTTGCAACCTTTTCGCGCACCTGCATCTTCTTTCTTCTGCCTCTTTCTCTTCTCTTCTCTTCCCTTCTCTTCTCTTCTCTGACTCTTACCACCTCTGCTTTTCATCTGTCCATATTGTCGGAAGTTTGACTTCTAAACTTCCTTCGATTAAACATTGTAAAGTATACATATCACATATCATGATGATGTCATCGTCAACCACCAAATCCCACCGTTGTTCTTTCCAGTCGTCAGGCTCCTCGGCGGAGCCTATGGCGGAGCCCCTCACGGAGCCGCTGGCCATGCGCATCCATCGGACGCTGCTGCCGCAGGCGCTGACCAATGGAGTGAATGGAGTGAATGGAGTGATTATCAGGGTGAATTAAATATGGTTAAGTGATGTTAAATGGAGTACAGATGTGGATTGAATACATCCAAAAGTGGTGATGACTGTAAAACGAGTCAACCAATTAAACAAAGGAGGATTAAACCGATCGATATCAAACAAGATGGAAGCCACGAACCCGAATGTATTCACGTTCTTGGACTACGAGTACCAACCTCTGCAATAGGAAAACGAACCTTTGTTTGCATGCATCGTGCGGTTCACAAAGAGACAACTAACCAGCACAACAACATCACCACAAGCACAACGAAATCACAACCAACACAACAATATCACCAGCGCAATGAAATCAAAACAAAATCACCAATACAACAGCATCAACAGCACAGCAACATCACCAGCACAACGAGATCACCACACTTTACACTCCACACTCCGCACACTACACTTTACACTCCACACTCCACACTCTACACTTTACACTCTACACTTAACACTCTACACTTCACACTCGACACTTTCCGCTCCGCACTCCACACTCTACACTTTATACTACAGGCTCCACACTTTTCACTTTACACTCCTCACTCCTCACTCCACGCTCTACACTCCACATTCCACCACACTCAACACTCTACACCCACCACACTCCTCACTCCACATTCCACACGCCACACTTTACACTCCACACTCGCCACTTTCCACTCCACACTCCACATTCTACAGTTTACACTCCACACCACACTCCACACTCCACACGCCACACTCCACCACATTCTACACTCTACACACACCACACTCCTCACTCCATACTCCACACTTTACACTCCACACGCCATACTTTACACTCCACACTCCACACTTTACACTCCACACTCCACACTTTGCACTCCACACTAAGTGGTTCCAGTACTACTGTGTACTACAAAGCTTGCACAAACACGTTCCAGTACTACTGTGTACTACAAAGCTCGCACAAAGCACTTCCCAGTACTACTTTGTACTGCAGAGCTTGCACAAACTACTTCCCAGTACTTTGTACTACACAGCTTGCACAAAGCACTTCCCAGTACTACTGTGTACTACACAGCTTGCACAAACTACTTCCCAGTACCACTTTGTACTACAAAGCTTGCACGAAGCACTTCCCGGTACCACTTTGTACTACAAAGCTTGCACGAAACCGTTCCCAGTACTACTGTGTACTACAAAGCTTGCACAAAGCAATTCCCAGGACTACTTTGCACTACAAGGCTTGCAAAGTCGTTCCCAGTACTACTGTGTACTACAAAGCTTGCACAAACACGTTCCAGTACTAATGTGTACTACAAAGCTCGCACAAACTACTTCCCAGTACTACTGTGTACTACAAAGCTTGCACAAAGTCGTTCCCAGTAGTACTGTGTACTACAAAGCTCGCACAAACACGTTCCCAGTACTACTGTGTACTACAAAGCTCGCACAAAGCACTTCCCAGTACTACTTTGTACTACAAAGCTTGCACACAGCACTTCCCAGTACTACTTTGTACTACAAAGCTTGCACACAGCACTTCCCAGTACTACTGTGTACTACAAAGCTTGCACAAACACGTTCCAGTACTACTGTGTACTACAAAGCTCGCACAAACACGTTCCCAGTACTACTGTATACTACAAAGCTTGCACAAAGTACTTCCCAGTACTACTGTGTACTACAAAGCTCGCACAAACTACTTCCCAGTACTATTGTGTACTACAAAGCTTGCAAAAGGCCGTTCCCAGTACTATTGTGTACTACAAAGCTTGCACAAAGCACTTCCCAGTACTACTGTGTACTACAAAGCTCGCACAAACACGTTCCCAGTACTACTGTGTACTACAAAGCTTGCACGAAGCACTTCCCAGTACTACTGTGTACTACCATGCTTGCACAAAGCACTTCCCAGTACCACTTTTTACTACAAAGCTTGCACAAAGTCGTTCCCAGTACTACTGTGTACTACAAAGCTTGCACAAAGCACTTCCCAGTACTACTTTGTACTACAAGGCTTGCAAAGTCGTTCCCAGTCCTACTGTGTACTACAAAGCTTGCAACAACTACTTCCCAGTACTACTTTGTACTACAAAGCTTGCACGAAGTCGTGCGCAGTACTACTTTGTACTACAAAGCTTGCACAAAGTCGTTCCCAGTACTACTGTGTATTACAAAGCTTGCACAAAGCACTTCCCAGTACTACTGTGTACTACAAAGCTTGCACAAAGCACTTCCCAGTACTACTTTGTACTACAAAGCTTGCACAAAGCACTTCCCAGTACTACTTTGTACTACAAAGCTTGCACAAACTACTTCCCAGTACTACTGTGTACTACAAAGCTCGCACAAAGCACTTCCCAGTACTACTGTGTACTACAAAGCTCGCACAAAGCACTTCCCAGTACTACTGTGTACTACAAAGCTTGCACAAAGCACTTCCCAGTACTACTGTGTACTACAAAGCTTGCACAAACACGTTCCAGTACTACTGTGTACTACAAAGCTTGCACGAAGCACTTCCCAGTACTACTGTGTACTACAAAGCTTGCACAAAGCACGTTCCAGTACTACTGTGTACTACAAAGCTTGCACAAAGTCGTTCCCAGTACTACTTTGTACCACAAAACTGGGACAAACACGTTCCCAGTACTACTTTGTACTACAAAGCTTGCACAAAGTCGTTCCCAGTACTACTGTGTACTACAAAGCTCGCACAAACTACTTCCAAGTACTACTGTGCGTAGCAAAAAACACGAGGTGTTGCAGCTTCCCCTATAGACACGGCGGCATCCACGCAGCAAGAAACACGAGGTTTTGCAGCTTCCCCCATAGACACTGCGACATCTACCTAGCAAAACACACGAGGTTTTGCAGCTTCCCCTATAGACACTGCGACATCTACGGAGCAAAAAACACGAGGTTTTGCAGCTTCCCCTAGAGACACTGCTACATCTACGCAGCAAAAAACACGAGGTTTTGCAGCTTCCTCTATAGACACTGCTACATCTACGTTGCAAAACACACGAGATTTTGCAGCTTCCCCTATAGACACTGCTACATCTACGCAGCAAAAAACACGAGGTTTTGCAGCTTCCCCTATAGACATTGCGACATCTACTTCGCAAAAAACACGACGTTTTGCAGCTTCCCCTATAGACACTGCGACAGCTACGTAGCAAAACACACGAGATTTTGCAGCTTCCCCTATAGACACTGCGACATCTACGCAGCAAAAAAACAGGAGGTTTTGCAGCTTCCCCTATAGACACTGCGACATCTACGTAAAAAAAACACGAGGTTTTGCAGCTTCCCCTATAGACACTGCGACAGCTACGTAGCAAAACACACGAGATTTTGCAGCTTCCCCTATAGACACTGCGACATCTACGGAGCAAAAAACACGAGGTTTTGCAGCTTCCCCCATAGACACTGCGACATCCACGAAGCAAAAAACACGAGGTTTTGCAGCTTCCCCTATAGACACTGCGACATCTACGTCGCAAAAGACACGAGGTTTTGCAGCTTCCCCTATAGACACTGCGACATCTACGTAAAAAACACGAGGTTTTGCAGCTTCCCCTATAGACACTGCGACAGCTACGTAGCAAAACACACGAGGTTTTGCAGCTTCCCCTATAGACACTGCGACATCTACGGAGCAAAAAACACGAGGTTTTGCAGCTTCCCCTATAGACACTGCGACATCCACGAAGCAAAAAACACGAGGTTTTGCAGCTTCCCCTATAGACACTCCGACATCTACGTCGCAAAAGACACGAGGTTTTGCAGCTTCCCCTATAGACACCGAATTAATGACGCGAAAAACGACGCGAAAAACGACGCGAAAACGACGCGAAAACGACGCGAAAACGACGCGAAAACGACGCGAAAACGACGCGAAAAACGACGCGCCGACCAACTGGCGGCGAACAAAGGTCCAACCCCCAGACCCCCAACTATAAACGGGAACCCTTCGCTACGCATTCGGGAAAAAAACAGGAATCCTTAAAGATGGGATTCCAGAACAAATCATTGATGACCATCCCCCAAGGGCTTCAAGGCCATGGTAAATATCATCCGAGTTAAAAAAATGGCACCATGGCACAGTCGCGCATCGCTTCCAAGATGCTGGAAACAGATCTGATCAACTGGATTTTCGCATAGATTAATCTCTTCTGTATCACGAAAGAAATGGCTTCTCCAGGCGTCTGATTTCAGAGTGGGAAACCATTTTGGCTACCACCAAGCGCAATCCCACCCAAACTCTTTTTCCCGCTTCAGGCGAATCTTGCCCTAACGACCTGGCGCAGGCTACCCCGATCAGGGGCAGTTTCTTACGGAGGCAACCGTTGAGTGGTTTTGCTTCAAAAGCTTTAAAAAATGATGGCAGGTCCGAAGAGTTTGAATTGCAAAATGATCAAAATGGATAACTGACCAACTGTTTTGTCACAGCATCTGCAGTGTCACACATGGTGAACCGGGTGAACTATGAGCTTTTGGGGATCTTTGCGGTCTTCTCGTTGATACCATTGGTCCCTGTAGATGGAACCTTTGGTCTAATCGTCGCAAAGAGAGGGATAGGAAGAACAATATGAAACCCCACAGGTTTCTGTAGGTTAAACACTGCCTAATTTTGGATTTGGGGGAGAGATAGTGAGATTGTGAATCACTTGGGTCCAAAATACATGGCACAACATTTCCAGAATCTATTCAGGGGCACCTATGTGGCTAAATGCTTTTCAACTTGGAACCCACCCACCGGGTTTGGGACACATTCTCTTCGACAGCACCATCCAGTCCATCCCGTCGGATGCCGAAGAAACCAAGCTATGTTTAGATTTTCCCGACCCAGTGAGCCAATCAAGACTTGCAGCCTTACATCCAAGGGTGCCATTTATATAAATTAATATAAATAGATATAAATAGATATAAATATTCCCACTAGATTCCTCAAATGGTGGATGAATCTTCCCACTAAATATTCGGTGGATCAATCTTCCCAAAAAAAAACACAAAAAACATCGGACTTTTCCTCGACGTCTTCGACGTCTCGTCGTGATCTTCACCAAATCCCAGGGGATTTTCTTCGGAAGCCCCACCTACTGGCAGCAGCCATGCCGCTTGCAATCCGCGCTGTCGGCACAGCAGACTTGGCCTGGAGTCTGATGCCCGGATCCGTGCCATGGGGCCAGTGCTCAGTGCGAAATCCAGTGATCTCCAGTGACCTATGGGTAAACATACCAAAAAACATGTGGAATTCCTGGAAAAAAAACTGAAACTTCGCGTTGGAAAAAAATGATCGACAAAATGGTGGGTTTTTTTCACATCGATGTCAAGAAGATAAAAGAGTTGACCATGAAATTGCTGGTGGAATGCCTGTTTCTGTCGGAAGATGTGCATTTACATTTGGACGGACAACACTCATCCCTCAGCGATTTGATCCTTGTTTTCCCATGTTAACAACTTCCACATGGGTCCTCGAAGGCCAGCTATTGCGAAGCTTCTGGCAATGCTTAGTAGGAAAATATGAGGCAAAAAGTAGTTGATACCCACAGAATTGGATGATTCAAATCAAACATGACGGAAATTGCTACAGAAACCATGCAACATGGTCTATTTTAAACGATAGGAAAGGAAAACATGATTTGGGTACCCCATAGTATCATGCCAGAACGTTTTGACCATTGTGCCACTCGCCATAACGAGGCTCCCCAAAAGGATAGAAAAGTTGTCCAGGATGCTTTTAAATGATGTGTCCATCATCATTTCTCTAGATTTCCAACTGTTCTATCATTTCTATGATTTAGGGGGTTGGGAAAAATTAATCTAAAACCTGCCATCTTGGGGTTAGACAGAGCCTGGACCTACGGTGCCCTCCGCCACTAGACCCCGTCACGTCGCGCCTTTGAAAGGGAGGCATAGCTCGGGGCCTGGGAAGAAACCATCCCAAAATGGCTTGATTTCATGGGAAAATCCCGATGTTTCCGGTGAAGATGTTCCCGCCCATTGTCAAGTCAGCCGGGCTTACCAAATGAAAAATCCACTGACCAGGAATCATACCCACGGCTACCGTTGAAATATAGTGAAGCCCTTCACGGATAATTATCCTAGGGCCTCGGGATTGTTGTGATCCAGCGCTTCAAAAAACACCCCCTGCATTCGCGTTGATTTGAAAATTGCGCTGATCCAGCGCTTCATATTGTTTCAACAACATGCTTCGGAACATAAGGGAAGACTTTAGGCCATAGTTAGAACCGGCTTGATACAATATATTCATATATATATATATTCAATATACATATATATATATAGTCGATGCTTAGTAAAAAAAACACATGTAATAGATATATATATATTATACACACACACGTACATACAATTGCATCACCCAAAGAGGTCCTACCCCTGGCTACAGCGCGCCAAGCAGCTCTTGGTCGGGTTGAAACAGGGCGTGCGGCAGCTTCCAGTGGTGAGATCTGAAGCCACATAATAACTGGGACAGTTGTAGGCTTGGTCCTGGGATATGGATGGTGACTAGCGGAGTGTAACTCTGGGAAATCACTGAAATGCCAGGGTTGGAACATAGAACAGCACATGGGCTATCATGGGCTCCAAGCCATCAATGTCGAAGATGACGCTTTCACAGACGAAGTACAACGACCCATAACATCCAGTTTTCTTTCCGAGAGGGCGCCTATCACTGCGTGATGGGCGCATTCCAGACTAGCAAAGGTATCACAGCTACAGGATAGTGGGTCTTCACAACATACACACCTGGAAGGTTGCTGGACAATCCCCAGTGTTTTTCAGGGACAATTATCTATAAAATTCTATGGATATCTTCCTCAATTCCTGCCCGCTAGGTTGGATTACCAGTGTCCAATCCAGGTCTAAAACCTCTTGGAACCTCACAGAATCCTCGCTAGAATACCTTGAGCCGTCCTGTTTGGCTTTGCCAATACGCTTAGGAGGAAATGATCCACAATCACTAGTAACAATCATCCCAGCAACCCCCAGCAACCCATCCATTCCCTACGTTTAGCGGAAGCTCGTGTCCGAGAAATCTCTAGATCTGCCAAGTGGCTCCCAATTTGATGACATTTTTGCAATCATTGCCGTCCACCCGCTGCGCACCTCAGCGAAAACTCTCTTGGTCAAGTGAGGAGCAAAAATCGGAGATCCAAGCCTTCCAATTCTTGGGAAAATCTACCTATAAATGGAGGTTTTAGTGGGAAAATCGGCCTAGAAAATTCCAGAAATGGTTTCACAAGGATCTCCCTTGAGGTCGCTATTTATGAGCTGGATACATCTAGATACCAAGATTTATTGCGTTTTGAATGGGAAAAATGATGACCTGGGATTGTCAAAAAATGGTGTAACTCTGAAATTTCATACCCAATGGAATGCTCATTTCCCCAAATAACAATTGTCTACATGCATGTGGTTCTCAAAGGGTTCTATCCCACCAGCTGGCCACTCCTCCCTGCATATGTCATGGCACCCACGCGCCAAGGGTCTGCAGGCTTGAAGCCCCTGGGTGGCAGCAAGCGAGGCCCGACTCTGAAATCACAAGAGATAAGCCTCACCAAGGGACTGATATTACTGAGGTCAAAGTTCTATTCTGGTAATGATAAGCAAACTAATGATCACCATCGCAAATCTATCCGAGCTCAAAGACAGTTCAATTTACCTCGACCCAAATCGACCACAACCAACGGATCTGCGGGTTTCAGTACCCAAAGCGGTCGGATCCGTCGGATCTGTGGCCAACAAGAATGAACTCCGTCATCTATTGTTTTGTGGTTCCAATCCACCATGGCCACCATGGCCACCATGGCTCCCTCAGTTTCGAAAGTTTCAACTCCACATTCTCGGGGGGTCCCAAGCAGAAAAAACCCGCAGGAGGAAAAAAACATAGCGGAATTCCCGCATGTTGCGGTTGTGACGATGTCCCATTGACAGGTTTAATCACCCTGCCCTTAGTGCAGTAAATCTAAGAATAACCCAAGTTTGCCGAGTTTAGGCTAGAGTCTAGAGATTAAATCATGTTGGGGTTCAAAGAAGTTGTAAGTCATAATTCATCATCTCTGATAGCCATGTTATGATTGGGACATACTCCGGTTTCTGGTTGGGTGTACCACAATATAGAGTGACCTCTCACCAAATAACGCTCCGCCAAGTCTCTCTTCCAGGCCTTATATGTCCAGCACTTGTAGTTGGTCGCTACAGGTCAATGCATGAATCATTCATGCTTCAATTTTTGTACACCATATCTGAATGCAAGTAAACTTGCGCACATATATGCGGATATGAACCCTCTGGTTATTTAACATAGCCATGGAAAATGACCCATTTATAGATGGTTTACCTATAAAAAATGATGGATCTTTCCCTGGCTATGTTAGTCATAACCAAATGGTAAACGATAAGTTGATGATCAATGGATACTTCACCCAGGTCTGTGATCTAGGAACCGGGCTGTCGTCCGCATCGACGCTGTCTAAGCTGTCATCGTTCTCCTGTGGGCTTTATCCCGAGTCTGAATTTACCCTCTGGTAATAGCTGACATAGCTATTGAAAATGGCCAGTTATAGTGGATTTTCCCATTAAAAATGGTGGATCTTTCCATAGTTATGTTAAATTACCAGAGGGTATCTATATAGGTGATTCCAGAATGACTGGACCCCAACACAGGACAACCATCAAGTGGTGAAATGCCCATTTCTTGCAGTAAAAAAAACCGCCAGTCTTGGTCAAGTTCCTGTTTCTTCTTAGCTTTCTTCTTGGATCACCAAGTTTTATTGGGTTATAGTATGTTATAGATTGTTGTAGTCATTTTAAATACCCTCCGCGAATCAAACATGCCTTGCTGGAAAATCCCCCCTTTATAGATGAATTTAGATCATGTTCCAATTAAAGCCTTCATTTCTGTGGGATTTCCCAGCTAGCCATGCTTGATGACACCGAAGAATCTCCGCATTTTGATTGGTTCACCAGCAATTTTTGGGGTCCCCTAGAGGCCGCCAAGCATCAAAGTGTCGTGCACGGATCAGCACCAGACTCGACAGCACTGTGAAGACCCAACGCATCCCATCGAAGCGCTGCAGCCTGGATGCAGCCACGGTTTATAGAATCTATAAGAGTTATTATAAGATGTTATAAGCCACTTGTACAAGTCTTATACATGGATTTGTCTGACAATCTCTTGGAACCCGAAACATCAAACCATGGTTTGGAACATGACTGTTCCCATGTTTAATGACCATCAAATTGCAACCTCAATGGGTAACTTGGGCTAATCCCATCCCATGATAAGCCCACCCTTCACTACTGGGCGTCCCTGCTGGAGACAGCTCTCAGCAAACACAAAGGTGAACCTTAGGTTGCAAATGTGTGGATGAATGCCTTTTCCCAAGTTCGGAAAGAGGATTCACCTGATGTGCTAATGATGTTGGAATTTTCTCGCTGGTTGAAGTACCCTCTGGTTATTTAACATAGCCATGGAAAATGGCCCAATTATAGATCTATAGATGGTTTACCTGGGTTTACCTATTAAAAATGGTGATTTTCCATGGCTATGTTAAATAACCAGATGGTATGTTGAAGTGGTCAATACCCACTGCCTGCGCAGGACACTCTCGGATCATCGGGGTCACCTGTTCAGACCCGAACCTGGAAGAATTCTGCTGCTTTTTGGATCCCTACCATCTGGTTATAACGAACATGACATAGCCATGGAAAATCCCCAACCATAAATGGAGGTTGATGTCGCTGGGAAAATCATCTATTTCTATGGGCCATTTATACCATGGCGAACTGTTAGTCATAACCAGAGGGTAAGTCCTAAAGAGGGCATGATATCAGCCGTTCCCGCTTTTTTCCCGCCGTGTATCCCGCGTTTTGGCAGATCCCATCCTGATCCTCCCGGCCGTATCCCCACCATGCGTCCAAGTCACTGCTCAGAAAACCCGCCAGACTGGCGATGGCTTGAGCCAGATGTTTCAGGCCATTTGATCATCGGGGAGGGAGGCAGATTCTCCACTGGTTGATGTTTGAAAAGGTCTCCAGAAAATGTCATGATTTTTCCATGTTCATGGGGGAAGATATGGGAAATTTGTGATGAACCAGTGGATTTAGTGGTATTCCCAGTCAAGGAAAAACATGACAACAAACTTGCGACCCTGACACACTCTGCCTACCGTAAGCACTGTAAGCTGTCTGTTCTTGCTTCTGTGATCGCAAGGGATATGAAGATATCCGGCTGCTCGTATGGAGTATTACCCCTCGAACTGCTTATCTTCCACCAGCATTGCTTCATGTTGTTTCTATCCCCTCACAGTCCACCTTTCCGAAATGAATTCGATTCTATCCCAAACCCCCCATTCCACGCAGAATTAAGGATCCGACCCGCTAGAGAGCACAGAGAGATGAGCCTGGAAAGGCAGGAGGCAGACTGACCCCAAAAATGGCTGGAGGAAGGAGTGTATCACCTGCCAATCAAACCCTCTTCTCATCCAAGAGTCAAAACTAACCAAAATCAACATGTTGAAGCAAACATGCAATGCATTTGAACTCATTGCTGCGTTCATTGCAGACAGCTAACATCTTGCATGCCGCTTGTGACAGAAAGTGCCGAAGACGTAAATTGTGGTATCCACTCTTTGGACAGCCTATCTATGTAGTTACTATTCTCCCACAACCATGTGTAGCTACCCTCAAGTACCCGTAACCTCAAGTACCCCCTGTGAAAATCCTGGTATCTGGTTATCACATCAAAATAACTGGCATTGATCTTCAAACCCCTCGAGTCGTCTCGTAGAAAATCATTGGCGCCATCACCCATCCCCAGACAACTCCAGCTGGGTTTGTGGTTAAAATCGGGTATGCCCCAAAAAACAACTGGTTAATATATGGTTTCTCATCACGTTCCCTACTAAAAAAAAACAATTCTAGGGGGTCCATCCCTGATTTGGAAGAACTAAAATTCGTTCGAGGGTTACTCGCCCCAACCCTGCCTTGCTTCGCAGCAGCCTTGGAAGTGGGCTGAGATATTGCTCCACTGGAAAACATGGAATGGCTTGACTGGGCACCCTGAACAGGGCCTAGTGGAAAGGTGCACAGCTACGAAATTCGGTGAAGTCAATTACGTGGCTCCATTTCCAAACTCTTCTAAGCGCAAAGTATCCACGCCTAAAGCAACTGAATAAAGTAAATCCCAAAAATCCCAACAAAAAAGTCTCAGCTCCGGACATTGTCTCCGCAGAGGCATCAAAAGCTTCCTTGAGCAAGGCCTGTGGCAAGATCCCCGGGATCAAAAGATGAACCCAGAGGAACAGTCACTTAAAGGGCCACTTCGGAACGTCAAAAAGTTGCGTTCAGAAGGTGATGTTCAGCCATCAACTACTCTTCTGACTCCATATATATCATATATAGTATTCATATAATATATGTATATATATATATATCAGTACCCCAGCACCGCCTTCCCCCATCGCCCGCGCAGCTTCCCCGACATTTTCCGCTCGTGCCCTGCACTGCGCCGCTTCCCTCGACTCGAAGCCGTGGCTCAGTGCGAAGAGCTCAGCGGCCCGGTGCCAGGCAGCGTCTCGGGCTTGTGGGGACCGTGGTGACCGTGGGGAATACAACCCTTACCCTATGGGAAAACCATAGGAAAACCATAGGAAAATGGAGGTTTACCCTCTGGTAATTTAACATAACTATGGAAAGATCCACCATTCTTAATGGGAAAATCCACTATTTCGACTGTGCCATTTTCAATAGCAAACTGTTAAATTACCAGAGGGTAAGACAAGGAGCACCGAGGGGTCTTAGAATGTCTTAGACCACTTAGATCTTTTTTTTTTGAAAGCTAGTTGGAGTTGGTTGATGACTTGTTTGGGCCAGACAACTCAGAGTTCAGCCAAGATGGCTCTATGATTTCCATCTGTAACATGATGGGAGACTTTGGCAGATTACAAAGTAGATTCCAAAAAATGGTGGATGCTTGATGCGTGAAAATAATCAGCTACCCTCCTGTAAATTAACACATATAGATATGGGAATCCATAGTTTCCTGTTCGGACAATGATCTACACATGGTGGGCTTTCAATATGTTACTGGAGAGTATTCACCCTCAAAATCAACCAGGTCCTCAGGTGGGTTTGTCTGAAAATGAGCCACCCAGCAAAATTCATGGTTCATCATCAAGTTTCCCTTTAAAATGACCATATTCGTCAAAAAAAAGTCATCCCCTTCAAACCCACCAAAAAACGGTCCAAAAAATCTGGCCCTTCCCAGCCTGCATCTGGATCTTCAGGGTGCGCCTTCTCCCAGCTTTCGGCTTCTCGTTGCGCCAGCTGCGACAGAAAGGGATGGCCTTCCTCTCTCAGCCGCCCGAAGGCCTCGAAGAGCTGAGGGAAGATCTGCAGCGCCGTGGCGGCTGGCACCTGCGAAGAGGCCCCCCCCAAGGGGGCTGGGAAGGGGGTGATGTTTTCGATTAAAAAGTTGGGTTTTCTGGCATGCTTTGATGGTTTTTTGGGGGGGAAAATCTGAAATAATCGGGTGAAGCACTGGAATGTGCGGAGAATAAAAAAGTAGAAGCGTGTTCTCCCAGAGCAATTGAGAAAGAAAGACATTGTTTCTACGTCTCCCAAACAGAAAACACATTGAAAGATTTTGAAACCATATAGTCAGGGCCCTAAAGGCATCACTAAATATTCCTCATTCCTCGGGCCTGGTCCAAATGCTTCAGATACATGTGGAAAATTTTGAAATGGTAGGGATGCAATGCAGCCGCACTCTCTTCTCCAAACTCCTTCACAGCAGGTGGGCTTCAATCCATCCTTCCCTTGAGAAAAAGGCTATGTCACCAACCGGTCCCGGACCTTTCCTTCGGAAGCATCTGCAACTTGGGGACCCCGTTCAAAAATCCGCATTGAAAACTGACCCTGGTGTATGATTGGTGACAGTGAAACATATTCCATGATCCAGGATCCAGGTTGAATGGCCTTCCCATCTCCCAAATCTGGAGCAGCCCCCAAGGTACAATCCTGAATTTGGGATCCATGGCTAGTACCCCTTCAACCAGGAACACTGGGGATGTACCCGAATCCCAAGTCACTAACCATTCACACAAGGACTTTCGATGATTGGGGGTGCCATTCCCGCGCTTGTTAACAATCATGATCCCTTTCTGGCTCCTCCAGAGTCTCTGCCTTTTTGAAAGCCTCCAACTCTTCACCACTGCACCGCAAGCCGCACTCCTGACTTTGGAAGTGCTTCAACCATGACTGTAGTGGCACCCCAACCATGATTTCTTGGGTATACTGGAAGAAACTAAATAGGCCAGTAACTTTGGCAACTTCCTATCCAGCAATCCACCCCCAACTTGCCAAAGGGGTACACAAGTCATGCTGGGAGTGTCTTGTCAGGGTTGGAAAACGAAGCAAAGAACTTCCTTTGATCTCTGATGTGCCAAGAACTCCGAAATGATCATGGGGCCATGGAAAAATCCCCAATAATTTCAGAAAATGTTCGAAGATTTATGGTGATTGACATCTTCGAGTCCTTGATTTGGATTTGCTCCCAACAAAAAAAAAGTCACTATAGATTCCCCAAATGGTGGAGTTTCCATTGAGTAATGAGCCGTCCTCACACAGCAACTCGCAGAAGCCTCCCAGTTCAGTGCATGGAGTCGGCGGACAGCATGGGCCCTGAAACGGTGCCACCCTGAAGCCCTTGAGAAGCTGCTTGAGATTTGCTGGGATAAAAGTTAGTATCTCCCCCATGTTTGGTATGCACTAGAGTAAGAAATCATGTCAACTAGAAATTCCCTCTTTCTTGGCATGTTTTAACGTGCTCATGAGTCTATGTTAATGGACAATGTCCCGTGTAAGGACCCTGAGGCCCCCCAGACTGAAAACGTGTTTGCCAATTGACTGAAAGCTGCATTTTGCCCTCTGAGGCTGCCATGACTGCCATGAATCTTAAGTTCATACAAATAATCCACGGTTAAAAAAAAAAACTCCAGCCCCCCCCAACCACCCAACCACCCAACCACCCAACCAGCCCGACCTCGCATTCCGGACATCTGAAGGCGCAGCACAGCTCGGGAGTCTCGAAGCCGCAGCACCTCTCACAGCGGCAGTGGAAGTTGAAGCCGTGCAGCAGCAGCCGCTGCCTTTGCCAGGTGGGGTAGTACTCCTCGGCCATGGGAAATCTACCAACTACATGGATATGTTTTGATGGGAAAATCATTGAACTAGATGATGGATTTTCGGTAATAAATGGTGAATTGTTGCTAGTTACGTGGGGAATATATATATATAATACCCCTTACTTGTTCCCTAGGATGCTTTACGAAGCATTTTATAGAGAAAATTGGTTATAAAATGGTCCTCCGTCAGCCAACATCCAGACAGCAAGTGGGAACCCTCTATGAAATGACCTCTCCGTCATCTCTATGAAATGCAACATCCATCTGCAACATCTTGCACCTCTCTATCATCTTTGATGCTGGGAGGGAAGCTCTCTATAAAATGATAAAATAGGGAGCTCTGGAGGGGCATTTTATAGACAGCCAAGCAAGTCCTCTATAAAATGAGTCCCGGAACAGCATTTTATAGACGTAAAGCATGTGCATTTTATAGAGGATCAACTTAGGGGTATTATATATATAAAGTAAGATACTGTGTTAGCTGATCCATGATGAAACACGGGGATAGGATTTGATCCATGAAGCTAAGATGGGTTTATGAGGGTGAAGCCTGGTATCCATATTTGGGGTACTTATATGGAGATGATCTGGTTGGTGGTATACCTACCCCTCTGAAAAATATGAAAGTCAGTTGGGATGATTATTCCCAATATATAGAAAAATAAAAAAATGTTCCAAACCACCAACCAGTGATTAATATATGCTGAAGTCATACGGCTCCGACTCCATCATGGACTCGTTCGCATCCCCATCTCTGTTCGCATAGTCGTTCTGGCTCCCGCACTGAAAGTGGGTTGGTTTCCAATGAGCCTTTGCCTTGACATCCATTTCAAGAATTTTGCCTCTGTTTTCTTGTGTATTTGGAATTTGCTCTCTATCCCCATTTTTCTTGGCTCATTTGGTGATACAAGACATACTTGCTGATCATTTAAAAAAAAAAAAAGAAAAACACAGAGAGGTTGCTTTGAATGTGGTTTTTGAAATCGCCGAAAGCGGCCACTTGCGGCCACTTGCGGCCACTCGCTGGGAGCGGCCACTTGCGGCCACTTGCCGTCACTCGCTGGGAGCGGTCACTTGCGGCCTCTTGCGGCCACTCGCGGCCACTTGCTGGGAGCGGCCACTTGCGGCCACTTGCGGCCACTTGCGGCCACTTGCCCTAGCGGCCACTTGCGGCCACTTGCGGCCACTTGCGGCCACTCGAGTGGCTGCAAGTGGCTGCAAGTGGCTGCAGGTGGCTGCAAGTGGCTGCAAGTGGCTGCAAGTGGCCGCTCCCAGCGAGTGACGGCAAGTGGTGGCCGCACATACAATGGAATGTAGGTGGTGACTTTGGCGTGTCACACCCATTGCCCAGTAAATATGCAATTGCTTCGACTGACGGATGTAGATGTCTGCTGCAAATCTCCAGCTTCTGCAGCGTTGGCTCGAAAACTGTTGCCCCTCCAAGATGGTGACTTCTGCCTTGTGGAGGGCCCACACAGTGGTGGCCTCGCCGTCTCCGAAACGTCGGGCGACTAGCATGGCTAGCGCCATTGGCGCTTGCCTACGGAGCTGAGGAGGCTTACAGTGGGTGAGTAATGCTGTTTGTTTCAATGTGGAATAATTTTGTTTTCACTCGTCTTGTGAGACCCGTTTCGTTTTCTTCTTCATTTTCCTGTAACCATTCTTCTCCGACTTCCTTCCTCGATCTTTTTCCTCGGCGTTGACCTTTCATTTTTTCCAGTGCAAACTTGACTGGATAGCATGCGAGCATGAATCAAACACTTGTTTTTCAATCAAGAAGTGCAGGCAAACTTGCAGGTCCATGTCATTCGCAACGGTCTGTTCAAAATGTGTGTCTGGATTAGGTTGGGTGTACCTACTAATCAGCATTTCATCATGAGTCGCGGCAAATCTATCTGTGTTTGGAAGGAGCTAGGCACTAAGAGTGATGCAGCACTTGCAGTGAATCTAGAAAGGACGGTGGCAACGGTAAACCCCAAAGCTCTGCCTCCAGTTTGGGTTGTCATGCGTTGCCACCACGGGTATTCCGAGCACCGTTCCTGATAAGGTCACTGCATCCACCAGCGGTTGCTGCGCCCACACAAGGTCAGGAAAGTGAACATCAGGTGGCGGTGGAGGCGGTCGCCGATCTCCTGGGTACACAATGTTTTTATTGCAGGTGCGGTTGGTTGGTAAAAGTCAGTGTCACTCATTCAAGACTGGTCCGTTTTTTTTGTAGCATACATGGCGATGAACGTACTGTACAAACAAATGGTTTGGTGCGCTTTCACAGGATCACACTGTCACATGTGTGCTTTCACATGAAGCCTTTGATTTTATCATATGGCCTTTCGGAGGAGATCAAAAGAGGAGCTGTCACCGAGACTTTTCTAGAGAGCTTTGATGTTGGATTCCTCCAGAGATCTTTTACAAAGACCTTATAGAAGGTCTTCTTTTAGAGCTTTTCTTGAAAAAATGATGCAACTGTGGTTTTGGTTTTGGTGTTTTCCTCTCTATTGGATTCTCTTGACAAATAGGTACAGCATGGCTAAGAAGAGGGCTGATTCATGACTGACAATTGTCTGGGCGCAATCATGTTTGTAGCTTATGTTTAGCTAGGTTTCGAGATTGACCATCTGCCGTTCTCTGCGCGAGCATGTCGGTCCAGCGTGCTTCGTTGCTGAAGAATTCAGCGACAGCAACCAGCTTGTCATCCTCCTTCGTCACGTTGGCTATCATGTCGGAATACGCTTGGAGCCCGGTGTCCGTGAGCCCGCTTCCTTGCCACAGCTCCTGGGTCAGACACCACGTTTTTTCATGACACCTTGCCTTAAAAGACAACCATTGTCTCCAAGGGTCTGTGTAAGGCATGGTGTCTGGATGAGGTAATGTGTAAAGCATGGTGTCTTGATCATAGAGGCATGGTGTCTGGATCATGCAGGCATCTGGATGGAGTTCGTATTTCAACGAAGTATTCGACATGCGGCCAAGGTTCAGCTCTTGGCAACTCATTCATCAGATGCCGCCACTCAGCGCTGATGGTGGGGGGGCGAGGAAACCCGTTCACCAGATGCAACTCTTGGCCAGCTCTTGAAAGAGCTACTGCCAACTTGCCAACATCTAAGAGGCTGCCCACAGGGGTCTCTTCGTGAGCGCACCCTCAGCTGCCAGGAATGAGTGAGCAAGCAATCAGTCAGTTAGCCAGTTAGTCTGTCACCTAACTAGGCAGCGATCCGTTCAATCAGTTAGTTCACTTGTCAGTCGGCCAGTGAGTTCGGCAGTCAGTCTGCGGTCTATGAGTCATTCAATCTGCCAAGCCTTCATCTAAAACTCAACTCAAACATCCGAACCCCTGGTTGGAACGTCTATCACAGCTTTCGTGCTGCGTTGCTAGAGTCCGAATGCATTTTGGGAAGACAGACTTTTTAGGCTGCAGCTAAAGCGAATATCTTTGTGTCCACATTCCGATCCATGCTGTGTAGCAATTACTTATTGTACACGATTGAGAAGTTGGCACAGTTGGCAGTAAGAATTTCCTTGAAGGATTATCCCAGTAGTACCCGCACGAGGCGGGGCGGAAGTTGCCTTAAAGATATATATCAGACCTTTCTCATCTATAGAACTTGCATGCGCCGTGCGCCAGCCAAGCCCGTGCGCACTCTGCGAAAGTGGTGTCCTGTTGCACATGTCACATTTGAAGCTCCACTTCGCACTTCACACTTCTCACTGCAGTCTTCACACTCCACACTACACACTGCACTCTTCACACTGCACCCTTGGCAGTCAACACTTCACACTCCACACTTCACAGTCCACACTTCACACTTCTCACTTCTCACTGCTTCCTTCACACTCCAAATTTCACACTTCACACTCCACACTTCACACTTCACACTGCACTCTTCGCACTGCAAACTTCACACTTCACACTTCACACTTCAAAGTCCACACTTCTCACTTCTCACTTCTCACTGCTTCCTTCACACTCCAAACTTCACACTTCACACTGCACTCTTCACGCCCCACACTTCACACTGCACTCTTCACACTCCACACTTCATCTTATCCCAGCTCATCTCTTCTCACCTTATTCCAGCTCATCTCTTCTCATAGAGAAAATAGAGAAAATTTGCTAACAAATTAACAAATCCATTTCGCAGCCTTCATGCAGCCACTCCAATACGATTTACGAGATCCAGCTGCAAAAGACAATAGTATTACGCATGCAGCCACAGCACGAAGCAACCTTGACGCAGCCATTCCAATGCGATCTACAATGACTGAGTTGCAAAACACAATAGAACTACGTGCAATGGCGTCGGAAATTGCAGCTCCAAAACCGGATCTCGACGCCAAAGCGAAAAAAAGACGATTTTGAAGCACTTTTTAAAAGGATTTTGAAAAGGAAAATCACTAGCGCCAAAATGGCGAAAATCTGCTAACAAATCCATTTCGCAGCCTTCATGCAGCCACTCCAATACGATTTACGAGATCCAGCTGCAAAAGACAATAGTATTACGCACAGCACGAAGCAACCTTGACGCAGCCATTACAATGCGATCTACAGTGACTCAGTTGCAAAACACAATAGAACTACGCGCAACGGCGTCGGAAACTGCAGCTCCAACCAGCTTAGGTTGAGAGGCCTCATAGGACCCCAAACCCAAAGTGTCGCTTAGGACCCCCAAGCGGCCACATAGGACCCTTGGCTTGGTTGAGGTATCACCTGGTTTAGCTATGCATCATATTTCGTACCCACGGTCAACCATGCCACCCTGCATCCCCCAAGATCCTTTCAAAAAACAATGTGGAAACCCAATAATCCATCAGCAAACACATCTATACCATGCATGACCGCGGAGAAATGCTACTGTGCAAACATATTAAAGCAGGGAAAACGAGGATTAGGCAAAGTTGGCGCCTTTGGATAATTCCCGTGCTTTTAATCTTGCTTTGCCCCGGTTTTTCTGACTTCAGCGAGCATATAGTATATCATTTGAATCGTCTCAAAGCCCGTTGCAAACGCAAAGCTCAGCAACGAACATGCCGTTCGCAATTTGTATTGATTAGGAGCGCGTTTCGTCCGAAGGTTTTGTGTCTCAACATATACATATATGTTGATATAGCCAACAAAAACTTGTGCTACTTGACTTGGCAGGGGGGACCCTTGACCGAGGGGAAAAGAAGCCATGCGGTCGCTTCCTTGCTCCTCTTTGATGTTTTGGGAACAATAAGACATGGCCTAAGTGCAAATTTGATTTCGCGCTTATTGTTGTCAGATCTAAAAGTTATTTCAATCGGCGGGCAATGAGCAAATTCAGGTTGTTAGCCTTGGCCTTTGTCTTCCTGCAGGGCGCTTCTAGGTCCTTACGTTAAAATAGTCATCTCCGCGATGCGTCAAAACACGGCGGTATAACACGCCACGACATGCCGCGCCATGACGTGCCATGACACGACATGCCACGACACGCCACGACACGCACGACACGCCACGACATGCCACGACACGCTGCGACACGCCACGACACGCACGACACGACACGCCACGACACGCACGACACGCACGACACGCCACAACACGCCACGACACGCCGGCGCGACACGCCACGACCCGCCACGACACGCCGGCGCGACACGCCACGACACGCTGCGACACGCCACGACACGCCGGCGGGACACGCGACGACACGCCGGCGCGACACGCCACGACACGCCAGGACACGCCACGACACGCCACGACACGACATTCTGCGACACGAATTGGCATGTTGCAGCACTATAGCTGCACAGGGTTTTTTAATGTACGGCATGCCGCGTCGTGCAAGGACGCATGCACCAAATATTTCTTAGAATTCTTGGGGTATATCTCGGCAGGGGATAGATTGACCAAAAAAAAGCAGGGACGCATGATTACGCATCAATCCAGCTAAGGGTGTCAGCTCTTAATTATGTTTAATTATAAGAGGGAGAATTTAGCGTTGCAGTGCCGTGTTATTTTGTAGTTTCGGCTGTAGGAAAGTAGTTCACCCCAAGTATATACCCATCCGTGGGAAGTCGCGGGCGATATTTAGACTCACCGGGGCATTGCTTGTCGTCATGCGGCGTGTCATATCGCAGGCGTGATTATTTTTCAAAAAAAAATGCGCCCGGAAGTGCGCGTGTCAAAGCGTGTCGTAGCGTGTCAAAGGACACATGGGACCCCCAAAACGCGTGTCATAGCGTGTCGTGGCGTGTCGTGGCCGCGCTCCTTTTTTTCTTCTCTTCCATTTGTTACTTCCTTTCTTTCGCATAAACTCTTATGTCCTGATCGTTCAGTGTTTCCTTCCGTTTCAACGCTTCCTTTCTATTTGTTGCGTCTGTGCCTTCGTATCAACTCTTTGTCTTGCTCGTTTAGCTCTCTCTTCCTTTCTATTCGTTGCGTCTGCGCCTACGTCTTTCTTTCGTTTCAATTCTTCCCTTCCATTTATTACTTCCTTTCTTTCGCATAAACTCTTATGTCCTGATCGTTCAGTGTTTCCTTCCGTTTCAACTCTTCCTTTCTATTTGTTGCGTCTGTGCCTTCGTATCAACTCTTTTGTCTTGCTCGTTTAGCTCTCTCTTCCTTTCTATTCGTTGCGTCTGCGCCTACGTCTTTCTTTCGTTTCAATTCTTCCCTTCCATTTGTTACTTCCTTTCTTTCGCATAAACTCTTATGTCCTGATCGTTCAGTGTTTCCTTCCGTTTCAACTCTTCCTTTCTATTCGTTGCGTTTGTGCCTTCGTATCAACTCTTTTGTCTTGCTCGTTTAGCTCTTCCTTTCCTTTCAATTCGTCCATTTCGTTGCATCCATCCTTTCGTTTAAACTCTTCCTTCCTATTTGTTATTTCTTTCCTTTCGTTTCAACTCTCACCTCACGTTTCAAAGAAAACTTGAAAAAAATCCAGTTCGCGAGAAAAGCATTTTTTTCAAGTTTTCAAGGGTGGAGCCATTCGGGCTGGTATTTGCCGTCCAAGCAGCCACTTGCGGCCACTTGCGGCCACTTGCGGCCACTTGCCCCAGCGGCCACTTGCGGCCACTTGCGGCCACTTGCGGCCACTTGCGGCCACTTGCGGCCACTTGCGGCCACTCGAGTGGCTGCAAGTGGCTGCAAGTGGCTGCAAGTGGCTGCAAGTGGCTGCAAGTGGCTGCAAGTGGCTGCAAGTGGTTGCAAGTGGCTGCAAGTGGCTGCAAGTGGTTGCAAGTGGCTACAAATGATGCACGTGACGCTGCTTTGTGGCCACTCGCTGGGAGCGGCCACTTGCGGCCACTTGCGGCCACTTGCCCTAGCGGCCACTTGCGGCCACTTGCGGCCACTCGAGTGGCTGCAAGTGGCTGCAAGTGGCTGCTTTTTTGAATTTCAAATACCGCTGGTTTTGCAACCTCAATGGAAAAACATCTCAACCAGTTCAACCTCCCAGTTGTTCATAAGCCCTCCACATGGCGCCGTTCCCATCATATTTGACTAACCGTCATTTCTAAGTGACCTGGTAGTGATGCGGCTATCATTTACCCAGATTCCTAAGCAATAAAGTTGTTTGAACATGTTACCCCAAAGTCCGTTGGTTAAGCTTCACTTTTCCTCTTGAAACAAAATTGACCATTTGCCATGTGTACAAAAAAAATCTCAGACAAACCCAAATCCATCATTCAAACTGTGAAAGTGAAATCCTCATCGTCTATTGATTTCCATGGAAATAGCTTCTCCGCATCACCCAATCGCCCCAATGGCCCATTATCTCCGAAGGGGGATGGCCATCTCATGTCATCTCCCAAGGTTAACGAATCCATAGCACAGGAAGTCATCCCGTGCAACTTGACCATTGACCATGGCGCATGCATGGTGTGAAATATCTATGTATTATATACATATATATATATATATGTAGTATATACATATGTATATGTAGTATATACATATGTATATGTAGTTTATATATATATATTATATTTATATATATTATATTTATATTATATATATATTATATATTATATATATATAATATATATATATATATATTATATATATATGGCTGAATTCTGATAATTCCCTGACCTGAAAATAGATCAAGTAAGGCCACTTTGGGATGATTCCGCTTACCGACCATGATTCCAATGACGTCACAGTGAGGATGTTATTCAATTCATCCAGATGATATCCCCCCATAGTTTTACCATGATATCCCCATTTTACCACCATGTTTCATGATTGAATTCCCATTTTTTCGCGGTGTTAAATCCCTATCTTCCAACCCTGGGCAAGGCTCCGGGATGTACGAAATGCTCACCTTTTCCCCAAGCACCAAGTCCTCCATCGCGCGCACCGTGAGCTGCGAGCCCTGGACGTTTTTGAAGGCGTTGGGCCTGGTGCCCAGCAACTCTTGGGATGGTCAACTGAGGGGATTTGTTAAGGGGGTGTGGCTACACTAAATCCATTGGATCATCATGAAATCCCCATGAAAATAGCCATGACTGGGTGACTGTCTGACACACCAAATCCGGAAAAGTTAGAACATCATTTGGAAAAGTTCTGCGCATTTAGTGCATTTGGAAAACCTTTGGTGTTCTAAGTATTTGTCGACACATTTTTTTAAGGGGGTACGACTGGGTTTGTCTGACACACCAAATCCATTGGATTCGAAGCTCATGTCCCCCATTTTTTTTAAGCCATGACTGGGGGTATACCCCCATTTGCACACCCAACTATGAGTGAAGGGGATCTTCAAGGATTTTATTGTGATTTTACCACTGGGGTACATTTGGATTGGGCATCAAAAACCATCAAAAACCCATCAAAGATTGGGGGTGGTTCACCATGGTTCACCATGAACACATGGATTGAACCAATGAATCGCAGGAAAATAATGGAATTATGGGATATATATATATATAATGATACCCTCTGGTAAACTAACATAACTATAGAAAATCACCATTTTCAATGGGAAAATCCACTATAAATGGTCATTTTCAATAGCTATGTTAAATTACCAGAGGGTATATGACCATGACTTGACTGGATTTTGATGGGTGTTGATTAGATGTTTGCATGTTTTTGATGGGATCATATGGGATAATATATGGGATATGGCTTGGTCTGAAAATAGGGGACATCCCAATTTAGAATGAATTGAATGGGAAAATATGAGGAAAATGATGAAATCCTCTGCGCACTGGGCCCCCGAAAAAAGGAACGTGCAAATTGGGAGGCAAATAATGAAAACGCGAAATGGATGTGTTGTTTTCGGAAGGGTATTCTTTGTTGCTTGAAGGCTTGGATAGAGGGATTTTTCAAGCCTATCTTTGGGTGGAGTCCGTTGATGCTTGTGATATTCTACCTTGTGTTGCTTCTCTGCCCATTCATTGCATTCATTCTGGCTAAGTCCCAGTGAGACCTGTGTTTGTATCTGTTGCTTTAAATTACAACGCTTCTCTGGCTGAGTTTGTCTTGAAACGAGCCGAATTCTGATTCACATCATGAGATCGCAGATAAGAGCTATGATCTACGTTCGTAACTCGGAAGTTTTCGAACTAAACTTCCTTTGATAATCCGGGTGATTGTTTTTTCCCGGACCTCAATTCAAAATAATTAGTGCATATCAAAGCCATCCAAATGGGGACTAGGTGAACGTTTCTTTCTGACAACGACCAACGATCCAACAAGCAGGGGATATCACCCACCAATCAGAGGGAATTGCCTAAGTATTGGGCACTAGTGGACCCACCCATTTGGATAAGAGGTTATAATTTATAACTCCAATAACCAGGGTTTATATATGCAGATACATCGAACTAGTTGTGGTAAAAAACACCAACAAACATAACTGGGGGGGTGCCACCTTGTCGGAAAAATTACATTATCCAATTGGATTAGTTTGTTGGGGAAAATGTTACACCATGCTTGAAAAAAATACAATCATAGTGGTTTCCTGCAGATTTTCCCACCAATTCTGGGAGTATCTCCAATCGCACCACCTTGTGGGTAAAAAGTTGGATGGTGTAAAGCCCAAAAAGATCAAAAAGTGTTTTCCGGGTTTGGGGATTGCATGATGCGTCCTCCGTATTTTAGGTATCCAACTTGAAGTGATAGACTCTTGATAGACATATTTCTCAAGTTTCCAGACCCCCATCCTGACTGTAATGAGGTTGGAAAGTCAATTCGTAGCCCCTTGGCTCCATTTAACAAGGAATGTGGATACCCCCTACAATGTTCTGCCCCCCCAGTTCGAAAAATTGGTTTACAATAAGCCCACAGCAACTAGTTCGATATATCCAACAGTTATTGGAATTATGTTTACCATCAACTTAAGCATATGAAATTTCATTCAAATCAGCTCTAAATCCCATATGAAACCCCCATTTTTCATCATTTTTCTTGGTCAAAGCACCATGTTCATCCAAAAATCACCATCTTCCCATAGGTTTTTCAATGTTTTCATCCAAAAATCACCATCTTCCCATAGGTTTTTCAATTTTTTCATCCAAAAATCACCATTTTCCCATAGGGTTTTCTCTGGTTTTCCTCCCTTCGCCGCTCCACACCTGCAGCTGTGTTCCGCCATGGAGCCCAGGACGAAGATGGCCGCGCCCTGGGCTCCGTCCACCTCGTGGGCGTTGGCCGCGCACTGGGCGAAGAGCTCCTCGACATAACGGAACCCGGGACATCTATTTTATATTCATAAGTATCGTTTATTTCTATAGTCTATATATATATATATGGGTATATATAATATATATAAACTATACTTATGATTACTTATGATTATTATATATATATCGTATCGTTGTGGGTATATAAAGTATTATATATATACAGTGTGTATGTATGTATGTATGTATGTATGTATGTATGTATGTATGTATGTATGTATGTATGTATGTATGTATGTATGTATGTATGTATGTATGTATGTATTATGTATGTATGTATGTATGTATGTATGTATGTATGTATGTATGTATGTATGTATGTATGTATGTATGTATGTATGTATGTATGTATGTATGTATGTATGTATGTATGTATGTATGTATATATATGGCTTATAAAAGCACTTAGCAACTGGGATACACATCCAAGCAGAAGGCAATCTCTGGGAAGGGGTGACATCAAGAAAAAATACCAGCAAATGTAGGCCTTTTTTGGTGGGATTTAAAGCTTAGGGCATGCAACAGCCAACTATGGTACAGCTAAATCCATTGACCAACCATCGTTTTCCCCTTTTCCTGGTGGTATACCCCATGACTTGAAAGCACCAGCTGAAGCATCATTTCATCACCTAGGATTATCTTTGTCCACAAACCCCACAGTGTAGCTGCTTACGGCGTAGCCATTTAAGCATCTCCAGTCCCTTTTTTGTCAAAGGCCCATGATTCTTAGACCCACGGGTCCCATTCAACCCGTCTGGGACTGTCCCAAGGCTCTAAGAAACGCTCGAAGGAGATGCTTTGGGCGACTTCCTCCTCGCCACCAATCCATGATTCATTCGTGGCGGGAAGTGAAACTCTGAGCTCCCATGGAACCAGTTGAAAGCCGAATTTTGCTGGAGATCCTATGGATTCCACACCGCTTCCCTCCCCCCAATCTCACCTTCAGGCCATCGTACAAGGTCCGTGCAGTGGAGGCCCACTGCTGCTGGTGCCCTTCCAGTTGCTTCAGCTGCTCAATCTTCCTCTGACAGCGAAATCCCGGAAATGGGCATTGAAACTGGGAAAATCACCGAACCATTGCTGTGAGATTTTCCAGCCATGGGAAAAAAAAACCGAGGGTAGCTGGCAAAAATTCGATGACCTCAAGGATGGCTCAATTGTTTCAAAATTGCCATGAGAAATGAGGCTGCACGTACTTTTTTTGCCTTGACAACTGCTTTGAATCGCATGTTCTATTCCACCTCTTTTCTGCATTCACAAACCCTTAACACTTTCCCTCAACACCCCCAGACCACAGAACTTTGCCACTCCCGATCTCCAGCTGGATTAGGGTTCCGCATAGTTCAATCTCTATGACTCTATGACTACTTCCCCTTGAAAACTGATGCTTCCGCCATGAAAAAACACGTGGAAATACGTCGTTACGTGGAACCGACACAATCCACAAGTTCTCCCAGTGAATGATCCAACTAAATTATGTTGTGGTTGAGAAGCTCAATTCATAGCTCCTTGGCTCCCCAACTGAAAAAAGGAATAGATTTGAATAGATACAAGCATGGTTTCTAACCGCCGAACAGTGCCAAAATCTACCATTGCACACTATGGTTGTGAAAATGATGATGAACCTGGGTAATTTCTTTAGCTGGTTTCCCCTAATTTACTCATCAAAAACATCATAAACCATGAGTTTTTCTTAATCCTTCCCGAAAATCCCATGGTTTCTAAACCGGTTGTTTTTCCCTATGTTTTTCCCCTAAAAAAAAATCAGAGAAACCAACCCCCCATGGCCCCATAGCTGTAGCTCCTGTGCCAAGCATCGCCGTCTGGCCCCGTTGAATCAACTCATGCAGCACCGCCACGAAGAGCTGCGTGGCCAGGGGCAACGCGGTGCTGGGCCGCTGGAAGAGCTCCTGGTGGGCCAAAATCTAGGGGTTTTACGAAGCAAACTTGGGTAAGTTCAAGATTAGTTGGGGGTTTTATTATCAAGATAGATGAGGATTGATATTTAACCAGTAAAAGGGAGGTTTTTTTGTCGGAAATATGTTTTGTTTGCTGCAAGAGATGGATTGAATGCATAGTTCTAAAGGGAGTCTACCAAAGATGGGGGAACAACCAACAAGGGGTGTCAGACAGTACCAAAGGTTGAAATGAATGTCATTTTGGATACCCCAAAGATGGAATGAACTACCGCACATGACACCTGTCTTGCCAGGACCACGTCCAGCAGGACCTGGAGTTGCCTGGACCCTCCACCCCTCTCCTCCTGCATCTTGAGGCATTCTGCTGTAGAGGACCTGAGTTTTTTGGCAAAATTATCCCATCAAGGTGTACCCAAAGTGTAGCTATCGTGCTAGCTACAGTTCTAGAACATTTCACCAATGATATAAACTAGACTATAACTATCTAGTAAAAACCAGTTGCGCGTATCGTTGAATCTATAGAATCTATAGTTATAGTGAAGAAAATATCACTATAATGTCCGACAATAGTTAAAATATCTCTAATGTGGTACCCTCTGGTAAACTAACATAACTATAGAAAATCACCATGTTTCATGGGAAAATCCACTATAAATGACCATTTTCCATAGCTATGTTAGTCATTACCAGAGGGTAAACCCAAAAATAAACCATCCATCAATAACATCAAAATAACCCCTTTTTTGGGTCATTCTTCATCATCCCAGTAGGATTTTTGTTTGGAGGAACCACGAAAACCGACCCAAATTGGGGATGGATTTTCTATACCCATGAAAAATGATGATTTTTTTGGTGCGAAAAACAGTGAAATGGCCTTTAAGCCAAATTGATCATGATCTCCATATTATAAACCAGAGTGTTCTTGCTGATGTTGCCTGAGTTTTTTTGGATGATTTCTTCGCTCCCCATCATCCGCAGCTCCGCCAGGGCACAGAAACAGCGGCTCCTCCGTGAACAGCAGCTCCCCCCGTCGCACCGCGCTGGACGCCTCCAGGTGCCGTCCAACCGAGGCACGCCAGGCGCACCGAACCAGCGCCATGGGCAACGGAAGGCGAAGGGAGGACAGTGGACATGGGAAATCAATGGATCCTGGGCTTCCTTTAGTTGGTACCCTCTGGTAATAGCTGACATAGCTATTGAAAATGGCTATTTATAGTGGATTTACCCATTGAAAATGGTGATGTTCCATAGCTATGTTAGTTTACCAGAGGGTAAATATCCCTTTAGTTGGTTTAAATATCCCATTGATCCATGGATCAAAATGGAATGGATATCAATGGAAATATGATTGATCTGATCAATAGAATATTTAGTTGGATATCAATGGACATTTGGTAAAATGTGATCAATATTCCAAATCCAAAATATCCCAACGATGTCAAAATATCCATGCTGTAAATGGAATGGCAAATGATGTCCCATCGAATTGCAGGATAATATCCCGTCATCACCCAACTATATAAATGGGATAAAATCATTGACATAAGGTGACTTCAAGACATAGTTGGGGCAATGTGGTTGCTGTATGGTGCTGGGGATTGCACTGCTGTGCCCATAGAACATGGAAAGCAAAATTCATGTCAACTCACCTTTGGGACTAACTCATCTCTGGGACTCAGCTCTAATTGGTGTGTCCATTTACATTGTGTATAACTTTAATTTTCACAAACGTTGCAAAAATCCAAGCCATTTCCCTTGGTGTTCCGGAAAAAAAACGCGTCGCCAAGTTACTTTCGTCGATCGAGCCGAGAGCCAAGTTGGTTTACAACTCCAATAACTCTTGGACTTATGGTAGATATATCAAGATATATCGAACTAGTTCATGGGTTTATTAAAACAAATCATAACTGGGGGCACCACATTGTAGTTGGGTTTTCTTATTGAAAAAATGCGGATGTCGCATTGCCATGTTTCGTTGCCAGAGGGTACAGTGAACGTACTGCTTGAAAAAAGTAGATTTTTGGTCATTCACATCAGTCATAACATGTCATAACCACATTAGCCGAAATCCATGCTTGTTTGTTCCATTTCCAGGATTATAGGCGCTATCCCCAGAAACAGATGGAGGTTTTTCCAACTTTTTGGACGTACCCTAACTCTCTCATAACATAGTAATACAACACAATGCTCCTATAAATTGCTCCCAGTTGTCACCACGGTTTTTCTCATGTGGGTCACAAGAGATGGTACAAAAACAGTCCACTGGTTTGCCATGTTCTTTTTCTCCATCAATTTTGGTCAGTCCAATTGGGGGATCCCCTTTTTTTCTGGGCTATCCACCATGTACCCTCTGGTAAACGTTTACAAAAAAACTATGGAAAGATCCACCCTTTTTAATGGGTAAATCCACTATTTCAATGGTCATTTTCAATAGCAAACTGTTAAATTATCAGAGGGTACCAAGCCCATTATCCGATTATCCAGTTCCATCCAGTTCGAACTGATCGGGATTTGTTTAACCTCAGAAACCAGTGGAAAAACCCGGAAAAGACAGGGTTGCTGTGAGTTTCCGTCCTGAAACCCGAAACCCGTGATTGGTGGTGAAAAAGGGAAAATGATGTTCGAATCAAGTGGAATCAAAGGGTTCCACATCCAAACATTGTTATTCCACTGTATCCCCATGAAATTTCCATGAAATTCCCGTTTAACATATATGATATCCCCATCATATACATCCCTATATCCCACTATGTCACCATGATTGTCGATTTATCCCATCTATTGATTGCTGGTTACAACATGTTATGACATGTTATAACATATTTTGGCCCAAAATGTCCGATAAATCCCATGTATCCCATCAAGATCCCGCTAGTTCATACCAAAGTCACGAGAAAAATCCACTGAATCCTCAAGAGAAATGTCAAATTCCCGTGAGATCCCAGTTACCCTCCGGTAATTTAACGTAGCTATTGAAAATTGCCATAGAAATAGTGAGTTTTCCCATTAAAAATGGTGATGTTCCATGATTTTCCATAGTTATGTTAGTTTACAAGAGGGTACGCTTCACATGTTACACACCCAAGTGGTGTCATCCCAATCCTCCTGAAATTTTCCTCCAACATTTTCACGCCTGGGACTTTTGCGGCTCAACCTTGGAGACCTTGCGCTCCGCCGTGCGCGCCTCGCTGTCGAACTGTGAAGTTACCAGAGGATAGTGAGGATAATCTAGCATATTGTGATTCATCACTATATTTCATCAATAATCGTAATATTTATAGTAAATCATCTCAATAATCATCACTATATTTCATCAATAATGTAGTACTATTACATAATAGTGATGAAATATTGTGATGCTGATGATGATGATCCATGATAGGATCCATGATAGTTATTGTAAATTAACCTAACTTAACTCGTCATTGATTAATTTGATGACTGTTACCTATCTTTTTGGGGGTTACTACATTAGCCAATATTTGTGGATGATGAATTACTTATAGTATAATTATTCAGTAAGAATGCTTATATAATAGTTTTTACTGATGCTTTATAAATCTAGATCAATAGGCGTTAATAATAGTTCACAATTCAACAATGGTGAATACTAATACTGGTCTGGCTGATGGCGTTCATGGCCAATGGTGGTCAATCCAACCTCCAATTTATCTGGATTATTGAACTATTTCACCAAGCTGAAATACGGTCATTTTGACGTTTATTCTCCTTACTAACCATTAAAAAGTGACATCGCGGGTCGTGAAAAAGTCTATCTACTGTAGATATGTAGTACCCCCGCACAGATAGAAAAATGGAAACGACGTTACCAATATGACTCAGGGCGTTATTGTTGTTCTATTGGCGGTTACTATGTGTCACTATAAATACTTAAAACGATTCTTTTCTTCCGCCGTGAAATTGACATGCTTTCTCCACTTTTTGTTGACATCATGGAGTTTGCTTGGCCATTAGATCTCCAGTTAACTCTGGTTAGTTGGCAATCTGATCTTCGGTTTTTCCAACTACCCCAGATCTGCCACCGTGCCTCGTAGGCGGTCTGGTTGCACTTCTGGGACAAATCCTGCAAAGGGTAAAGCTGCCACACATCGTCACTCCATATAGACCGCTTTTTTGGTATGGTTTCCAAAAGGTAAATTGTGGTGAAAAGTCGTATATAAATAGGGGATTGTTTGTTGTGTTGTGAGATTGTGCTTTCCACACGAACGCATGTTTCAATCAAAGAATTGGTCAGGTTAATGAGTCATGATGTCCATTCATGTCCATTCAATTCTTCTTGCTGCTGTTCGTTCAACTACCACCACATCGCAATGATTCCGATCATTCAGCCAGTCTTTTGGGAGACAAACATGTTGGTGGCAATCACAAGTGAAGCACTTTGTGTAGCCAAAAATTGGGCTTACCTGGCTAGGTGACTAGGTGATCCCATTTTTTTCCATGGTAAATCACCATGTTCCTTGCTAAAATGACTCGATGACCCTAACCATCCCCTAAACTGGGTTGTTGTTGCCCCCATGTTCACCACGGCGTCCTCATGGTATTTGGCCAACAGGGCAACGGACCGATCGGTCATCTTCTTCTTCTCGGACATGTCTCGAATCTGGGGCGGCAAACGGGTGGTCTGTCCCCCTGTTCCGGCATTGTTGGGATTCATGCGTTGAAATCAATCGAAAAATCCTCAAATATGCTGACTCTGGTGGTTGAAATACCGAAAAGAGTCTTCATCTCCACCAGAATGCTCAATTTCTTTTCCCCTCAACACATCGAAAAACTGCTCCTGTTTGACACCGAAAGACAGACAAACGCGCCTTCTCCGACAAACGAGCCTCCTCTTCTTCCTGCAGCCAAGTTGTGTCAGAATCGGGTACACCCCAAAATGGATTTCCTTGAAAACAAATAGAGTATACCATGTACCCATAAAATGGCACCAAATGAGAAAGTATTCGTCATGGGATGCCACGGGGTACTATGACTACTACAAGGTCCAAAACCGGGATGGTCCACTGAGTGGATCTGTGAAAAAATTCATATCCCCCAGTTTGGAGATTTCATGAGAGTTATTCCCCATCAACTTTTCCCAAAACCATCCAAAATATCATCCAAAAATCCACGGATTTCATAAGGTGGAGTTATTCCCCAACCATCAACTGATCGAAAAACCATCCAAAAATCCATCCATTGAATTCCGCCTTGGAGCTCTTCTCCGTCTGAAGGCGAACCTGGCTGTTTCAATCCGAGAAATCCGCCAAACTGGAACCCTGGTTGAAGGCAGTCCACTGTCCACTGAACGGGTGATTGAATTGGAGGCGTGGCTTCAGTACTACAAGGATCCCTTGAAGCAAGTATTCATGCTTGGTCAAACTGATGTGAAGCACTGATACCTTCTGATAACTTCCATGTTCCTTATTATATATAGACATCCTCCACCATTCCCACTCAAATATCTAAGCTAAGGTCCTATCACAACTCATATCAGTTACCACTACTTCCCAACATCTCCCAACTCCTCCCCCAGGTCCGGTGTGATCTGCTCAATAATGTCTTTTCGAAATAGAGGGGCTGGTTTGGTATACCATTTATCATCACTTGCATAGTTTTAGATAGTTTTGGAATGTCTTGGATACATTGCAAATTATGTTTTGCAACGTTTTTGGAATGTGTTTGGAATTTGTTAGATTGACCAGCAGTAAGGGTTCCAAGGTTCCAAGGTTCCAGGGACGTTCCGGCTAGGGCCCGGCAACAGAGATTGAAACCCAACAGTGACTGTCGTTGGGATTTTCCTCTCCTTTGATCCATATCTATGGATATAATCAAACAATGCTAGTTAAATAATCCAAGTATGTCAAAATACGAAAAAAATATATTACAAGATCAATGATATGTGTATATATATACATATATATATACATTGGCATCTTTGGGAATCTTTCAGAAGTTCATCCTATTCATCCATCCCAAAACTCGCTGCACGTGCCGCGCCGAAGAAGTCGCGCCTTCTCCTTCTTGGCGTCGATCATCTCCTTGTCGAAGTCGGCCTCCTCTTGAACCTCCTGCGACTTGGTCTCCGCCTAGCACCATCTGTCGAGGATGAGGGTCATGTTTCTTGTGGTTAGTTGTTGATACTTAGTGATGGTTCTTATATATGGATCATTATGTATTGTTATTACATGGTTTATACTTAGTTTTTCTTGATCATTGTCGTTATTATCCACTATTCTTAGTATTTATTACCAGTATGATGCTTATCATGTATGTATTCATGTATATATATATATATATCTGCATATTGACATTGATGATGATGATGATGACGACTATGGGATCCAATCCACTCCCAGGACCTCCATCTGGGCAAAGTCCGCGGAGCAATCCTCCAACACCTGGGCGTTGGAAAAAAGGTGTCATTAATGGTAATGGCTCATGTAATAGCACTATTTTTTAGTAATAATAATAGTAGTAATTATTAGTAATGGGTAATTATTATTAGTAATGGTAATGTCAGAACAATATCATTGTGTCATGGGTAATTATTAATAGTGATAATAGTTACGTAATAACTTCAAAGTGCTACTAATGCGACCAATTATAATATCCTTATTAAACATAGTGGCACTATCAACCGGCTCATCCATCATATGTTTGTATATATGTGTATACAGTAATCCAATCTCCCGGTCATGTTAAAATGAATGCTTTGTTTGGCCCCAAAAATCATCAATCTCCAGTAGTAAACCAAGGTTTCGATTGAGTGGAAGGGATCCATCAAACCAACTAATCAGACATTTGTGAGTAATCAACTAATCAAACCAAAATGTGTCAATAATTGCTGAGTAATTCACAGAATGATGGAATCCTGTGGGAAATCAATCGACTATGGATGGCAGCTTCGCTCCTGGTTAAGAGTAGATACTCTGCAGAAAGGCTCAAGATTTGCTGATCAAGTCGCAATTCATCGATCAAAAGAAACAACCAAACAATACTCCATCAAAACTTTGAAACGAAGCACCCATCGGATAAAGGGCTACTGGCTGATCATTTTTTAGCCAGAAATTGGTACCATTAGCTGCTAATGTTAGTTGGGAACCTCTTTGAACCGTCAATGGATTTTATAGATTCACTGTTGCCATAAAACAGTTTCCTCTCTGGGCCACGTTTGGGGGATAATGGCTGTCCGACTAGTAACTTAGTACAGGTCAAAAATCAACACATATTGCGCAAACAAAATCCATGATCTTCAATACAAAATGATCCAGAACAAACTATCAATGTCAGCTATGATTTATGATACTCAATTCCTAGCTCCAACTGGCTCCCCATCTACCCGGCCTGGTAAACTGACCGTTTGCTGTTAAACATGGCCATAGATATAGTTGAATTGTCCATTAAAAATGGTGATTTTCCATAGTTTTTGGTATGTTTACCAGAGGGTAAACCTCCATTTTCCTATGGTTGTCCTATGGTTTTCCCATTTTCCCATGGTTTTCCCTTCACCCCACCTTGATGATGGCTTCCCCTGGACCCTTGCCATCCTCACGCGCGGTCCAGAAGATCTATTATGGTTGTCCCATCATGCGCAAACCACAACGGGTTGCAACAAAATCCCTATGGTTTGATGAACATGGCCAATATGGATATATCATCCGAGTTTGGACCATGGCATATATTGTATAATATATATATATATGTAATGTAATGTAATGTAATGTAATGTAATGTAATGTAATGTAATGTAAGTATGTATATATCATATATATATATATATACATACATCATCTGGCAAGTCCTGAAAATAACCATCTGAAAAAATACTAAAAACTATTTGATAAAGCCAACAGAGGTGCCTGCTTTGGGGCTGAAAAAAATACCAAAATCTTCGTCAAAATTGGCCGGCCCTCGGCTTTGGCGATTTTGTGTGTGGCACTGGGCACTGGCCACCACTGGAATATCACTCCTATTTACTATGTTGGATAGAATATATACGGATATATGTATGTGTATATAAAGATATAGATAGAGATATAGATATAATATAGATATAGATATATTTATATACATATATATATATATACATACATATCTTATGCCATCATATACCTTGCCTTTCTATCTTTATTGGGGGGACCCAAATGCCGTTTTGACCCCAACCCGCCCCACCTCTCACCCCCATTCGCACCTGTCCGGTACCAGAGAAGCCTTTGGACCATGTTTCAGGGGCCTCAGAGGATAAGGGGCACTTGATGGATCTTCAATGCTAGCCTTTGTTCCATAGCAGCGGCAAAAATCTGGAAGAAAATGTGAAAATGTGGTAAATACAAAAAAAAAACTCACAGTGGCCACTATTGTTTTTGGGATATGTAAAATGATGACTTGAAAAAAAAACAACAAACATATATATATATACCATTGGAAGTAGTTCCAATCATTGATGGTTTATCTTCAACTATTGTGATTTTACCTGACCCCAAGTCATTTAAGGAAAATGATGATAAACTTTTCAGGTACCCAAACCACTATGAATTTTATATGATTTT